ATAAAAATAATTAATGAAACTGAATGTTTGTCGGAAATCCTTTGCATCTTGAAAAAAAAAACTTTCAATGAACTTTATTAATTGAAAATAAATTAAAAGCGCATATCATCTTGAACAACAAGTAGCAATAAAGGTTTGGAAACAATTCGTCAATCAATGTTTTGTAGACAGATTTTTAATTAAAAGCCATTTAATTAAGTATCATGTTGATGACGGTGATTTCCCTAATAATCAAATTAAGGTCTTAACTTTTTAATGAAATATTTTTAATTTACATAAAGCTATTAAGAGAATTGCCCGAAAAAAGATCAGTTTTTATTAGATTAACATGATGAGGTTTTAAATTATTCTTAATCTGTGTTTTTGATGAGATGGTATGTTTCATAAAGATTCACCAGATCAGGTGCGATGTAATTCAACTTGAAACTTCAAAACTTATCACAACAGGAGACCGAGTAAAGAATTCAAGTAACATTGAGGTTTTGTAATAAAGAGTCATAGTATTACAATGATAATCCAGTAATACAAGCACAAGACATTAAATGTAGAGCAACTAAATCTTTAAAATTGAGTGGGTTGAACTTGTGAAAACAAACTTTCATCTTTTGCTGTTTGCAATACTCGAATGATCTTTTGGGAATTCATTTAAACCATCATTCATTTTTAGGTATCCGTTCTTGACGGCTGGTAACAAAATTTGATAGAAAACATCTAATTGTCTTGGGAGCAAACAGATATTTTAATCTCCCTAGCTGTCATTACGTTCATTTCTAATTTATATTGTATTTATTTGTAAAATAGTTGCTTGCCCCTTTTAATATAAATATGCAGTCTGTTTACGAACTCTGAAGAATAAAGACGTTTTATTTTAGTTTTGGTATGTTTTAATTAAGCTACAATTACAAAACTAGCCATATCAATTTAACATTTGTCGACTTGTGACGCTAGACCTCGACATAAAGTCTACTTTCCTCTAAACGAAATGATATAAATCGAGTAATCGAGTATGAGTGCTTCAAATCTGCTTTCTTAATAACTTTATCAAGTTTATTGATATTTCAAGCCCGTACGGGATTACAATTTGTAAGTGGTGATTATATTCCTGTTAAAATGAAATATTATAGTCTTAAGTGCTAAATATAATTCATGAATTAGTAGATAAAACCTACAAAACGTGGAAAAAATGCGTCCACTATGAGCAAACATTCGCAAAGAAAGAAAGAAGCCATGTCAAATGGTTAAAGGTGAAATGAGGGATGAAGCGCATAATGGTCACGACAGACATTCTGTCTAAAAACGTTAGAGGTATGACAAATTCAGGAAGTTTTAAAGATAAGGTAAATTTAATGATTTAACGTTGCTAGCTGACAAACATTGAAATCATTCATAATATGACAACTCAAATTTTATCATTTAAGATTTTGTCAATATTTTGGTTTCAGAATAAATCTTTTGATAAAGTCTTAGTCACTGATTGAACTTCAATGTTGAAAAAGTGTAAAGTTTCATGTCTTAGTTTACGTATTATTGGCAATTCCTATGCGCTGAGCATCTAGTTAAGTGAAGTCATGAGAAAACATTTTTTTGAATCTTAGGGTTGACTTTCAATTACTCCATTGAAAGTTTAAAATCGACTCGAGAACTGGGTTAAAAATAGTTCAAAAAGCGCAACAACTTGAAGTCACATTAAACAGCATTTCAAAAAGTTTTATGTTTTACTTTCAATTGAGACCATCAGAAAATGTAGAGTGTGTTTGTAAGCAACTGTTGGTTAGATTTGAGATTATTATAGTAACTTTGAAGTTAAACTGTTTTTGTGTTCAAAAATCAAATTTCAAATTGAAACCGTATTACTTAAATAACAGAGAGATTTTATTGAGGTATGACACCGAAAGAATATATGATTCTGCAATGATATTAACAAATATTTTGAGCTTTTCCACAAAAGTAGGTTGATGATATTATTACACAAAAGAAAGGAAAAGAAATGAGCTGAATTCATGATAAAATATGAGCAAACGGAAAAGAGACAATAGTAGATGCAAATTTGATGTCAATTTCAGATCCTCGAATTTGTAGATTTAACCAGAGTTGATTTAAACTGCATACTAAATATATCAGAGGTAGATATCAACTTCCAGCATGCAATCATTAGAATCAAAACATTCCCAACTCTGAAAATTACATAAAATTGCTCAAAGGACTTGTTCTAGAAGAATGACAATTTCCATAAATTTTTTACGATTTACTCTTCGTTTATGTAAAAAAACTGTAATAACACTCAAATGTTCTGGAAGTGAAAGGAGTTACGAAAATTGGAAGTAATTTTTCATGACTTTTGAGTTTTCTTTTGAATTTTTTATCTCTTCTTATATTTGATATGATTTTTATAGCAAGCTATTGAGGTTAATTTGTGCTGAATTTTCTGGATAAACAAAGTAAAATTAAGAACTCAGAATAAAATATGATGCTATCAAAAGAAACTTGAAGAAATTTCAAATTTTAAAAACTCCTAAATAAAACACGACAGTGTCTTTGAAGTTTAAGGCACAATTCATGACATTATTATTAAATCAAAAAATCTTGACACCAAGAAGATTCCTTTTGAATAAAGGTAATTCTGCAAGATTTCAGTGACACAAATCTAATCAAATATTTCCACGAATGATTTTGTTGACTTTGATATTACATCTTGAATAAATCTATAAGGAATTGCATTACTTAAATTTACACATGGACACGGATCTAAAACCCATTTAACAGGATATTTCTGACTTATTAGTAGTTCTCAACAAAACTATTTGTTAAACAAAGAAGATCAACATTAGGTTAAATATAACTGAATCAAAGAAATAAAGCTTTATGCTTTAAAAATTCAAAATTTAATCGTAGAACATTAATAGTTTGGATCTTGTTCAGCAAAAATTGAAATTAATTGAAACAGATTGAAATGTCAAACTCATGGTGACCAAGCGATTGTTATAAGTTGTCTCGAAAAAGTACTCAATATATTGTATAGTTTCCTTTGTTTTCAAGACAAGCATATATACATGGTTATGACATATTCTCGGTTACCTGGTTACTTTTCTGTTGTGATCTCATGAGATGAATCAAGCTCAATATAACAATAACAATTGATTTCACATGTATTTCCTTCAACATTGCAGCTCTAAAAAATGCACATACTTTTTTCATATAAATGAGAAATTTTTCATAGATCTACACCTCGATTGTAAACATGCTTTTTCATTTCAATAGCTTAACTATCCAGAGAATTTTAAAGTTATGACTTCTTGACATTTGAACAATTTGTTATGCACATCGTTTATTCCAAGAATAAATATTTCTTCCGCTCAAAATGTAATCGATACAATGAAAAAGTCATTCATCGTTGTTAACGACAGTACATTGAGCTGAAAATGTCATCATTTTGGATACAAAGATTTTTTTTTTATTTTCAAACCCACCACGACTCAATCGCAATTCTTTCCGAGAAGCAATAGCAAGTCAATTAACATTAAAACAAAGTGTCTATCTACACAATTATGTGAGCAATTTAAAATCATGGCATGGCGATACTCAGCTAATGATTATTACTGTGAGAATAAATGTGGAAATGAAATGGAAGTGAAAAGTTTTTCATCACACGTTTTTCGCTTGGCTTTTTTTCTAGTATAAACAAATGCTCTGTAATAAACGATCTCCATCGGTGAGAGGTTTAATATTTATAAATCATTTGGGGATATCAATAATTTATATCAATAAATGATGTCAACTGATCACTGATTATGGATAGCTATCAATGAACAATAGGTAGAAAATTGGACTAGTCCTGATTCATTTTATTGAGTGACATTTTATCCTATTTAAAAATTGGTCTGCAAATCTCACGAATGGTTGTTGAACCTCAAAAATGGTTCGCAAACCTCAAAAATGGTTGTTAAACCTCAAAAGTGGTTCGCAAATCTCACAATTGGTTCGTAATCCTCAAATATGGTTTGTAATCCTCAAATGTGGTTCACGAACCTCAAATGTAATTCGTAAACCTCAAAAACGATTCACGAACCACAAAAATGGTTGTCAAAAATCTTAGGGCTCACACCGCATTAAGACAGCTTTATCCGCTCATCAGCAGGAACTCACAACTCGACGTACGAAACAAACTTCTCATCTACAAGCTAGCCATCAGACCAATATTCACATATGGTTGTCCAGCGTTTGGAAGCATGGCAAAAACCCATCTTCAAAAACTTCAAGTACTGCAAAACAAATTCTTGAGAATTGTTCTCAATAAAACAAGATATGAAAGGATCACCGATCTTCATACAGAAGCGAAAATACCGTCCATCGAAGACTACGTCGGAAAGTTGCAAGCGAACTTCAACAGTCGTCTTGCATCTCAAAACACCGAATAAATCAAATGAAAAACAAAAGAAAGTAAAATCCGTAAATGAAATCAAAATTAAGAGACAAAAGGCAAATTGAATGCCTGAAACCTTAAAACAAAAAGCAACAAAATGTATAGAAACTTTGTACATACTTAAATTTAAATGTAAATAAATAAAAAGTTTAAAAAAAAAAAAAAAAAAAAAAAAGGTTGTCAAAAATCAATAATGGCTGTCGAACCTCACGAATGGTTCTCAAACCTATATTAATAGTTCTAAAACCTAAAATAATGTTTTGCTCTACACTGCCGTAGTGAATTCTTAATTAATTGTTACACTAATCGCCTTACATCTTCTTCAACTTCCTCCTCCCTTCATCGATGTTTCATCGACGTCAATATCAAAATACCCTCTCATAGGCATCATAGTCAAGTATTTAATTTGTCACCTATCACGTAAATATTTATCATTGTGCCTTTACCCTTCGCGTCTCAATAAAAATAATCATTAAAATAATTCAATGAACCTTCATTAAAGCTCATTCATTATGGAATTATTGGTGATTTAGAAATTATTCAATTAAATTAATTTATTTACCTTTTTTCTCCTTTTCAGTTGCTGTGGTCATTTGCTTCATCCTCTGTTGGCTTCCTTTTCATTTTCAGGTAAGATTACTTTTCACGTTGTCTAGCTGATTTATTTGAATATTTATTTTTTTAATGTAATGAAACCTTTTTCATCATCGCCGTCGAGAGATTTTCTGGAAGCTTTATGGCATTTTTTCTTTTATTCGCATTCTTTAGTTTGAGTTTGAGCTTGAAAAAAAATTAATAAAACAATTCGTTTAAAAATATTTTCTTTCAAGTCAGCTTGAAGGAAGTAAACTTTTTTCTATTCTTAATCTTTTTCGTCTGTTCGTAGAATTTTCAATTGTTTGTTTAACCCAAAGGATGATGTACTTAAAGTTTAATTTTCAAAGTCAATCACCCTTTAAGATTTCAGATTTGAATTTGATAAACATGCAGTTCTATCAATAAAAAGAGAGTCTTTAAGATCTTTTCTAGTTGAAGACGTGGGTTTGATTCTTATTAATCAAATATGCTAGTTTCTAGGGCAGTAGTTCTCAAACTGCTGTTCTTTATGCAGCAGCAACTGTGACGTGGAAAGATAAACTGTTCTTTTCAAAATCAACAAATTATTAAACTGATACAAGATTTTCCGTTCTTAAACAGTCAGAAAACCAAATTAATTAGTAGCATGCAGAGGGCGAAGTCGACTCGAAATTTGTATGAAGTCGAGTGAACTCAAGTCGACTTTTCCATACAAAATCCGAGTCGACTTCGCCCTCTGGTAGCATGTCAATCGTTTAAAATCCTATTATGTACATTAATTCAACTACAAACGTCAATCTAAAGTTTCGAGATATTATAATTACCACGTTATATCATTATTGATAGGTTATTACAGACTTGCGTCATTTCGAATGTTGGCATTTATGTAAAATTTTGAAAAATTCAAAATTTATTTTCCGTTAAAGCATAAAACAAAATTTTGCTTTAATTAAGCTAAAGATTATGAAGCTTTTTGATCAGTATTACTAATTATGTGATCAGAAAGTTGTTAATCATTGTTTTAAGTAAGAAAATTCCTAAATTAAGAAAATTCAGTTGAAATTGAAAAATGTCAACAAAAAAATGTAAGTGTGTAAGTGTAAAAATTTCTTGAAAATATTTCAGTGTTGCATTCTGGCTATTTGTCTGGATCAGATAAATTCTGAGACAGAAATTTCTTCATAAAATCGATTCTACATGTAGAAAGAAATAAACCATCTACATGTAGATTGTGTCTACATGTAGAATCTGTCTACATGTAGATTTAATGTAGATGTCTACGATTCTACATTCTTCTCTGATGTAGACCTGGAAAAAATGTAGAATTATAGACATCTACATCGAATCTACATGTAGACAGATTCTACATGTAGACACAATCTACATGTAGATGGTTTTTTTCTTTCTGCATGTAGAATCGATCTTTATGAAGAAAGTTTCTTAGCTAGACAAAAACTATTGAAGAATCTACATTCTTCATCTAGTGTAGACATCTACATTTGCAACACTGAAATATTTCCGTAAAAAACTCTTTTGTTTCTTGATATTCATGATTTTAAAGCTTATCAATGTTCATAAATAATAACAAGCTTTGATTCTAAGCTAGTTGACAGTAGTTATCATAGCTAAAATGCTCAAAATTCAGCATAAAATTTTTTAAAGTTTTACCGGTTGAATTGAGTTTAAATTTTCGAATTTTTTGAAGCCAATTTCGAATTTCTTCGAAATGAAATGACGCAAGTCTGGGTCAGTCTGGGTTATAATGCTATTAAAATTGTTGCAATGTTTAATAATGCTTCTGTCTGCTTGCATGATGCACTTTAAATTTTGATTAATATTAAATTAAATGTTACAGAGTCTGACTATACAAATAAATACACAATTTAAATCCTTACTTCAATTATCACGTTCCTTTGATTTCTCAGTAGTGAAAGGTCAAATTTTACAAGATTATTTTCTTGAGTCTATGCCAAGTTCTTTATATCACATGTATGAATAGAGAAAAAATAACTAATGACATTTTCTTTACAAATTATTTTCTTCTAAATCGACGTAATGTGCTTTAGATGTGGATACAGATGTGTGAATACTTTTATAAGAAATAATTAAAAATAATGAGAGCTATGGGAAAGATTATTTTATCCATCAATGCTGTCGTTAATAATCTCTTCAGTCGAAAATCTTATTTCATTTAAAACTTAAACCTGCTTAAACCTTGTTTGACCTTGAACTTTGTGGAAAGAATTAACTTTAAATTTTTTCAAATATTTTTTGACAGTTATTTTCAAATATTTCAAAACCGTCATTTTTAAAACCGTTAAATTTCCGAACACATTTTTATCAATAACCTTGAAACTCTTCGACCATTCGTTTCTGCTTTAATTCTATCCAGAATAAATGCTCTTTCATCGGTCACGACTGACCAATTTCAAACCAACTCTTCTTGATGCAGCCTTTCTTTTCCAAATTGAATTAAATGATTTTACTCACAAAGACTTTATGTTCAGTCGCTTAGGTCAACTATTAGCAAGCTATAAATATGTTTTTTTGGGTACGAAAACATTATGTTTGTTTCTCATGCTTGCACTTCGTTACCCAAAAGTGACCACACAGCAGTAATTTGTTGAATTATCGTTTTAATGTATGTCAAGTGGAAAATATTGTCTACCATTAAGAAGCTTGTGGCTATGATGATGACTTCTTGTGGCATTATTTTGTGAAATTTATTGGAAGATGTTTTGCTATGTTATGTATCTTAAGATGTTGTAGTGTTTAAATTTTGCAAAAAAATATCATAAAATTTGGGGTAGACATTAAAGCTTTATTCCACTATTAGTAGAACAAATTCAATCAATTTAACACAGAAAGCCATACAAATATTGGTCAAGACTATCTCTTATATGTTTCTACCAACCCCCCCCCCCCCCCCTTCAGAGCCTCACCGGCTTAGCTTCAGTATTATGATCGATTTACAGCTATGTGCTTTTTGGGAGATCAAATCTTTCGGCAATAAAAGGTTTCTGGATGTTTGCTTAACTTGATTAAAGCATTTCTCCGAGACCCATATCGACACAGTTCAAAAGTTATACCTAATTTATGTCATAATTATGTCAGCTACAAAAACACTTAGTTTGAATTTTGTCATCCTCGGGAACACTATGAACCAGTATAGCTGATTTTGGTCCAAATCTCGGCCATACTTCACACTTATTTGAACCACATTTTTTCGAAAATGTTAAAATATTATTAAAAAGTAATTAATCCTGAATTATGTCGCTATTTTGTCAAGTGTTTTAAGATAAAGAATTTGTTTTTTTTTTGGTTTCCACAAGAAGAAGAGTATGAACAAAATTCAGATGGGGTAGTCGACATTTTAGATTTCGATTTTTTTAAGCTATGCATTACAAAAAGTAATGTTGGTTTGTGATTTATGTCAGAATTATGTCAATTCAGAAAATATCCAAAAAATTTTTTTGACCAAAGTACACCATAGAAAATCAATTTTCAATTTTGGACTAGGGGCGACCCTAGTCAAAATCAATTTTGTCACTTTTTTTTTTTCGAGGGTTTATAAAAATGGATTGAAACTTTGCATAAATATTTTAGTGCTTAAAACAAATACAAATAAAACATCTTAATTTTTTTTGAGTAAAGAACCAGGTAGGAAATACATTTTCAATTTTGGACTAGGGGCGACACGTCTAGTCAAAATCTAGTTTTTCACTTTTTTTTCTTCGAGGATAAATCCAAATACAGTAAAACTTTGTATGAGCATTCTAATTCCAGGTCACACATTTCTGAATTAATAAAAATCATTTTTTTGGACAAAATTTTAAGTCACGTTGTTTTTGAATGTAAAACCAAATTCATAAAATTTGGGTCTGACGACATATAGAATACATTTCTTGCTTTAGATATTTAAAACTGTTTTGTAAAAATATTAGTATACTCACACAAAGTTTCACTGAAAGTGGATAAACCTTCGAAGAAAAAGAGTGAAAAACTAGATTTTGACTAGACCTGTCCCAAGTTCATAATTGAAAATGTATTTCCTACTTGGTTCTTTGCTCAAAAAAATTGTTTTTATCCAAAGTTGAATTTTATAAAAATCACAGTCAACTTTTGTTTTAAAAATAACGTAAGAAAGGAAAGTTTTTTGCTATTTCTGAAGCAACGGCTGTTCCTATCTTGCCTAAAAACAATACAGCTCTTCTATATAGCAGCACGGATCAAATGTAAAAAACCAAAAGTCTCTACGATGTCTCGTTATTGAGATTTCTTGCTGATTAACTTGCTTGTTTGCTTGTTTGCTTGCTTACAGAAAGCATATTTTGCGATTTTCTCAGCAATGCCGCAACCAATTTGAAATCTGTTTTTTGAAAAAGATGTGAAATTTAAGGCACAAACTTTTCATCTCTGAACATTTTAAGCTATCTTGCTCCATATCCTCACAAAATTCAAAAAACTGATTTTTCAATCTGAACAAAACCAATAGATTCACACGTGAAAACGGTGTGAATATAATAAACTAACATTATTGATCTGACCCTGATTCAGTATAATGTTCTTCGAAACTGCCATTAACATTTTACAGCAGTTTCTTATTTAAGTTTCACACTTGTTGCTTCCCGAGGATTCTGTCGCCGAAGATTAATCGCATCCAAAAAGCTTTGATGTAAATTTATTCGAATATTGAAAATCTTTCGTACTCTTCCAACTATGAAATTAAGTTCCTAATCAAATGAAAATTCAATTAAATTAACGATTGTAATCCTCTCTTTATCTTTATTTACAGCGACTGGTTCACAACTACATGTCATATAGCGGAGATTATCATAATGAGATAATTGTAAGCTTATTCACATACACGACCTACATATCTGGAATTCTCTATTATGTGTCGACGTGCATCAATCCAATCTTGTATAATTTGATGAGCAATAAATTTAGAAGTGCATTTAAGGTGAGAAGATTGAAAAGTTTTAAAAACCAAAACGAAATAGCTCCCTTGGTGTCAGAGATGATGAAGATGAGTAGGAAAAATATTTGTGACGTACAGCATAAATAGTATATTCATTTACCTTTTAAATGTCATCAATTTAAGTCATTTCTCATGAAGCACTTGCTTCTCGTCTTCCGTCTAAGTTCCCTTGTATAATAAATTACAAAAACAACGGTCGGCGACATTTCATTCATTCTGATAAAGAGACCTATTAATTTTTCATATAAATGTGACAATTGTGTACGTCATTCAGACTCATTCAATTTCAGTCTCTCTTTAGGAGACACTTCAGAAAAAATGCTGCCAATGTTCTACAGCACAAGCCAACTACCAAAAGCGCGAATACCGAATATTATCGAGAGGGAAGCGATGGAATGTTCAATCTGAACCATCAGAGTATTCAGGTATTGTAGAGACAGTCAATAGATTTTATACAACAGTGCAGAGTTGTTATTCATATACTTGGACGAAATCTTATGCTCAAAACTCTAAAGAATTTGTATGGATATAGACGAAGACGTTGTCTTATGACTTAAGGTAATAAAGGTACTTTATTATTCAGGTGTAGTTGCTGTTAAGGTTTCTTCTAAATTTTACTGTTTTTTATGCGGTTTTGATGGCTTTACTCCTGAGCTTTCATTTTAAATGCAGCTAAAAATCTATAACCAACAAGCCTTTTTAAATTTTATTATTGTTGGGTATTCAAATGTCATTTCAAATTCAAATATTAACATATTTTACCATAGTTTCTTGCCCCTTTATATCAAATTTTAATCTTCTCTTACCTAAACTTTAAAGCATAAACATCAAAAATCATTTTTATAAAGACATTAAAAGCTTCAAATCTGATGTTATGGTAAGACTACCCTGTTTTTTCGTTATAAGCTACTGCTCGTTACTAAGCTACTAGCTTAGTAAAGTTTTTTGAACTTGAAAATTTTTTGTAATCTTTACTAAGCTACTACCAAAAATATAGTTTAATTAATTTTTTTCAACTTTTTAAGTATCAGTTTCAATGTCTTATGACATTGTCAATGAAATAAAATCGGGAAGATAGCAAAATTTCTTTAATTAAGTTAAAAAATTCAAAATTTTAATTGAAGTTCAATTTCTTTACTAAGCTACTACTCGTTACTAAGCTACTAGTGATCCGAAAAAATCACTTTTTTATTCTTCTAAGCTACTAGTTTATAACGAAAAAACAGGGTAGTTATTGTCGGATAACATTAAGGGTTTGTTTTTTTTTTTTATTCAGTTGATTCATTATAATATATTAGCATTTCTGCTTTTTATACTTAAATTAATTTTTATAATATAGAGTAAGCATCAACATTAGGTAGTTGCTCATTACAACGGTTGTTCATTAATGAATGATTCGTAAATAAATTCTTTGAGTCTGGTTTTGAATGAACTTATAGAGCTTGCATTTCTTATGAAGTTTGTAATATTATTGTAACCAAGATATATAGATAAGCTCATACAGAGTATACTTGACCATACTCGACCATACTATTTTTTGTGTACTTATACAAACAAAAATATTTAAAATTTTCTATTTTCAAGTTTTCATTTAAATATCGACAGATGCAACAACATTTGTCTTAAGTCAGTTTCTTTAAATTATAGCAAAGCATTTGCAATACTCCTGTATCAACAAAACTTAACAGAAAGTTGAAAATTTTGCAAAACAAAAATTGAAAATTTTCTTTTATAGTGTTAGTGTTTTTAGAAAATTCAAATTTTTGACGTTTAAAAACTGCGATATTTTTGTATGAGCACATCTATATATCTTGATTGTAACTTACAAGTTTTAAACAATTCTAACCACAATCATCACATTTTGCCAATTGCAAATTTTTTAATTATATTTAAAAACCTTTAATTCAATGCTTAAGCTTTAAACTAACAACATGAGAGTAAAACAGTCATTCATTTGATCAATAACAACTCTGTAACTATTCATCAATTCTCGTTCCTTTTTCAACCTATATTTTCAATCCATTTATTCATTCATTTCTATTCTTCTATATCTCATTTTCTGATTCACACAATAGGATCCGGAAAGGACGAATATTACTCATCATCTACTCAAAAACAATCAATCGAGACTATAGCGACATCGAGAAACACATCTTGTAAACAACTGAATAAATATTACACAGAAAATTTTGGAAAAACTCTACCTATAATTGAAATGGGATCATCAGTAACGTCACGATTCCCAAATGCTATAAATGAAAATGAAGAGATGACAAAAAATTGCAACACATGTCTGTCAACGAAAATTGTCGGCTCTGAAATCAACTTATTTCCTGACTATTATATTAATGAGATTCAACTCAATATATTTCCGCCATCTGCGTCTTATACAGCAAGAACGGCGACAACTATACAGGGTAAAAATAGAACCAATAATCAATGTGAAGAAGGTGGTGGTGGGAGTGTAAGTCCTTTGAGAACAGTGAATTGCCTAAGCATAGATGTCCATGAAAATAAATTGCACACATTACTCAATGATGTGTGTGGTGAGACGAAGGATGATGCAGTTGGCAATTTCTCACATATTTCATTTAAGAAACGAGATAGCATCCTACACATTTCCATTGGAAATTCCTCAAAAATAATGAAGCGAAGCAAGCATAAAAGACGATGGTTCTTCGCTAAATTCTACAAAATGTCACGTAAATCAAAGAAAGAGAAGAATCAAATGTTTTTAAATTCGCAATTTGGCAGTCGTGAAGGCAATATCAACGAAAACAATTCCACTTATCATTTAAATCATACCGAAAGTTTAAATATTGTAAATGACAATTTAGTGATAACAATAAATAAGAAATCTCATGAGAATAATCATGAAAATCATATTGATAATAATCAATTAAGGATATTTGAAAGAGATTTGGATTATGGTGCTAATGAACTTGATTTTTATATGAATGAGATTAAGAAGCGAGAAAATAGGGGTGGTTATGAGGTCTGACACGATGAGGATCCTAATTAAATTTTTTTTTAATAAGCTAATTAGATAATAAGGTTAAAATCATGAAAAATTGGATTATTTTTTTTCTATCCCATGATATTGTTTAATTAAAGCTTTTGTTACATGCAAATAGAACAATGCACACTAAATGAAGACAACGATAATCATATTACTTGTCGCGTACGGGTTTTGCACAGATTTAATTGAATTTTAACCCTTCTCTTTGTTAATTTTGTTTCTATAAATTGAAAATGCAAAGCTTAGCAGAGATTCAAAGTAAGTTTTTTGCAAGAACTCAACTTCAAAATTGATTAACTTCCTCGAGTCATAGAGATCTCTTCTGTCTTTAAGATGGTTTTCAAATCTCTTTGACAACGTGAAAGTTTCGAACACAATTAGTTTTTGAGGCAAAAATTCAAAGAATTTGACAGAAGAAGCTTTTTCAAATATCAAGAATGCTCAAATTTAAATAATTTGAAAATGAGACTCAAAAATAAAAACAAAATGGTACTTAAATCTTAAAGATTTTGATTTTACGTGTATCTTGTCTTAAATTCTTGTTAATTGAAATTGAAATTCAAACATCAGTTTTAATTAATTACTAAAATGTCATTAATTTCCGTATTTGAGGTTTCTACATCATTAACGGGTCGGTTTTTAATACAGAATCATATCTGGTTTCTTAAGATTATTGAATTGAAACTTTAATTAATTAATAACTTTATCTAAGTGAGTTTTCATTCCAATAATATAAGGTCATGGTTTTGATTCGAAATCTTTTGTTGCAAACTTTGTATTAGATTCAAAAGTAGCTTGTTAAAGAAGGTATGAGTGACTAATTTTCCATAGTCTGGTAAGGGTGTGTAATTAAAGTATTAGACGGAAGCCTCTAGAGTTTGAAGCTCTAGTTCCAACCAAGATTTTTGGTGTAATCGAGGCCAGATCCAAGGACTCGTAGATATAGTCTTCATCGGTGCAACTTCAATCTTACTTTTCTTCATAGATCTTATGATAAATTTAAACTTGCTCTTTTCCTTAATTTTCTTCAAACTTTTCATTTACATCGAAATTAACTTTTAAATGTTTTATTTTTGCTATATTGTCAACGTTACTGATTGGTTTGGGAAGGCGTAATTTGTTTACTCGTTTAAAAATTATATTGGCGTTTTAGCCTAATTATGTACCCTTCATACGTAAGCGTAATCTTGTCAAAATATTTATCGAAATAAGAAAAATCTTTGTTATATTTTTATATCATTGTTATCAATTATTTAAATTTAATTGAATTATATATATTTTTGGATCCCACTATAAATGAAGCTATAAACCAATAAATGTCCAATTTAAGAATTTAAATTTGTAAAAATGAAAATAATGTAAATTTTCAGTGTTCAGTGAAATGAATGTTGTTAAAAATGATTAAAAATGTCAAATTTGAATGACTGAATCAGTTGTTTAGTACAAAAATTACGTGTTTAATATTTTTTTTTTCTTTTTTTCAAAAAACAAAGCTCAAAAAAGGTGAAATAAATGAAATTTCTCAATTAGGTATTTTGTTTTTATTCCAGATAATATTTTACAGGTTCACTTTTTGTCGCTGTATTTCTCGTTATTCACCCCTCATATCTCAAAGTAAACACTAATTGGGGATACCCGGATAACTCTAGAAACCTTGACTTATGTTATGCATTATCCAATTTATTATTTTTTGCAGACAATCGTTGGCCACGTGGTGGAGTTAAATTCAAAAACCATAACGATTCAATAAAATTTAAAGACAAGCTTAGCTCAGTTTTAAGCAATATTTAAAATATTTTCAACCGTTACACTTTACAACTTTTTATATTCAGAAGTGACTTTAATTAAAAGGTTTTAAATGATCACCATATTTTTTTCTATAAATTTAAATACTCCTATTTTAATTGCTTTACTACTTGACGTGCTTAATATTTTTTATACTTATAATATTCAAATTGAATTCCCGCATTATTTAACGGCTGTCTCAAATTCAAATTTCACCTCATCATCTATAAGGGCAATTCTTTGGATGAGTGAAATTTGAAAAGAATGAGCTTTCATAATCCAATGTCAATGAGTTTTGTGTCAATAAAATGTTTTCTTTAATTTCATATTACTGTGAAGGAATAATAAGCCAGAACTTTCGTAGATCATTAAGCATAATTAATTCTTTACAGGTGATCTATTGAAATGTTACAACTCACCCAAATTAAGTGAAAAATTGAAAAAATATGTTTGAAAATTTTGTATTTTTTCACGGATTAAGACAAAAAAAAAGCTTCTTTAGAACTCGATGACACAAGGAAATTTTTCAAAGAATTGAAATATTTCATTAATTACTGACTTAAAGCACACAGAAAAGCAACCTAATTAAAGATTTTTGTCTGTTCAATAACTCAGTAAAAGTTATTCAATGTTAATTTCAATAGTTTTCTCTAATTTTCGATTCTTCGGATGATGAAAATTAAAAATTCCGATTTCTGTCATCGAGTTATTGACAAAAGAATCCAAATAACTTAATTAATACAGCGATTAGAAGTATATGATATCAAAAGGAGTGTACATTTTAGATTTTTACATCGATAAGAATCATAAAATCAGTGCCTCTGATGGGAAAAATCAATAAAATTTCGATTTTTTGCTGAAAATTTTCCGAAAGTCATCCAAAGAATTGCCCTATAAACAAAAAAAAATCAATTCAAATTAAATTTTGTATTATTGAATTAAAAAATTAATTAAACTAGTGAAAATGAATAGTCAGTCGCGCCGAGAGTTGGAATTTCTTCAAGAGCAGGCACTGTTATTAGAGAAGAACTCAGTATCTTTAACTCAAATTACGCCAAAAAATAATAATAATAATAATGGAACTAAGCAGCAAAATTCAATAACTCCTAGTGTCAATATAACGCCGAATGTTAACATTACACCTAGCATACAGCAACCAACATCACCAGCATCTAATCTTTCTAAATACTCTCAATTATTGATGGTGATTGAAGAAATGTCCAAAGATATTCGACCAACATACAGCGGATCTAGATCATCTGCTGAACGATTGAAAAGAACAATAGTAACAGCAAGAATCTTGGTCAGAGAATGTTTATTGGAAACGGAGCGGCAACAAAGTGGACGTTAAACTGCAATAATCATACAATATATAAAAAATTTCATAAACTTATTGCCTGAAAAAAGATTCTCAAAATATATATTAAGAGAAGATGGAATCTTGTACCGCACGTATACTTTCATATTACTTATTAAAAAAATTTATTAACATATAAAAAGATGACTTTATGGTAAGAAGTATCATGAATATATCTATTTTATAAAATAATTAGATTCAAATTGATAAGTACAAAGACAAATGAACCTTATAAATCAATATCACAAATACACACACAATAGCTTCAAATTTTTAATCAAAAACCTGAAAATCAAAAGAAAATCTGCCACATATAAACTAATTTAACAATTGACTAAGACGACATTAAAAAATATAAAGTAAAAAAAAAATAACAAAATTGACACATAAACCTCAGGACATGATATGATAAACTTTTTTGGCATGTAATGAATGTATACCGAAATTTTATAGGAAATTACTTTATTCGATGATCCTTTTTGATGATTTAAACGATCTTTATTAATATAGAATTTAAGTGAATTAATTAACTTCCGAGTATGGAAGCTTAAATACCAATTATTAAGGAAAATTAGATTTAATAAATAATTTTATGTGAGTATTTAAGTCAAGAAGAATGTCATTTTTGTCAGAATATCTCAAGTAGTAGCTGATTAGTTTGATCCTGTTCATGTCTGAAAATTTGTTTGAAAAATTAAGTTTTTGACAAACATCAGAAGGATTAATTGATAATTTTGAAATATATGTCTTCGTCTTAACTTGAGAATAAAAGGATTACTCAAGATCTACTATCACAGATTTGGTCTATACTCTCTATATATCAGTCCTTCAATAGAAGTCCCTCTAAAACATTTTAAGTCAATACTTAAACAATCAGAACCAAACTAGCTCGTTGATTGATGTTTTGATGAACTTAATCACAGATCTTAATCAAACTCCCAAAAAAAAACTTCAATTTCAAATCAATGTTGAACGTGTTTTTACAAATCGTGAAAGACTTTATCAGTGTCACATTTGAGATTCTCGATGCAAATGACTTTTTCTTATACATTAAGCATAATCTACAAATCAGAAATCGTTGAACTTAAGTTCAAAAATCTCATTATGCAAAAAAAAACAAATGAAAAATAAAAAACTAGGAGTGATTCTAAAGCCGACAGCTACGTGTGTCTAAATTATTTCTTATCTATGCAAGATTTGTTTATGTCTAGCGACCTTGAGAGGTGTTAAATATGCTAATCGACAATCTGTTTTTGTGCATATTTAATGTTTTTGTTAAGTGTGATGTTCAGTCAAGATTTTTGATGAGTTTTTTTAAGAAATAACTTTTAACTAAGCCTTATAGATCCAAACAAACATTACAGCATTAAAGAATCAACCTTGGCTGTTAGATCAACTCGATTATATTTCAAATGAATGCTCGGGAATGCAATGGAATACTTCTAGCCCAGGTGTTGTTGTTTACAAATAAGGAATTGCATAAATTCCACATCTCAAACTAGCCTTTCACCCACTCAACTTCCAGTTATGATAATCTATAGAAAATTAGCATTAATTCCGCAGTTTTTGATCAAAATAAAATTGTAAAATTTCGTTTTATTTCTTAATAATTCAATTACTTTACATTTTTAATCATAAATTTTCAATTAGGTGCTGTAATTTAGCTTTTCTTTATTTTAATAATCCTCAATTTTCTTTTTTTGATTCCTCATTTACATCTTTTGGATAAAATATCTGATAATCACGGTTTAAGAGCTTATGTGTCTTATCCACAACATCTAATGTCAATCCTTTATTTTTGAGCTTCAACCAATGATCAACAAAGCTTCTATTTGTTTCATGAACTCTGTCATGATTTAAATATTCATCTACATCCATCCAGCAACATTTGGCGATTTCTCGTTCACATTTTGTGATTTCCTCGGTCAAAGGAATAAGCTTCATTATGAAGTAGAGGTCACTGCAATTAAAGGCAGCACTGTGTGCGTGACGGACTGCAAGAACTGGATTATTAGATCAAATGGTCATAAATTATTGTTAGTACACAAATAGGACGGAAAGGATTTCTGAATGCTACTGGAAGCTATAGCTATGGATTTGTCAAACTACTGAGGGATTAGTTACTTGTCTAGTGTTAACACTACAAAAATTTTAATTTTGTAAACTATAAGTTTTTTAACATTGTTTCAAAATTCAAATTTTACATAAAATTTAAAATTTACGGTTTTTCAGAAACCCTTAAAACAACTTTTACCTGACACAAGACTCTCAAATTTGGTCTGAATATTCGTTTCTTCTTGAACTTCGCGAATCGCTGCCTCAATTAGATTCTCTTTCATTTCACAATAACCACCTAAAATAATCCGAGGTCATATAAAACTGTTGATAAATAAAAAACGTTTGTACTTTATACCTGGCAGTTTCCATGAGTTTGGAATAAGTGCATTTTTTTCGCTGACAACAAGCACTTGATTCTTATCATTAATAACAAGAGCACCAACACCGACCTGTTATCACAAAAATTGAATTAGTATTATCTTTATAGATGGCTTAAGATTATAATAAATATTCATGAAGTTTTGACTCGGATTAAATTTCTGAAATTTAAAGTTTTAAGTCCGAAATTATAGTTTTAAATCAATGGAAAGTCATCAATAAAGTTAGTAAAACAGGACCATTATGAAGTAAACTCAAAAATTCGTAAAATTAAGCCCAAACATAGTAAAATTTTGAAATTTTTTAAAACATAACCTTGAAAGAAGCATTGAAAAGTCGCAACTTTAAGATTGTGATATAGACTCGTGTTAAATAACCTTACCTAATAAAGATAACAAATTAGGGGCCGTTCACTTATTACGTTACGCAAAAAAACGACTTTTTTCACCCCCCCCCCCCCCCTTGTTACAATATGTTACTACTCATACCCCCCCCCCCCTGAACGTTCATAATTTATTTTATCATTAAAAAATGTTTTTGGTGTGAATTTGTAAACAAATTTTTTTCGTGAACTTTTTTTTAAAAGACCCTTACATACGTTACATTTTTTCAAACCCCCCCTCACCCCTAAAATGCGAACGTAATAAGTGAACGGCCCCTTACTACTGCTAATCAGTAATTAATGACATACCATTGTGTGTGCGAAAGGAGGCACAGTTATTTCTTCGTTTTCTGGAAGCCACTTGTACATCATAACGAAATCCTCGCGAGCATGATGGAACTTAAAATCATTCTTAACCAAACTTGGTATCCACGTTGACTGCTCTCGATAAACTTTGAACCATATTGCGCGCCTTTTCTGTTCAATCCAGTGCTCGAGAGATTCTGAATGAGGAATGATAACAAAATAAATTGTAAACAATCGATTACCTATAACGTACTTATTTGTGAATGCATCAAAATGACCCTGAACTTACTTGCAAGTGTATTATCAAACGATTCAGCAACACCACAACATTCTACAATAGAATCGACGGTGATCCCTTGAAACCGATCTGACACACCTTGAAACAATCCATCTATTTTATTTACATGCTCGTATCTAAATACAATGAAGAGAGACTCTTGTTTAGATAAAAGCTTAGAGGAACACACGTGTAACGTGACAACAATAAAAATAAATTAAAACATTTCAACAATAAATGTAAATCAAGTTGTTCCTCAAGTCTGCGTGACTTAATGACGAACTTGCTGATTGTGGAAATCTTTTCTTAATTGAACTTTGAATTTTTTCGATTTGTTTAGGAATTTATTGACCCAATTTTTTTCACTTCCTCAAGTTTATGTCACGACTTGAAAATTTAATAAACTGATTTTGTAAACCAAAAGTTAAATTTTAAATAACTTCACTAACTTATTAAACCATTTATCGGACTGGTTTTGCATTAAATTACTACTTTCATATGATTGTTGAGTTGCCATTATACGATTAAGTTTCCGCTGTAATAGTCTCTTCGAGTGACTGTAAACTAATGATATAGACGACTTATTAAAATTCATTTAAATATTTAACTAGAATTTTTTTTTTTGCTATTATAAACACTTAAATTTACACTTTATCATTAAATAGAACTCTCATCAGTGAATATGTGAGACTAGTTACATATTTTTGAGTCTCAATTTTCGTGAGAAATTCGCCAAAGATCACAAATATTTACTATCTCTCACTTTTTTGCTCACACACTCAGGTCTGCTGAAACTGTCTTTTAAAACACTTGACAGTTATTTAATTTTTTAGCGCATTTTTGTAACTTGTTTCTAAAAGGTAGCTTAATATCTCACTTTGTCTGTTCGTTCGGGCGGAGAAAAACTTTTTAACTAGACATCGTATAGAGTTCTAGTTTGTTTTATTAGCTCAGTTCCATTGTTTTATTTTCGGGAAACGCATTTAAAAGTCTTGAAACAGTGTTTTTGTACTATAATTAATGATTTTTATATTTCATATGAAAAAACACGTGATGAGAGCGTTTAGAAATTCGAATTCATTTCTACCGTTGAAAAAACCCTCGATCAATAACACGAGGACTTCTGTAATTTTTTTTTAAATTTCTCGAGTTTTTTGTTCGTTAATTCTGAAAAATATTCAATTGCTGTTAATAAAGGTTTGACAGCACTGCATGAACATATGACCACGAAAATTGAGAGAACAGCCTTCGCTTCATTTCTCTTTTTTGCTTCAATGAGAGAGAAAATAAGAGTTTCAAAAAAATTACCGTTATTTTCTTTTTATTCAAAAATTTCTTCATGTTCTTTATTATTATTGTACTCAATTGTAAGGAATTTTAGACAACTTTGTAACGGGCCTTATTAATTAAATGATGTGATACATTCTTAATCTTTAAGAGTTCTTCCTTAATTAATCGAGTGATTTCACTCTTTGCTTTAGACACAGCTCGTTCACTGCAACTTTCAATCGCAAGATATAGTTTACGTTCACCTTCAGGAATTGGTTTTCCTGGTGGAACAAAAGTACCTCTAACTGTTAGACCAGCTTCAGAATATTCAGATATTTGAGCAAGTGCTTCCTTTGATGTGACTTTCCATCTTGCTTGTTGTGGAAAATCATTAATCTCCAATTCTTCTTCGTACTTTTTAAACATTCCATCTGTTTGCTCCATCATTGCGTCCTCATCATCTTTAGGTTGATAATTAAGCTTCGTGTTGAGTTTCGATGCAATTTGCTCTGCAATTGTTTTATTCTGAAATATAATTTAACGGGTTTAAATTTTAAATGAACTGAAATGAAATGAACTCAAAACTTACCGTAATCAACTGTGTGGACACACTTCCTTTGCCAAATATAGCTTCTGCAGCCTGTTGTGTAGCTCCTTTCGCCTCAGCACCCAAATTCTTAGTGATATTAATTCGAGATGCCAATTTTTTAGCCAGTTCCAATTTATCTGTTGATGCTGTTGCGACTGCTTGAGGCGGTGGAGCAGCTGGCTGTGGAGCTGCAGGAATGATTGGTGATTGTATTTCTTTGACTGTTCGTTTTGTCGCAAACATGCTCTCAATTGTTTGATCAATGTCATTTTCTAAATCATCTTCGTCGTCGGAATCTACGAGACCTAATGCTGCTTTCTGTAACTTTTTCATTTCATTAGCAGCTGCTGCTTCTTGCTCATCAAATTTAAATCCTTTTCCACTAAATCCACCACCGCTATAAACTTTCTTTCCAATTGCTTCTTGACCTTCTTTATATGTATCAAAAAGATTTTGTAGCTCTACAGGAACTTCTGTGCTGGATAATACAAGTGCTCTCAAAATATCACCAGAATATCTGCCTTGATCTGGTGTTAAGAATGTCCAAGCATATCCCTTATTTCCAGCACGTCCTGTTCTACCAACTCGATGAACATAATCCTCATAATGATTTGGACAGTCATAATTTACGACAAGAATCAAATGCTTAACATCTAAGCCACGAGCAGCCACAGACGTAGCAATTAGTAATTTACATCGGCCACTTTTAAAATCAGAAATTGTTGAGTCCCGATCATATTGATCAATTCCACCATGTAAGCTCATACACGGATATGAAGCCTTCATTAGTTCCTTTAATAATATATCTGCATTTTCTTGTTTGTCAACAAACGCAATAATCGATCCATGTTCCTGATAATGTCCCAAAAGTTCCAATAACTTAAAGAATTTTGCATCTTCTTCAAGAATAGCAATATGCTGTTCTACTTCCTTACAAACGACTGATCGTCCACCAACTTGAATTTCTATTGGTTTCTTCAGAAATCTTCTAGCCAGTGCTTCCATTTGTCGAGGAAATGTGGCTGAAAACATGACAGTTTGCCGATCTGGACGAATATTCTCTAAAATTCGAACGACTTGAGGCTCAAAACCCATATCGAACATTCTGTCAGCTTCGTCACACACCACATAAGTTACTCTCCTTAAATTTGTCACTCGACCAGAATTGGCAGCAAGCATATCTATCATTCGACCTGTTGAATATATGAATAATAATTATTGCAATTTTACTGGTCATTTTGAATTTAAAAAAAACTTTTGTATGGTTATAAAATTGAATTTCAGAAACCCCACACGTTGATCGAGAAAGTGAAAAGTTTGTCAAAAATTCAGCTTATATGCTTATGTTGTAGACATTGGTCCTTGGTTTATGGGAAAAATAATTTTTTCCCCACGAGAAAAGAAGGTTTGAATTTTTGTACTTCATATAATTTTGAAAATGCTATTGTATTTCATATTTATCCGTTTGTCTTCAATATTTTCTATTTGATAGGTACAAGTTAGAGCTTTCTTATAAATATCCACATGATATACTTTTGATGTATATTGGTTCCTAAAAGTTGAAAAAAGTTCAAAAAAACTAGGTTTTTTGTCATTTTTTGGACTTCATGACTATATCAGGCTTTCTAAATATTTTTAAATTGCAGTATTTTGTAGATCTCATTTATATCTACAAACATCACATGCATAATCTACAGATTTTATGTAGTTTGAGTAGTGAAAATTAACTTTGAAGTCAAAAACTTGCATATTTTTTGCTATATTCTCAATTGTGATCCACTGTCCATGTCCGGCTCCCAAATTTTATTTCATTAACTTGTAGACCCTAGTATGCTCTATCAATTAATGCAATAAGAAAAAGGAATCACTTGCCGGAAAGCTTCAAAATATGAGCCTGAAGTTGGTCTAGTGAGGTATCTCAAAATTCAAAATGAATTTTCACATACCGGTCTTAATGAAAGGAACTGAAATTTTCAGGTTTTATTCAAAAAGCAATGTACTTAACATCCACAGCAAAAGTTTTTAATTAAAAACACAATTTTGTTGAAAATTTAGGCAAAAAGTGATATATGATGTTATGAAACCATTAAATGCTCAATAGAGCTACTATAATCAGTTTAAATCAAAACATATCTACAATTTTCATATAGTTCATTTAAAAAGCTTTCCAATGGTATATAATAAGTCATATAAAGATGTAATTTCTAGTAAATATCATCAAAATTTTAAAAAATGTATCAAATTTTACCGAATCTGAAAACCTATGCTTGACATTTTTGCTTAGAACTATTTTAAATCTTAAGTATATGCATAATTTTGGTATTGCTACAAAACTTAAAGTAGCGTTGATGTATTTAAATACTATAAAAAAAACTTTTTTAAAAAAAGCACGCTTTTATTTCCGATTACAGTGCACTAAAAAGGAGAAAATAATTTTTTTTCTGAGAACTCAAATTTGATACAAAATTTTGTGACTAAAAATCAGGGACCAAAATGAATGAAAAAAATCTGTGATGAAAAACATCATTATTTTTGATGATGAAAAAAATTATGATTTTTTTTATCTACGTAAATTATTACGTAAAAGTTCATCACGTAAGAATCATTTTTACGTAGGATTTCATCACGTAAAGCAAAAAATGCAATAAAATCACACCAAATGTATTAATAATGCTAAATAATAAGAACAAAAGATAGAATAGATTAGTTTTGCTTAAAAAACTTGCATAAAAACATTTTTTACGTCATTTTTTGCTTTACGTAAGCGTGTAAGAGTGAAAGCAATCGTATTAATAAATAATAATAATAATAATAATAAATAATAACTTGTACCTATCAAATAAAAAATATTTGAAGACAAACGGATAAGTATGAAACACAATAGCATTTTCAAAATTATATGAAGTACAAAAATTCAAACCTTCTTTTCTCGTGGACCAGGCACTTCTAGGGGAAAATTTTTTTTTTCGCATAAAACAGGGACCAACGTCTACAACAAAAGCATATAAGCTGAATTTTTGACAAACTTTTCGCTTTTTCGATCAACGTGCCCCATTTCAAATTAGGATTTTAATTAAATTTCAGCATTACCTGGAGTACAGACGATGATTTCAGCTCCTCTCTTAAGTTCAGCGATTTGCTCGCTAATGCCAGTTCCTCCATAAACACAAACGCATCTTAAACCTAACGATTTTGAAAACTTTTTTATATCCTTGCCAATTTGCATGCACAGTTCTCTTGTTGGTGTCATAATAATTGAAACTGGACCATCGCTTTCTTCTAGAGGCGGTTGATCGAGGATGTGACGAAACATGGGAATAATAAAGGAAATAGTCTTGCCACTTCCAGTTTTAGCAATACCAATTAAGTCACGTCCGCTCATAATTGCTGGAATCGCTTGACATTGGATTGGCGTTGGTTTTTCAAAGTTTAATTTCCTTAAAATATCCATTTCTTTTTTAGAAACTCCGCACTGTGCCCATGTTCTTATTGGCTTTGGACATCCTTTACCCTTGACTTGAATATCTTCTAATTCAGTTCTATAAGCATCAACTTCCTGTTGTGTCATTTTGGCTAATTCTGGCACTTCCACATAGAAATTCTTTTTAAATTCATTATAATCCATTTTTGTATGATCGATTTTTGGAAGCTCCTTTTTTTGTTTATATGTTGCTAGATTTGCAGCAGTATCTTTAATATCCTCGAATTCTTCTTCACTTGAATATTCTAAACCATCTTGATTTTGCTCAATCAATTCACCTTTCTTTATTTCCTTCTGTTGCTTCTTTGCATTTCCAGTCACAATTACCAATCCAGCTTGCCCGGAAGTTGTTTTTGCTGTCGTCGTCGAAACCTAGAAAATAATAAAATTTAATGTATTTAAGAAATTTGAATTTTCATGAAATTTTTGAGTGCCTATTAAAATAACGTATTTTAAAATTTCTAAACTTCACTTTTACGACCATATCATTTTTGGGCAATTCCAAGGACCTTTTTTTTCTTGACATCCTTCACTTAATGCAATATATGCGGCTTCGGTCGATGAGAGTGATACTCATGCTTGTTTGCGACATGCCCATGTAATTGTACTACCATTTAACATAATAATATATCCGCTATTGGATTTCCTATCAATTTTATTCTCTGCCCAATTTGCATCAGTATACATTATTAAGTTTTGCTCTAATGCATTTGAACTTAATCTCAATCTATATTGTCGTATTCCTTTGAGATAACGTACGACTCTTCATCTAATTTACCATTCAGAAAAGCTGTCTTAATATCATAATGCTTCACATGATATTTTCTCTTTGCTGCAACACTTAACAATGTCCTAAATGTGCTTGGTCTAACAACTGGTGCGAAAATTTCGTCATAATCAGTTCCGTATTTCTGGTTAAAGCCTTGAGCAACTAATCGAGCTTTATAGCTTAAAACTTTACCATTTACATCTCGCTTGACTTTAAAAACCCATTTAGATCCAATAGCTTTACGATCCTTAGGTAAGTCAACCAGTTTACAAGTATTATTCTGATGAATTGCCTTCATTTCATCATCCATTGCTAATTTCCATTGCTTACTATCAACACATTGAATTGCTCCATCACATGTTCTAGGTTCCTTTATATCAGCTTTCTCAGCCTTACATACATAATAATCATATTTTGATGTATTTCCAATAATCTGTCTCGTTGAGCGTCTTATTGTAGCATCTGGATCAATAACATTTTGTGTTAATGATTTACTGATAAAATCTTCATCAAACATGTACATGATCCGTCTCATAAATGCTTACTTCCGACTCATAATAACTTTCATTGTCATCCATGTCTGACACTATGTTATTATTATCATGCTCAAGATTATTTACATCAACTTCCGGTAAGTCATTCAATTAATCCTCATTGTCAATGACTTTTGTCTCATCCGACTCCATATCTATGACGATTGTATATTCTTTATGTGTTAAATCACTTGTTGATATTTTCTTCCTTGATTCTAACACTTTTACATTTCTTGCTATTGATATCACTTTTGTTTCAGGATTTATTAATCTATAGCCTTTAGATGTCTCATCATATCCCATGAATTTCAATTTTTGTGCTTTTTGATCCAGCTTCCTTCGTTTCACTTTTGGAATCCAAGCGTAACAATCTGCACCAAATTCAAAATATGATTCTAGTTGTGGTAACTCATCATTCTACATCTCTATCGGTGTTTTTCCTGTGGTTCTTGTGATTAATCTGTTCTGAATATAATTTGCGCATGAAACAGCTTCAGCCCAATACGATTTGTCTAAATTTGCTTCAAATAGCATACTTCTGGCTGCATCCATCAATGTTCTGATTTTGCGCTTTCGTCCAAACTTATTCTTCAACATCTCAATAAATTGCACTACATGATTATTCACATCTGATTTTGACAATAGAAAATGCACATGTGGTTATCTTGTATATTCATCTATAAATGTCACAAAATATCTTTTTCCACCAATGGAATCTATTTGCATTGGTCCACAAACATCCGATACTATATCATCAAGTCTCTCTTTTGCTGGATTAATGGATTTCTTCAGAAAAGTTTCACGAGACATTTTCCCTTTGATACATGCTTCACAGTCATTTTTGCATTTACATTGAACAATCTTCAATCTGTCATTCATTTTCCTGATGTCATTCAAATTGCGATGAGCCAGCTTCAAATGCCACTGATGAATACAATATTTATTTGATTGTTTTGCAAAATTCAACTCAGCCATTTGACACTCATTTAGCATGTAAAGTCCATTTCTCAAACGTCCATTTCTGTACTGCCGATTACCGTCTACTAAAATTACAAGATCTTTATTAAATACTACCTTGTAATTTCTTTCGATGAGTTTATGCACGGATAAAAGTTTTCCTCTTGCTTTAGGAACGTACAGAATGTCGTAAATTGTCACATTGATTTTGACACCATCATCAGCCACAACGATTAAATCAATATTTCCTTTGCCAAGAGCTCTTAAACATTTTCCATTAGCAACTTTTATTTCTTCCTGAACGTCAAAGTTCAAAGAAGTAAAAGCTTCCTTATCGTTGCAAATATGACACGTTGCTCTGGAATCGATACACCAGTCAGTTATGATATCATCATCACTCAAATCTAATGCTACATGATCCTTCATTACTAATCCAGCTTTATGAAAAGACTTCTTGGATCCACAGTTTGTGTTTTTATTTTCACAAAATTTGCTGATGTGTCCTAATTCTCCACATTTAAAATATTTCACACTTTTTGCTTTGCTTTTTGAATTATTATTGTAACTTCTTGTTACTTTTAATGCTGTCGATGAATCAATTTCAACTTTTGTCTTTCGTCGATCTGCTTCATCCAGCAATTTTGCCTTTATATCGCTGACGATAAGTTTATCTTCATCTCTTGCCTCTAAAGCTGTAACAAGCATATCATAGTCCTCATTTAGACTTGCTAGAATAATTGCCTTCACGTATTTCTCCTCAAAAACATATATCAGATCCTTTAACTCATCAAACCATTCCTGTAAGTTTTGTAAATGCGTCTCCATATCGTGATCATCCTTTTTCAATTCAGCTTTAAATAGCTTTTTTACAAGTCTAGTTTTGCTGCACATTGTAGATCTCTGATAGAACATTTTTAACGCATTCCAAACTTCCTTAGCGGTTTTGTTATTCTTCACATATGTTAATTGGTTGTTATCTACGCACTGCTGCGCACAACGAAGTCAAGTCAAAATTGACGTAAATAATGTTAAGGTGTCTTTACGTCATGAAACATCTTTTAAAATTAATAAAATCGTTGCAAATTACTTTTTTAAAAATAAATGAATATAAACCATCGTTTAATTGATAATAGTGGTAAAATACATGTAAATGCAGGTTTTTGCATGTTTATGCATGTATATACATGTAAATGCGGGTAAATACATGAATATACATGTAAATGCGGGAAAATGCATGTATATGCATGTTAATGTGGGAAAATGACGGAAAATACATGTAAATACAGGTGAATGTGAGAAGATTTTACAGTTCTTTCCCCCTGTTAAAGACATCTAGAAAACTATTAATGGTTGTCATGCCGTTCTTTCTATCCTCTTCTATGATTCTGCATACTTAAATTGACTTGAAAGACACTCAATAGATAGAAAAATGAATAATTTTAATGCAATTAATGTATTATACCAACGCTTAAACCAAATTTTTTTTGATTAGAATCTTGTTTTTAAAAGTTTAATAGTCAATGAAGATCTTTAACTCGATTTAAAAAGTGTAAGCTTAGTTAAAGTTTATTTTTGAAGTAATCAAATTTTTAAAGAACATGGATCAAAACTTTATTTTTTTCGAAATTCAACTCATCCGTGGAATTGCCCAAAAATGATATGGTCGTAAAAATGAAGTTTCGAATTTCTGAAATTCGTTATTTTAATAGGCACTCGAAATTTTCGCAAATAATTTTTGAATATTTATCAGCCGTTAAAATTTTAAAAATCTTACCTTTGACATTTTGTTGATTTTTCTGACTTCCTCGTCAACAGCCTTCATATAAGCATCTAATGGATCAACGTCATCGTCCACTACTTCTTCTTCTATTATTTTTTCTTCGATTTTAGGCAGTTCTGGACTTAAAGGCTTGACAATCTTTTTTGATGACTTAATTTTCATATTAAAATCATCATCGTCATCGATTACAATCTTTTCCAGTTTTTTCTTAGGAGGACTGTCATGAATCGGTTCATCTTTAACTCTTGTTGGACTGTCTTCGATTTCAATTATTTTCACATCCTCGTCCTCATCATCATCTTCTAAGCTCCAAGGTTTTGCTGATGGCTCAGTTGAAAGTTTTTCTGGCTTTTTCTGCAGTTCCATTTCTTTCTTTTTACGTTCAGCTCGCCATCTTTCAATCCGTTCCTTTCTTTTTATCATTTCCAGCTCTAATCTTCGCTGTTCCTCTTCTTTATCAAACTTTGCTGGATCGAATTGATCATCCTTGATTTCAATAACATCTTTTGAGTCTTTTGTGAACTCTTTTGGACTTTTTGGGCGCTCATCACGAGATTTATCTTTATGCACCTTCTCTCTACTTCTGGATCTCGATTTTTTCTTGTCTTTTCCACTAAAATATTGAATAATATCAACGATTTTAAACGTTTATAAATATTAATTAAACTTACTTCTTTTTCCTCAATTCCCTGTCACGTTCACGTGATTTAGATCGATGTCGTTCCTTAGATTTAGATCGTTTCTTTTTCTTTTCACTTCTATCGCGATCTTTATCCTTATTTTTGGACTTTTTCTTTGCTTTTATTTCCGGTGTATCAGATCTTGAACGTCTTTTTAGCCTTGAATCCATTATTTTAAAGTTGTTTATTACTTTGACTATTTGCCGTCTAATCCAATGAACAATGTTAAATAGTAAAACTGTGATGAAAGTTTCGTTAAAGGAGATAAATTAATTAATTTATGATTTTGGTCTCAATTATTTTCGGTAATTTTAAAAAGTTGTTTGACCCTTCAAACAAAATTGTAAACATAGGGTACACAACTTTTTTCAAATGAAAACTGTTAAAATTATGACAGTCAGTCAAATGAGAACAATTGCGTATCGATTGCTAAGCTTAAAAGTGATCAACCCTTGGATTTTTTTCAAGAGAAATTGTTGCAATAAACATTTAACTTAATTTAATTAAACTAGATAGAATCAACTATTAAAAATGCTAACAAAGGAATACCGAATCGCGATGCCGTTGACTGTTGATGAATATCACATCGGTCAAGTTAGTATTCTTACATTAATTCACATAATAAAGTTTTCAATTTTAAAATTGAATAAATTATTAACTTTTCAGCTGTATATGATCGCAAGGCATTCAAATGAGCAGTCACAAGGTGGTGATGGAGTTGAAGTCGTTGTTAATCGGGAATGTTCGGAAGATGAAGAAAAGTGAGATCCAGTTAAACTGTTAAATAATCCAGTTTACTCAATAATTTAATTTTAGCATGAATGACAACCAAAAAGCGTTCCTTAAAGAGCGTGAGAAGCACACAAAAGGTCAATTTACTGAAAAGAGAATTCATTTGAGCTCAAGATTGCCATTTTGGCTACAAGCAGTCACTCCAAGAGTCTTTTATGTCACTGAAAAGTCTTACAATTTCTATCCATTAACAATAACAGGTATGATGTAGGCTAGTCTTATTATAGATACACATTTATGTCATTTGTCAATTTTTAGAATACACATGCTCCTTCCTGCCTAAATTTAGAGTTGAAATTTACACAAAATTCGAAAATAATAATGGGTCAACAGAAAATGTATTTAAAGTCCCAGAAGAAGAATATCCAACAATTACAATCGATCATATGGATATAGCATTTGATGACTTATCAAATCCAAAGCATTATAAGGAAGATGAAGATCCAAAATTCTTCAAAAGCTCAAAAACAAAACGTGGACCATTAATGGAAGGTTGGAGAGAAACAGACAAGCCAATTATGTGCTCATATAAGCTCGTTCATACATCTTTCGAGGTCTGGGGTTTCCAGACAAAAACAGAGGACTTTATTCATAGATGTATTCGTGATGTACTGCTTTTGGGTCATAGACAAGTAAGAATTAGGATTAAAGATTGAAATATTAACTGTCAAAAAATATTTAAAAAGTTAAGATCGGAAGATAGTTCAAATAATTATTGGTCGTTATAATTCAAATATTTTTCACCGTTAATCTATTGGATTTAAAATTAATCTTGGGATTTAAACTTTCCAGGCATTTACATGGGTTGATCAGTGGTACGACATGGATATGGATGCTGTCAGAGAGTACGAAAAGAAGTCTCAAGAAGAGACTAATCAAAAAGTATTGTCTGACGCTGAGCAACTACCAGAAATTCCTGAAAAGCAAGAAGAATTCACCAAAGATTTATCAGAAATTGACTAGATAACTTAACAATTGATGGATGTTAATTAAGTCTCAATATACTAAAAGTAGATTCTATGTAGTCAAATTATCGAATGAGACATTTCAAATGTGTTACCTGTACTTAAGATATAAGGAGGTATAAAGTTATGGTATTTGTAATTGCACTGCCTTTCTAAATTGCACGGAATAAATGTAAAATTAAATGATTTACATTGAGAGATAAAGTAACACTTAGCACGAATCTCTTTATTTTTCTTGAATTTTTTCATTCCTTACAAATTAAGCAGTTCTTCGTTTCATGCCAATCCAATTATTATTATTTTATGCAGCAATGTAACATTGAGATAGTTTAATTATCAGTGGGTAATGGCATTTGAAGCAAATTTAGGTAGCAGTAATCTCTCGCATTTAATTGGTCTTTATTGTTTGAGAGAAATCGTAGTTGATTGTTGGAATTACAGACTGCACAAACTTTAGGAAAATGATGAGATAAGAGTAAACCGATAATTCATTGCCGCCTTCCTCTGCCTATAAAAAGATAAAGATAAAGAGCTTTATTCGTTTTGTGCATGACCAGCATGGGATTTTTTCATTCGTTGGCTTTGTGACTCATGATAGCTTGCCATAATGACAAATCTAGAGTTCATAAAATGCTTAAAAAAGAAACAAAATTTAACGGTTTTGGAAAGCTCAAAGTTCAGGTTCAAGATTTGAACTCTGCAAAACAGTTAATTTCAAATTTTACAAAATCGTTAAAATATCGAACTTAACAAAACCGTTAAAATTTTGACATCTCCTGAGGAACTTACAATCTGTATGAACTTCTTCATTAAATCTCCATGTCTGCAAGGATGAACAGCTAACATCGAAGGTCCTAAAATAACACAAAATATTTACTGCATGCTCAATTAATAAACGAAATTTACTAGACTACCCAAATGGGGATGTTGCTCGAAAGTGACAGTCTTCTTAGCATTATCCTGTGAAACATCCTCAAACATTTCATCGACAGTCAATAGTTTCTTATTCTCATCATACCCAATAAGGAAGAGATGCGGTGTTTGATAATACTTATTATAGACAATATGAAGATCATAAGAGCGACAATGTACGACAGAATCAATTTCATTGTTTGGATCCGCAGATTTACTAGCAGTTGGCTGAACAATGGCAACAGATGGATCAATAGTTTCCAGCATGCCTGATTCTTCAAAATCCTCCATATCTAATGCCTCCTCTTCTTCCTCATCTTGAGTATTTGTTTCCTTTTCGCGCAACTCGTCTATTTTGTTGCTTTCTAATGTCATTTCTGCTACGCTCTCATTAATCTCATTTTCGTCATCGACTTCTTGAGTCACCCAGCCATCTTCGCCTTCTGTTTCCTCTACAATTTTTTCAATGCCACTAAATTCCATATCTTTGCATCGTCTTTGACAAGGAACATTCCTGAATAGGTGAACATATAACATGAGTTAAATATGAAAAATAAATAAAGAACTTCCCGTCATGCTTGACAGGCAAAAAAAAATCTAGTGCCACCTGTAAAATGTCTTACTTTGTAACTAGATATTGTTTATCTGCTGGCAAATAAGATTTAATCTTTGATTCATCTCCATTCGACCAGTTCCATGTCCTACACATATGAACTAAGTGATCGCCAGCAGCAACCTACAATGATGATTAAATAAATAAAGGATATCATTTAATAAAACAAAGAAATAAAGCATCAAAGGCTGTTACTTACAAACTCTTCTGGCGTCAATCGTCCATTCTCTTTAAATTTAGACTCCTTAAGAACGGGAGTAAGCTTCTCAGCCATAGAGAGCGACGTTGATTTAATTTTATTAATCATATCCATTTTTATCACCCAAAAAAAAATCACTTTTTAAGTCTCAACTTCCAATGAATCAAAAATATTTTAGACAAAACAACAACCGAGATGACACAATGAGTGATAAAGGCAGACTGACACATTGTGGATATTCACAGCTGCTTAATAGAAGATCATTTAAAATAGGGATTTAAATCTGATTTACTGACAGTTATTTTTTAATGTTAAAACCTTACAAATTCGTTACAACTGATCTTAAAACCTTATAAATGTTCTTAAAACATTTATAGGGTTTTAATGTTTTTGCATGTTTTAATTTTACATTTTTCACCAATTACTAGCTACACCTTCTTACACAAATTACAGTTATACAACAAGCAAGAATACGGTGTGGATATGAATATTTTCACAAATATTAGATCCCATCAGAGAAAAAAAGAATAAGAAAAGTGGAAAAATATTAATTTAACTTAATTAAACAGGAAATATTTCCTTTAAAGTAGTTAAGAATCATAAACTACTAATGCAAATTGTGTTCACAATAAAAACTTTCTAAATATTTTGGTGCTCATCCATAGAACGAAGATTATTTTTGTCGACCAAACCCATTAAAAAGAATCTAAATTGGAATTTAAAGATGTTTTCGTCCAATCTTGAGCTATCGAATGCTCAACAGAATCTGGAAGTAATTAAACAAGCAGTTATTGACTCGGGCGATGCTAGTTTACAGCTCGATACACTTGAGGACTTAAATTCACTACTTTCATTACTGGATGATCCAATTTTTCGGGATTTAATCAAGATCCAGGACGTTATATTAGAATTAAATGGACAATTACAGCAACATCCCTCAATTCTTCCAGCTGATTTTGATATTGTCCCGACCACAGGCGAACTTGTTCTAAATGTATCAAGAAATTCAGATATTTATGAAGGCGAATATGACGAGCAAAGAGGTAGGCGTTAACATTTTTTTTTCCTATGTATGATAATCAAATTAATTCATGCTCAATTTATATTTTAGTTCCATCAGCTCAAATATCACCGCGCAGTCTTAACAGCCCATCCAAATATAATGGTGAACAATATCATTCACTTGAGCGTAAAAACAAACACGATATAGAATTAATGACGCGTGAACCTACGGAACGTCCACAATCGGCAATTAGTAACAATTCTAAACAAAATGTTGACATTATGTCAAGTGAATGGGCTCAAGTGCAAGCACTTGAATTGGTAAATGATGGTACTGGCCTCGGATTTGGTATCGTTAGTGCTAAAAGTTCTGGAGTTATAGTAAAGACAATTCTTCAAGGTGGTGTAGCTGATCGTGATGAAAGATTACTGTCTGGTGACCACATTTTACAAATTGGAGATGTTAATTTATTCGATATGGGTTCCGAACAAGTTGCATCAGTTTTACGTCAGTCAGGTACGCATGTAAGACTTGTCGTTGCTCGTGCTGTCGATCCAATGAAAACAAATCAAGATGTTGATGGTGATTCTGCTATAGTACCATCAAGACTACTCTCAGATCCCCAAGAATTACAAAGGTACTTAATTGCAGCTGGATATCCAGAAATATTTGGATTCTTGCCAAGCTCAACCCCATCTTCACCCTCAATGCAACATCAAAAATTCACATTTAAGAATGAAAGTGAAATTACGTTGGAACTTCCAGAAACGGAAAAATTTACAGTAGAACTAAGAAAGGATTCTCATGGATTGGGTATTACAATTGCTGGCTATGTCTGTGAAAAGGAAGAATTAAGTGGAATTTTTGTTAAAAGTGTCGCTCCTGGCAGTGCTGCTGATTGTGGTAAAATTCAAGTTAATGATCGAATTATTGAAGTCGATGGACAGTCATTGCAAGGATTTTCAAATCATCAAGCCGTTGACGTATTAAAACAAAGTGGAAATGTCGTTAAATTAGTCCTAGAAAGATATCTTCGTGGATTGAAATTTGAGCAGCTACAGCAAGCTATTGCAGCTAATGAGATCAATAAGCCAACAACACCTGTCAAGCCATTTACTTCCATATCGCCAGCATCATCATCAAGACGACAATCATTTAATGACGAACGGAAGATTCTTATGGCTAGAGATTCTCTTGAGACTCGAACGGTTGCACAAAGTGTCTTGAATGACTATACAGGACAAGAGTCAAGCGTTGATAATGAGGAGGATTTAATTAATGAATTAAGCAATCATCACATTCATTCTACACCTAAACAGCACCACAAATATTATGTTGAGCCAAAATTATCAAAAGATCAAGAACTTGCTATAATGAAGAAATGGAAGTCTGTACTCGGTACAGAAGATGATAGCAGGATTATTGTGGCTCAAATTAAAAAGTTTGCAGCATCAAGTGGACTTGGAATCTCATTGGAAGGAACTGTCGATATTGAAAGTGGTAATTACTTGACTTTTTTACTTTTCTTTACCTTTATGCTTAATTATTTATAATTATGCAGGCGTAGAAGTGCGTCCACATCACTACATCCGATCTATACTACCCGAAGGACCTGTCGGTCAAAATGGCTTACTACATTCTGGCGATGAACTTCTGGAAGTAAACAACCAACGACTTTTAGGCATGAATCATATGCAAGTCGTTTCCATTCTCAAGGAACTTCCTCAAGATGTAAGTTTGCTTTTTATGACTCGTTTTTATTGTGCTTTAAACAGCTACAAATATTTTTTTTCGACATACTGCAAAACGTCATTTTCTTGTGCTGTATTATATTTTGTTGCTTTCTTGTTATGAAACAAAAAATTCTTTTTTAAAGAATTTCTTAAATGTTGAACTTTTAACTGAGAGTTTTAAATTTTTAACGGAATTTGAAAATTTAAATTTTCAACGATGTTTTATCGTTCAAATTTTAAACCGGTTCAATAATGTTTTGAATTCAAATTTTAAACCGGTTCAATAATGTTTTGAATTCAAATTTTAAACCGGTTCAATAATGTTTTGAATTCAAATTTTGAACCTCGTGAAAATTTGATTGAACTTAACTGAAATGAACTTTGAACAACTGAACAAAAAACGTTATTTTAATTAAATTTATCCTTAATCTTACAGGTAAGAATGGTATGCCGTCGTGGAATAACAGAGATCATATCATTCACTGAAGACAATTTCCGTAATTCACTACTCGATCATGGAAATGCAAATGACAGCAATAACAATTCGAATTCTTCTTTACTATCTGATCGATTAGTAAAGGCTAAGTCTGATGGAAGTTTGGCAACAGCAGTTGGAAATGTCGATGGTTTCATAAAAATGAAGTCTCGTTCATTAGAACCACTGACTGGATTAGCTATGTGGAGCAGTCAACCACAAATAATTGAACTGATTAAAGGAGAAAGAGGCCTCGGATTCAGTATTTTAGACTATCAGGATCCACTTGATCCAAATGACACACTTATCGTTATTCGATCGCTTGTACCAGGCGGTGTGGCTCAAATTGATGGACGATTAATTCCTGGGGATCGATTATTGTTTGTTAATGACACAAGACTTGAGAATGCTTCACTCGATCAAGCAGTTCAAGCATTAAAAGGTATGAATAATTTTTAACGATCTTTTCAAATTCAAAAAAATTAACAGATTTTTGAATTTTCAAAATTATGAACGTTAATTAACGACTTTTTTAACATTCAAAATTTTTAAGGTGCACCGAAAGGAATTGTGAGGATCGGAATCGCCAAACCATTGCCCATGACTGACTTCGTTGAGAATAGAAATTATTCAGCAACCGAAAGTTTTCAGGATGAATTAAAGATGAGGAAATCGATTCCTGACTTAATTAAAGAATGAGATGCACAGCAATTGTTAAAACTTCTTTTATCGATTCATGAGTTTGTGAAATATGTTGAGCAGCATGAAAAGGACGTTATCGTTATTTAAAGAGAATTCTATTTTATTTAATCACATTCCTAGTATTAATGGATCATTCCTGGCATGTCTATGAATTTATCCAATGAAAATAATATTCGTCTGTGCAATTATGTTAACTGTATCTTCCAATCTTAAGTATTCATTTTATCTCTCTCACTTGCTGACCTATTTTTTATTGTTCAAGTATTAGAAGATTTATATGCACGACTTTATGCCATTATGACAATTTATTTTGTTTAAAATAATATATGAAAGAAGTTTATACTTAATGACTACCTAAAATACGTTAAATGACATTTATAAATCCTTTAGTATTAATAATACAATGTTATTTGACAATTTAAGGGCGATTCCATGAGTGAAAAAAAATTTCTCAACTTGATTTTATGTCAATATTTCCTTAGTTGACTTCTTTTAACGCTATATCATGGATTTATTTCATGTATTATTATGATATTTATGCATTATAAAACATAATTCATTTCTAAAATATGTCTAACAAAAGATATCTCAAAAAAACTAAACTTAATCGGTCAACTTTAAGAAAAGGTGCTTCCATAACTTTCACTAATATTTCCTTAAATAAACATTGTTGTGTTTTAAATCTTTATAAAACACATGTGAAATGTTCTTGGCTTTCAAATAAAGTATAAATAAAACATTAAGATACTATAATTAAGGAGAAAATTGAAAAAAACATCACTTAATCGGTCAACTTTCGGTCGATTATTGCAAAACACAAATATGCAAAAAAATTCAAATTTTAGATTTCCGTTAAATTTCTTGAGGAAAAGTGAGACCACTGTACATTTTTTGAAGTATTTTAATAAACGTTTTGCATTTCTGAATATTTTTCATATTCATTTGAGAAAGAACGATATTTAAAAGTCCAAAATACTCTAAAAAAATAATTCTTTATTTAAACAAATTTTTTTAGAATAATTATACATCATAAATGTGTGCATTATCTTTCTTTGATGAGGCAGCGGCTAAAATTTTGTTGCCAATAGGCTCAAAATAATGATAAGACATGGTGCTTGGAATTGATTTGACATTTAACCATCTTTCTTCTAATTCTTCAGTATTTGACTTCATTTCATCGTATGATGAATACAAAACATTCATGTTTTTTGAAAAAGTATTAGCACAATCAACAAAATTTTGGGCATTTCTGATTTCGTGCAATCCTGACAGAATTCGATGCGAAACTTGACGTTTTAAGCTACCGCCAATTCCGTCAGCACAGCTTTTTCCATGGCTTGTAGGCATAAAATGCCAATGGGATTTTAGATGAAAGTCTGATTGCATGTAAATTAAACTGGATAGAATAAATTTATTTTTGAACTGAGCCGCGCATCCATCAGTAATGAAGTGTATATGCGTTAAATCTGGGAAAGGTTGATGAAGCATTTCGATGATTATTTTAATATAGTAAAAAACTTGGTCTTTTTGATGTTTAGTGTCATCGCTCAAAATTGCAAAAGACACAGTATTTAACTGGCCAATATAAGCTACAGCTGTAAATAATGAGAGTTGCTTCCGGTTGAAATATGCCGACTGAATTTCATCTTGCAATGCAATTGAGAAATTCTCACTATAATCCATATGAAGTATAACGGAAGAATCATCAAGCTCAAGTTTTAAATCCTTTAACATGCTATGCTGTGTAAAGACCAAATATTTGTGAAGTTTGTGTTTCTCAAAAGAAGCACAGAATTCGACTATAATGCCAGATACAGACTTATCTGGCATTTCGTGCTTTTGGAGAAAATTGTCAACTTTTATCCATTTCATCCATGTAACAGCATGATTATCACTTGATTGAATTAACAATGAACGAAGTTTTTCCTCATAGTCCCAGCATAATTCGCATAAATTCTTTGCACAATTATATTGAAGTCCACAAATGAATTTCATAAAGAAATCATCAAAGGTTAATACACTCTCAATAAAAAATGGTTTTAAAGCATCAAATAAAAATCGGAAATTAGAACAGTAAATGCAGCAACATACATTATGAGGAGTTTGGGAAAGAAGTAATACAAATTTCGGCCTTAGCTCAAAAAATTTGGATCTGCATATTATATGTTGTGGATATAATGAGCAAAATTCCGAATAAGCATCTTCTATAGTAGTAAGCATAACTCTTTTTTGTAGCTTTTCCTTGATTCCATTCTTGTTCTTGATAATTACAAAGTCTTTCTTGCCCGGAAGTTGACGTGACACAGATTCCAATAAATAAAATTCGTTGACAAGTTCAGGTATGTCACGGAAGTAATGACGTTGACGAGTACATTTAACTTTAGTAATCGCAGATCCTACATTCAATTGTAAATTTTCAGCAATTGCCTCTACCACCTCAATCTTTTTAGCTTTCTCCTTTGGTAAAATAGTTTCGACTCTCTTAATTGCTCGCTGTAAACCATTTCTTGACTTAAATTTCGTACCAATGTTACTTTTGTCATTTCGATCCTTTAATGCCTTTCTTTCCTTAGATTCCAAGGTTTGTTGACTTTTCTTTTTCTTGAATCGTTCTGCTGCTTTAGAATTCAACTTCTTTTCTCGATATCTTTTATCAGCTTCTTGTTTTCTCTTAATAAAGTCTGCCAATGCTGCTTCATTTCCAGGTGTAAGAAGCTTTTCTTTGTGCTTCTTAACGTGATCATAGTTTTTGGAAGACATGCTTTAAGAAAAAATAATAATTGATTCAGAAAAAACCTAACAGACAGACCTAAAATTCGTATGTACTTACATATTTATGCTGTTCTAAATTATGTTGTATCAATAATAACAAAAAAACTGTCCAAAAGTAATTAAAAACTTATTTATTTTGAAAAATTATTAATTTGCGGAATTTATTATTATAAAATTATAACGGTTTTAGAAAATTTGAATATTTGCAAGTAGAAAAATATTACAACTCATTTTTTTCGAGTTCTCATTACCCATGGAATCGCCCTTAAATTAAATAAAATATATTTGAATTATTTGATTAAAATTAACGGTCGTTTTTAATTCAAATTTTTCAGCAAAATTTTGTCAAAAAAATAATAACAAAAATTTAATTTAAATGATCTTTTATTTAATCCACAATGGATACGACGTGCAGACTGTGTGGTTTATCTAGTTCTAAGCTAGTTCCATTATTCAGCTTCTATAACGGCAGAATTATCAGTGATCTCATAACTTTGTTAATTCCAATTATTATAAAAATGGACGAAATGCAAATCCCAAATAATATTTGTAAGGAATGCGTACAGATCATCGGAAAAATGCATGATCTGAGGAAGAAAAGTATTAAGAATGATTCAATCTTCCGGAGTTCAATCAAAAATGACGATCCAGTGAAGAAAGAGGAAGTTATTGAAACATCCAGAAATGAATCAAGACAGTCTATTGAGGACAGCGTAAGTGCTATTAGCGTTGCTATGGATAATAATGATAATGACAGCGACTGGAGCTTACCAGACCCAGAACAACCTAGTAATAACGATGGAACAGAAAAAGAAAACTTTAAGTGCGATTTATGCAATGAATCTTTCCTATTTCTGTCAAATCTAGCTCGACATCATCGTCAGTATCATAAGAACACGAGCAATAAATTTAAATACTATATGAAGCCTGTAAATTGCACAGTTTGTGGAATTTTAATTCCTCAGCAAACTAATTTAAAACGGCATATGATTCAATATCACGACAATAATCATCAATATGGATGTCCCCAATGTACATATAGATTCTCAAATTTAGCATCATTAAAACATCACGGCATTAAGTTCCACAATGTTGTTGATATTAGTCCAAAACAGGAAGAATCTAGTGACCAAATTTGTATTTTTGAATGTGATATTTGTGCTAATAAGTTTGTAGATAGAAACAGCATGTTAATTCATATGCATAGAAGGCATTTAAGAAGACCTAATACTGATGACAGTGGCTTTGCCACAAAAGCTCAGTTCCACTGCCAATATTGTGACCGAGAATTTACAGTTAGAAGCAACATGTTTCGACATTACCAGCATGCACATTCCCAAGAGCTACCATTTCAGTGTGAGCAGTGTAAGGAGGGATTTAGAACTGAAAGACTTTATATTAAGCATATGGAAAAGATTCATATGGTTGAAAACTTTAATAAATACACAAATCCAGAATCGAGAGCTCCAGTATCAACTGAGCCATTAATCTGTGAATTTTGCAGTGAGGATTGTAGCAACAGTCGATATCGATATGAGAGGCATCTAATAATCATGCATGAAGATGATCTGCAGCAAATATTTGAATGTCAAACGTGCAGAAAGAAATTCTTTTTTAAAGACTCTTGGGACCAACATAATGCATGGCATGAACGGAAATCATTGGAGAAAACTTATGAGCATGTTTGTGACATGTGTGGCAAGAGATTTCCGAGCGAAGAAAGGCTTGAAAAACACAAGTAAATAATTATTTTATTTTACCGATTTTTAACGTTCAAAATTTTTGTAGTTCAGTAAATTGCAAGGGTCAGACACTCCAACAGAATTGTAAAGATTGTACAATTCTTCACAATACATATGGAAGAATTGTAAAGATTGTACAATCCTTACAATCTTTATATGAGAAGGATTGTAGGGATCGTAATCCGTACAATCCTTATATGGAAAGGATTGTAGGGATTGTAATTATTTTGATTGATAAGGATTGATTACAATCCTTTCCATATAAGGATTGTAAGGATGAAATAATTGTATGGAACATTTAAAAATGTTTTTCATGGGTTATTAGGGAGGAAATATTAATTTAATATTAAAAATTTATTTGTTTGAATTTAAAGAACGAAATAAGCTTGATATATCAATTTTTTCCCTTATAACCTGAATGACCATCTAATTTTTATGAAAATACAGGACATTTGATAAATTTCCAAAAAATACAGGACACAAAGGAAAATTTCAAAATTAACGGAAATTTTCGTAAAAAAAAATACAGGACCTGGAACAAAATTTTCAAATTTATAATAATAAATTTGTTTTGAAATACAGGACTGTCCGTTGTAAAACTACGCAGATGGTCGCACGCCCTAAACCGGGGTGATTTAAATCAAAAATCAAAAATCAAAAATCAAAATCTTTTTGCAATGATTTTAAAAAAGGATTTTGATTTAAATCATTTTTTCAAAGGGATTTTTTTTTTGGATTTTGATTTAAATCTCTTGTATGAAAGATTTTATTGGGATTTTAAAATCCCTCCATGTAAGATTTTTGTTTTCAATTACTCAAATTTTTTTTCAAATCAACAGTTTTCAGTTGCAGTTCCTAATAAGTAAGAATGCAGTTGATCCTTTTTTGGCCTGAATCTTGCAACTGGATCTTTTAGATCCAAATATTTCTTAAATAATGGTTACAGCAATGGTTCCATGCTGTTTGACTTAAACGAAATCCAATTTGTGATTTTTAATCTTCTGTGCCTTGCTGCTTGCATATAAATAACTGGACTTCATCAAGCATGCCTGGATCTTACTGCATATGAGGAACAACCTGGTTTCAATGCTTTAAAAAACTTAAATATCTTTTATTACAGTACATTAGTTTAATGAGTCATAAGCAAGAATAGGCACTTAAACTGCCTAGTTCCTTTACACCCACAAAAAATTTTTTGTGGCTTTTTCATCACAGAAGATAAAAAATCACGAATTGGACTTCGTTTCAATCAAACAGCATGGAACCATTGGTTGCTGTAACCTTTCTTTAAGAAATGCTTGAATCTAAAAGATCCAGTTGCAAGATTCTGACCAAGAAATGATCAACTTCATTCTTACTTATTAGGAACTGCGACTGAAAACTGATAATTTTAAAAATAATTTGAGAAATTGAATACAAAAGTTTTATATGGCGGGATTTTAAAATCCCAATAAAATCTTCCATACAATAGATTTAAATCAAAATCCCCAAAAAATCCCCGCACAAAAATGATTTAAATCAAAATCTCTTTTAAAAATCATTGCAAAAAGATTTTGATTTTGATTTTTGATTTAAATCACTCACCCTGTTCACGGGTGTAAAAATTATACTTTTTACAACTTTTTAATGAGTTGAAATGTATAAAAAATCATTCGAATTGATTCACAGTAAATTATTGCATTTTAAATATAATTGTTTTTAAAGAAATACACGACTTTCTTCATTTTTCGTATTTTATATTATTTTTAAAAAATAAATGGACATTATTTTTTGTTTAGTAAGGATTGTACAATCCTTACAGTCCTTATATAGAAAGATTGTAGGAATTATACAATCCTTACAATCCTTATATGAAAATGATTGTAGGGATTGTAAGGATTGTAAAATCCTCACAATTCGTATGGAAGGATTGTAAGGATTGTACAATCCTTACAATTCTGTTGGAGTGTCTGACCCTTGGTAAATTGAACTTCATTTCAGTTCAGTTCAAAATTTGAATTTCAAAAATCCGTTATTATTTAAAATAAGACAATCCGATTAAAATTTTAATCTTATTTTAGAGTTGGATATCACGCAGGTCAATCATCTCTAGTCTGTCACATTTGTGGCAAGCAAATGCGCAACAAGTCATCACTTAATTTCCATGTCAAACGACATTCAGAGAAAAGAGACTTTGCATGTCCACAATGTCCTCAATCTTTTGTGTATATTAAAGAATTAGAAAGGCACATGAGCTCACATATAGACAACAGAAAATACGTTTGTACCTTTGAAGGCTGTACGAAGAGATTTAATGATCTTTATATCTTCCAACTCCATAAAAAACGTCACTTGGGACTTTTGGAACGAAAATATCATTGCGAATATTGCGAGAAGCGATTTACTTCTAAATATGCATTAGGTAAGTTCTATGTTTATATAAATTCTGTGACTTACCATAATTATTGATGCATTTTTCCAGATCGACATGTCTTGACACACACTCAGCAACGTCCTCACGTCTGTGAATACTGTTCAATGGCTTATACCCAAAGAAATGATTTAATTAAGCACTTAAGAGAGCATGTTGGTGACGCAATATATAAATGTGACTTTGAAGGATGTACAGAAGGATTTAGATTAAAATTTGAACTGAAACAGCACTATGCTGTGCACTATGTAAATTAATTTAAGAAATAAAAATGTAGTCAAAATATTAACGGTTTTTTGAAATTTGAAAGTTTAACTGAAATTTTTTACAGAAACGAGCGAGAAAAATTGCTTAAATTTTGAAATAATTAAAAATCAAAAGAAATACGCTATAATTAATGAAACTAGATACGTGAAAGTATCATTGAGTCAGTAATAAGTTATACTACGCAGAAATAATACATGAACTGATCAAATTATTACTGAAATTATTGAAAACCGAAAATGCAAAGGTTTGCTGATTAAATTTATTTTCATTTTATACCATAATTAAACTTTAATATGTTCATCTCTTTTAGTCCAAATATATCGCAAATGAATACAACTCAAATCATCTCTAGTCCATTACAATCAGCGCTACCAACATCCCCACAACAAAATATTCCATCACCTTCAACTGGATCTTTATATCAACGACCAGATAATGAGACTCAGTGCAAAAACATATGTCTAGAACGTTTTAAATATGTTCTACTCTTTAGTGCTGCAATCCAATATCTAATTTTGATTATTTTTGCAATTCCACTGGATCTACGTTACTTAAATCCATTAAAATGGTTTACTGAGCTCTTTTCAATCCTTTGCTCTCCTTTATCGTTGTTTAATGTCATTTATGGCATATCCAGTTTGAATATAATGCTCAAAGATAAGATTTATTATGGAACTAGAATATCGAGATTCATTAAAGGATTCAGCAATGAAGCTTTAATGTTGTTCCTTAACATTTTTATTGGGCTATTTACATCACGTCTGTTTATAAGATATTTACATGATGATTACAAAACAATCATGCTGGAACAAGAAGGAAAGAATGTCCTTAATGAGAATCATTCATATTTGTTGCTGACTGGAATCTTCATGCGTTGCTATTTCTATTTTAAGTGCCATGACGATGAAAACTGCCTAAATCTCTCATTTCCAATTGTCCATCAATCAAAATTGTCACAAATGAGACGAGAAACAGTTTCAGTCATTAAATCATCATTTACGAAATCCTTAATACCAACATGCCATTTTATAGCATTTTACATGTTCTTTGGTAATAGTTTTGGATTGTTTTTAAGTAAAATCTTTATGCTTGGAACGAGTGAGTCACATTCAATATGGAACAGCATGACACTGTTCCTGAATATTCGTCTTTTAATCTATTCATGGATCTTAGCTGCTTTAATCCTCTGTAATATTGAGTTGATCAAAAAAGTCATCAATATCTTTGCAACGCAGCCAAAACAATTCAAGATTGCTGGTTCTGATGAAATAATATTAACAAAGGCACTAGAAATCAAGAAGTTCCAAATAACACGTCATTTAGCAGCTCAAGACTTGTCAATCGTAGCTGAAAGCACAAAAGACAAAAGACGAAAGGAATTTTATGAGTTGTCAATTCCTGGTGGACATCCACATAATTGGAAGCAGCTTGTTCAAATAGTTTTGGCTATAGTTGATGAATTTAATAATGACTTGAAGACTAACTTGGAATATGTAGCTAGGAATCGAAATAATAATACAGTAAGCAGCAATGATGCAATGAAAAAGTTTTACGATCATAAAAGAATAATTCGTGAAAGTAATCAAGTTCATGGAATTAGAAGTTTCATGTCAAGTCCAGTTAAAGAGCAGGAAGAGAAAATTGAGAAGCGATCGGTGTTTTTAATGAAATTAAAGGAAAAGTTGCTTAGTAATCGAGTTATTGGATATCTTTTTGGCGAGGCTGAATGCGACAAACTTAATTTCATTTTATCACAAAATTCTCAAGTCGTTATTTGGCTGATTCAAGCTATATCAGCTATAGTTGTTAGATCAATCAAGGAAGACACTTATGGCATTGTACAGCATGACATCAAGTTTATAATCAAGTCATTTTTGAAGCTTAGATCAACGTTAGACAAAGTCGGAGCTTTAAATGCGATTGTCAAGTCTAGAAATTATATTGCACTTCGTTCGACTCTTCGTAGATCCATTTATCGTATTGTTGTTGAATTTTCACAATTTTTTGATGATATGCTGCTCGATCCAGAGGATTTAAAGGCACTTCACAACTTTATTACTTTCAAGGAATTGTAAAACGTTTGTTTTTTTAATTAAATTGAATAAAAAGTTTTTTATAATAAATTAAACGGAAGCAAAGTATTTGAATTTACAGCCGTGAAAAATTATTTGAATTTTAACAGATTTTGAAAATTCAAATGAACTGAAGCAAAATGAAATAAAATGTTATTGAACAACATTTCAAAATAATTTTAAACGTTAAAATTCATATTTTTATTCTTTCCAAAAGTCGGTTAACAATAATTTCTTAAATTACTAACAACTCCAATGCTGTACAAAAGTTGTTCTTCAAGCGTTGACCAGCGCTTGTTCTGAGCTACTTCCACTTCATCCAATGTTTTAATTAAAGTTTTACTTCCAGAAATAATTTCTTCGTGTGCTTTTAAAAATAATGCAAGATATGATTGAGCTAATTCGAAATTCAGATTGCTGTTGAACATTTCAATAATCATTTTAAGGAATTTGTCCATAAGATTAATTGATCCACCACTAAGTGGAGCTAATGAACGAATTTCATAGTCAATCATTGATGGATTAAGAGTCACAAAGTGATTAATTGAATTTATGTAGTCATTTGATTCTGATGACTTCTTGAGGACAATTCCGAATGCTGTAAGATTCTCTACATTAGAGACGGTTTTAAGCTTGGTGCTGTCATCATCCTGCACGATTCCATTCACATTGAAGGCCACTAAAAAGAAGATTTAAGTGTTTTAGATTCAAACTATAACGTTTAAATAAATTTCAAAATTATGAACTGAAATGAACTAGATTTACTGAACGAAATTTCAAAATTATTTTAACAATTGAAGCACAAAAACATTTAGACCGTTAAATTTCAAAAATTACTCTCAACTTACTTTCTAATCCAGCAACAGTTGGAAGGAAAAAAGGAGCTTGTTTAGGCTTCTTTGGTGCCTCTTTTGGTCTATTTCTCTTCTTGATAATATCCAAATCGAGCAAGTTCTTCCATTTTGCTTCTGATAAGCTTGACATTGTAATTAAATCATCATCAATTTGACATGGACTTTTATATTCTAAATTAATGTATTCTCCTTCGTCATCCTCAGCTTCTGGCTCAATTTTAATAAGATTCATGGCATCAACAATGTCATATTTATGCTCAAATTGAAGCATATTTGGTAATTCAACGGATGGAGCTTCATTTTCAGGATTAATTGATTTTAATGAGATGTGTTCATAAAGAGTCTTATTAGCCCAAAGATAGACACCAAGGAAATCAACATGTGCTGTAGCTAGGAAGTCTCCCGTCGGTGACATTGACAGTGAAATGCAAGGCTGTGACATTTTAAATTGATCAATTAAATATGATGATGGAATATCCCAAATTTTTATCGTACAATCCATACTGGATGTAATTAACCATCGACTATCTGGACTAAAGCATGCATCAGTAATTGGAGCTGAATGTCCTATGAATTTTCTCACAATAGTCTTTGTGTCGTAGTCAATAATAAGGACTGTAAATTCTTCAAGAACAACACAAAGCATGGAACTTTCGCGATGTCCTCTGACAAATAAAATGCTGTCTTGAAGCTTAATTTCTCCAAAAGCATCTTTTGCTTCTTTTGTCTTGAAATTCCAGAATTTTAATTTTGTATCAACTCCAGCACTGATTACACATTGATTTAAATTATCCACATAAATACCACGGACGTCATTGTTATGTGCTGGATTCCCATAAGTTGCTCGATGAATTCCTGACTGCATATTATATCGCTCAATATCTCCAGACGAGTATCCAATGAGGACAAAATTTCCACAATGAGTCATAGTCAAGCATGTTGCAAAAGTCTTGAAATCACTTCTTTTCGTCTTCTTAAATCTTTCTGGCATAAGCTTTAAGTCTCCCATTTTTCTCTTATCAAATGACCAAGTTGTTGCCTCAACTAAATTATTATGAATAGCCACAATACTATCCCAATGCTTCTCTCTTGTCATTTCAGACGTGAAGCTTGTTATTGGAGGCATTAATAGGTGATCATCACTCAATTTATCTAAAATTTTGGTAAGATTGAAAATTAACGGTAGGGTAAACCATGTTGAAATTTGTGCGATCAAATGAAATGTAAATCATCTAAACTAAACCATTTATAGAAAAAATTTGTATGCAGTTCTTTGTAAAGCAGTTATTAAAACTTTTCTACTTCATTTTGGATTGTGTTGAAGGTTCTTATAGCTTTAAATTTCAATTATTCAAAATCCTATACAAAATGAAAGTTTTCATCTTTTTAATTATTTGGACTCATTTGATTCTTCTTACCCCATCAGAGTTAAAAAACAAATTTTCTTTATTGCTTTTTCGATTAAAAAAGTTTCTGCGTACGAAAAGTCATTGGAAGTCCTTCAAAAATTGATTTTAAAATGAGTTGTTTTCAAATGTTGAAATTTGTGCGAAATTTTTTGACGAATTTTGAAATTTGTGTGTTTTTGTCTTAAAAAAGCAATGGCACATTTTGTCAACAAAAATAATTATTTACAATCAAAATCGGGTTTTTAGAGGTATGAATCAAGATTAAGACAAAAACTTTTTTTAAAAAATCACGCTTTTATTTCCTATTACAGAGCACTAAAAAGGAGAAAATAATTTTTTTTGCTAAGCTCTCAAATTTGATACAAAATTTTATGACTCAAAATAAAAGCGTGGGGCGTTAAATATAAACTAGCTCTAGATTTTCCAAAATTTATTTTAAATCAGTTTAATTATCCATTTCTTAATTCAACTTTTGTATTAAAACGAAAGACCTTTTAAAGATTTGATCTCAAATTATTTTTTGACACAAAGGAACTAGTTAGATTTAGCAGGAGAGTAAGACTTGATTTCTAGTGCCACACAGAAAACTCTACATTAATCTCATAAAGATCAAGTCTACCGTCTCAGATTTACCATAATTTGTATGGGCTCATCATTCTCCTTAGACAAACCTATAAACATTGAAGACCTAACGCTTATGTAAACTTACAAATTCAAGATTTAGTGATTTTTATAACAGCGCCCCACGCTTTTATTTTGAGTCATAAAATTTTGTATCAAATTTGAGAGCTTAGCAAAAAAAATTATTTTCTCCTTTTTAGTGCTCTGTAATAGGAAATAAAAGCGTGATTTTTTAAAAAAAGTTTTTTTTAAAGTATTTTATTTTCTACTTTTTAGTCTTTAAAATCTCCAAATCGATTCAACTTTCAAAATTTTAAACTTCATTTAGTTTCACTACGTTTCGTTCAACTATTTATTGATTACCAGTTTTTAATGGGTAATTAGTAAAGACTATCAAAATTTTTCATTCGTTTTACATAATTCAATTCAAACTTGGAAACACATTAAACTCTTAAAAGTGTTCTAAACATCAATTAGTAATAGGGTTTCTGAAAAACGGCATTTTCGAAAACGGCCGTTTTCCGTTTTTTATTTTCAATAACGGCCGTTAACGGACCGTTTTTAAGTTTTTTAAATAACCAAATATAAATGACATATCCTCAAAAGATAAAGAATTGCTGTGCTATATGGGCAATTCCACATTTTTGTGAGCGTTGGTATATTACACAATGTTGAATTATGAATATGAAAGCAGAAATTTACCACTTTAAAGACGTCTAGACAACTATTAATGTTGTCTTTATTGTCAACCGTTCTTTCTATCCTCTTCTTCATACTTAAATTGACTTGAAAGACACTCAATAGACAGAAAAATGAATAATTTTAATGCAATTAATGTAATATACCAACGCTTAAGCCAAATCCGTGAGGAAATAATTTTTAAAAAACCAATTTTTACTTTAATTAACAATAATTTCTTTGATTAGAACCTTGTTTTTAAAAGTTTAATAGTCAATGAAGATCTTTTTTTAAAAAGTGTAAGCTCAATTAAAGTTTATTTTTGAAGCAATCAAATTTTTAAAGAACATGGATCAAAAATTTATTTTTTTCGAAATTCAACTCATCCGTGGAATTGCCCATATAGATAATATGTAGATTTCTATTTATATTTATTATAAAATCAAAAGATAGTGATGCATCAGCCAGCCTTGAACGAATCTTTGTGCAAAAATTTTTGCAGATTGAAAATATTCTGCTCTACATCTGTAGATGTCGGCTTAATACACAACAAAGCATCATAAAGTTTTTGAAGATTTTCCGATCGATTTCCTGTATTTTTCATAAAAATTGATAAAAATCAAATATGAAAAACCCGTTTTTCAAAAATTTTTTTAAAAATTACATTGTATGAACTATGAGAAAACGGAATGAAAAACGGTCGTTTTCCGTTTTCAATTTTTGTACCGTTAACGGCCGTTTTCCGTTTTTCGTTAACGGCTTCAGAAACCCTAATTAGTAAAGTACATTAAAAATCAATCATAAAGATTTGGTGTTTATTCGTACCATTTCTACTTAATACTAAAGTATTTATAACGGATTTTTCAAATTTAATTTTAATGAAGGTCATTTATATGTTATGCAAAACTACGTCAAGCCGTTGATAAAAATAAATTGAATTTAATTAAATGTTAGTGAATTGTTAAGAATCAATCAAATCATTAAAAGCATATATATTATGCTCAAACGATGTGTGCTAAATGCATATTTGCATATCAATAGTTATTTTGTATTAAAAACGTAACTGACTTGCGCTTAACGGTTTTTTTAAAATTCAAATTTTCACTTACGAATATCCATGAAAAAATTACTGGTCAATTTTTTTTACTGGTCTTACCAGAATATCTTTAGCTGTTCAAATTTATAGTATAATTAATAATTGATAATATTAATTAAACTATAATGAATCATGTAAATGACTTTTGAACATTTCAAGTATAATATTTTAAACAAATAAAAATTAGGTATACGTCATTGACATTGGATTTTTTCCCATATAAAAAAAGTTTTACTTAAACTGTACTATAATTAAGCATTTTTGTGGTTCCAAAGTGTTGAAATATTGTATTGTCACCGAGAATAAGTGTGCATAAAAAATTTGAGCTCGATTGGAGCAGTAGAAGTGATCGAAATAACGATTACAAGATTTGACGCTCCATAACAGAGTGAGTTAAATAAAAGCGTGTAAAAATAACATGAAGAAGACATGAACTGAGAGTAATGAAAAATGTGTTCGATTCAAATATTCATACAGAATCAAGAAATTTCGAAAATGCAACCAACTTCAAAAAATATTACAAGAACAAAAAAGCATTCAAGAACTACGTTCTGTTTTCAGTTCCAAAAAGATGATACACAATAAACTTCGTTAAAATACTCTTCTTTCTCTTATTTCTCAAAACAATTTTGCAAAATTCTGTAAACTTTATCGTGAATAAATTTTGGAAAAAAAAAACATTTGTTGGATGTGCTTGGTTTTAATAGTGTCTTCTCGTCATACTCAGTCAACATAAATAATATAAATAATGATAAATAAATTTGGAAATCTTGAAAAAAAAAGTTCATTAATGCAGCAGTGTCCTTTAAAATTGAAATAGAGTTTATTTGGAAGTGTTCCTTAAAAGCAATCACCATTTAAATTTCAACATTTTTTTTTGCACAAATTTTAAAATTTTCCGCACAAATTTCAACATTTGGCCAAAAATGTCAAATTTCTCTTCCTATAAGCAGCATAACCATCACTGAGTATAAAAAAAATGAAAATTTCAACAATTTTTGATAATTTAAGACCAACAGTAAATTTTTACAGTAGGGCATTGAAAAGTTATAAGCAAATGAAATCTTCAAGTGCAAAAGCACACAAATTTCAACATGGTTTACCCTATTGTAGAAATCAAATTTTATCGGTTTTGTAAGATTCGAATTTTATCGGTTTTGTAAGATTCAAAAAATAAATGGTTTTTGTAACTTACTCATTTTCTTAGAAGCCTTTCTGTTGTAGCTGGCCCTTCCAAGACTAACATTAAGTGTCTCAGATATTGTACTGAATATTCTTAATGATGAATCCTCGCCAGACGACAATATACTATCGCCTTTAGAGCCATGATAGCGAATACAAAGTGGTGGAGATGAATGTCCTTCTCTGTAACGCAACATTCTTGGGGTTCCATCAAGTTTGTCAAAGATCCATAACTTTAATGAATTATCTATTGATGTTGTTAATAAGAGTGGCTCATTTGGAAGGAATTTGAGTGTACTGACACTATCGTGATGAGCTAATAAAGTGCTGACAATCTTCTTTTCCTCTAAATCCCAAAATGCAATTTGTCCATTGATGCTGGATGTTGCCATCATTGTTGGACCGTCTGTTCTGAATGCAATTCCTGTGACCATTCCCCATTCTTGTGTAAATTCCATGAGAATCTTATCAACTTTTAAATTAATTAAAGCAATTTGACCATTTGACATTCCACAAGCAACAACATCAATAGCTGGAGATTGCTCAATAACTGTTATTTTGCTTGAAAATCCACTGAATGTATAAATCAGCTTTCCATGACGAACATTCCATAGCTGTAATGTTCCTTGTTCACTTCCTAATAGGATTTTATTGACGTAAGTATGTGGATGCATTATTGCTGTAATTTTAAATGATTCATTTTGGAATGGAATCTCAGTATGAAGACATTCACTTTTTTTATCCCATACTTTCAATAAGCTATCCTCATCTACGGATATTATATGATTTCCAAAAGGTAGAATATGAGTTACTTTTGATTTATGTCCAACATATCTGTGTTTAATCTCATTTCCACGTCTCCATCCATAAATAATTGTTCCACTTGCTGAATAAATCAAGAATTTGTCACTAGCTAGACATGTTATTTCCTCTGGATGTAATCCAGACACTGTTAAAAGTCGAAAATGTGTACAATTAAATGTTTGGAATGATTTTCCAACGCATGTTGTCACTAAATTCTCTTTTCGTCCAGTTACATATCGAACTGTTGCTGGAACTTGATTTGACACATATCCAAGTGCACGATTCTGCTGAAATATCCGACTCATAATGCTTTATTATAGCGTAATTTTATTATTTTAAATATTTTTTGCCGAATCACATGTGAATGTATTTACTAGGGTAAAATCAACTTATCAGGGGAATATCAACTTGATTGAAGAGTTGAGTAATTTAAAATTGAAAAGACTGGTAAAAGTTACATTTTTGATTGCTTTATTTAAAACACTTTATTTCATAAATACGGACAAAAAACTTGATTATTATAAACGTTAACTAAACATTCGTTTGGCATCAACATGAATCTAAATGTTTGGCATAAAAGTTTTCATAAATGGCATTTCATTGTAAAATAAAATACTGTTAAATTTTGCATTAAAAAGTAAATCAGTTAATAAAGGAAAATTGCATCCAATTTTCAAAAAACATCTTGATGAACGTGTTTCATAAATCCATCAAAAATATATCTCTAATTTTCGTACTTAATCAAGTGTTCTCTTTTAATAATTCTCATCTACAAATTTTCTTCCTTTCTCAATTTCACCTAAAACAAATCTAATCTGTTACTTTTTAATGTTAACATTAATTATGTTTCTTTTTATCATTTAATGACTCTAAAACTTCTAGTTTAACAACACACAACAATAAACTTGTTTAAAAATTGTTAATTGTCAGCAAAATTTGTAGGCATTTTTATGTTGCTTCTCAAATGTTTTATCCACTTTCTCTTTCCAATCTCATTTAAATTTTAAAATACTTTTTAAAAAGTTTTGGAAACTCTTTGGATTCTATTCATAATGTCCTCAACTTTATGAATCTCTTTTGACTTTTAAAAATACTCAATAATTATGTTATGTTAGTCTGTTACGTATGATAAATAACATCAATCTTTCATATTCTTGTTAATACTATTACAAAATATGTTCCTTCCTCGTAATTTATTTAATAATTCAACTTTTCTAACTCTCAACTTCTTTGTTCATAAGTTGAAAGACTTTTTGGGAAGATTAGAAACTTAATTGTGGCAGATTAAAACCTACTCTAGATCGTAATTTCGTTCAAATTTACTTCAATTGTTCTCATCCACTTCTTATATGCCAACAAAAATCCTAATCCCCTTCGAAAAATCTCCCAAAACACATGACTCATAACCCAAACCTAAATCTCATTCTAATTTTCAAATCAATAATATTATCAACTTTATGTCTAACAATTAACATCAACATTCTACAAAATACAACATCTTATTGTGTAACTCTCATAAGCCTTTATCATCCCTAAAATACTAAATATTATTTCATTTCTCAAGAATAATACACGTCAATATGTAAGACATAGATATATCATCAGAATAAAAGCGTTTCAATAAAATGCATCTCAATAAATAAAATAAGTCTCATTCGCTCAAAAAATTATTTCTTTTGTTGCTTTCTTTGCATCTTTCCAAAAAAAAAGTTCATTGTAAAGTTTAAAAGATTAAATTAAAGTTGAGTAGGTTTGAAGAAATTTTTGAGATTTTTTATCAGGTTAGATCAACTCAGCCACAAAGTTTGAGAACCGATATCTTTGATAAAGGAGTTAATGTGAAGATTAAAGAAACGATTTTCAAAAACCTGGTCCTTTCTGGTGATCGAGAATCAGAAGGTTGTAGCGCTTAGGAATTATATCATCGTCCTGAACTATTAAAATGAATTGCTAGGCTTTGAAATGTCTTAGCTTTTTAAAGCTCATTTTAAAAACTATTCTTTAAAAAAAATCTAGTTTTAAACCTTTTTGAAATTTAGATTAGAAGCTAGGAAACCAGATCTAACACTAGGTTAAATAATCTAATTTGATATTGCTCAACTTTGTTTTGTATTATAATCGTAAGGTATGATTTTCAACTGAGCTTGAACTTGACTCAAACATTTTATCAAATCTAGTCGACTTGAGTTGACTTTTCCATACAAAATCCGAATCAAATTCATAAAAAAACTTGCTCTATCCAAATCATTCTCAAAACTTTCATCAAACCTACACCCAACCCTACTGTATATTATTGATTAAATATTGTTTTTCACGTAAAGATTGTAGATAAATAAATTGTTTTCATAATATTTTAAAACGTGTAGAACTGGAGAGTATGTAAATATGTCACATAAAAATTAAAATACTGTCAACATTTTTCATCTTCATTTGGCATCTAACATCAAATACTGATAAGTTTTATGCGTTTTTTTTTGTTAATTAATTATTATTATTATTTCATTTAATCTTATATCAACGTATCTTCTTCGTCTTGTGCTTCAAACAGCATCAATAATGAATTTTGTGATGATGATCGTGGAATTGAGACACCGCCTCGTTCCAATGCTAATTCATTGAAGTTTAATGATCCATCTGGGGATAATAATCCTGTTTGGAAGCTATAATTATCTCTATACCCAGATGTTGATGATGTCTGTGAGACAGAATCCCATGAATGTGGAACGTCAGTATCATTATTACGTCCATTATTATCCATAGGTTCAAGGGGTGGCAAATGGAAGTGTGAATGTGGTGAATTTGTTGGAGTCGTAGCACTTACTTGAATAGTCGTTTGTGTGTGAGTTGGTGGAGCTGATGATGGTGGAGTTATAAGGTTTGGTGCATCCAGTTGATTTAAACGACCTCGCTTGTATCTAAATGTTTTACGTGACTGACCTTTCGATCTTTGTAATCGATGCTTCTGAGTTTCGCCTGAACTGTCATCAGCTGGACTATCTGGGGACAATGGAGTTGTACTTGTCTCACCTGCTGGATCTCTAAACTCAACTGACGATACAAACCTTAATTTTGGTGGCTGAATTTTTAATGAATGATGATGATGCATAGAATGTGAATGTGATAAATGTGGAACACTTCCTGACATATTTGGGGAATTAAAACGACTTGTGCGTCTAATACTTGATGCTCGTGAAATGATTGTTTGACAAGTTCCATGGGTTCCATCAGCACTAATTGTATCACTCGTAACTCCCGGTTCTCGATTAGTTGTTGTTGACGAACTTGAAAGTGACTCTCGTGGTGGATGTAAAGTTTGTTGTGACAATGTGTCACTTGGTGTATGAAATCCAGTTCCACATCTTGAATCTTGTTGCATTGAGAATTGGGAAGCATGTTGATTACCAGCACCTGTCAAGATTGAAATCAATGATGGTCGTTGCTGAGATTTGGATACTGGCTCGAGTGGTTGAACAGTAACTGTCGATGATTCCTTCTTTGTTGGTTCTGAACTAGCTGTATTTTCCTTATCAATTCGTCTCTCTTCCAATTCATCACGTAAATCTTTTAGTTCTCGTGCTAATTCAAGGAGTAAGCATCCACGAGATTTAATCCCTCCCGGCGGTGCCAAACCTCTCAATCTTTCACGAATTAAGAACTGCATGTGACGCTCATGGTCACCAATTGGTGGCTGTGCTATTTTATGTAATATAAATGGCATCAAAATTATATAAAGTGGTGTTCGATGTGTTACTACAAATTCTAAAAAGCTCCATAGTTCTGGTGCTGCTTCATTTCTTCTTCCCAAATCTCTCATAATTCTAGCTACTTTTGGCCACTCAGGCGACAAGCGAGACTCAAAGCATACACAAAGTACCTTTAATGCTAAAAAGGCTGCTTGATAAAGTGTGCCTGATATTTTTGCTGGTCTCTTAGCATCCCTAGATCCAGTAAATGTCAATGAACCACCTCTTATTTCACTAACAACACGATTTGTTGAAATTCCAGACTGTGCTGTACGTCCCGATGGTGGGCTCATTGAGTTTAAAATTACTGTGACTAAAAATGAGATGTCCTGGTCTCTCAGTTCTCCTACTTCTGAAACTCCTCTACCAGAACATATTTTCAAGCATAAAGGCATCAACAGGTGCATCAAAAATCCTTCTGCTTTTTCTTGTGTTGCAAATTCAGCTGTTCCACCACAAACTTGTTCCAAAGTGAAACAATCAACTGGACTTACAAGTTGTAAGGCAATTAGTCGAACAACTGTTGAACAGAAAAATGCTGGTGGACTTTGACTCATTAAAGCTGCACTAGCACTTGATACATTCTCAGTTGACGCCTCATTAATAATCAAATTTTGAACAGTTAAAAGAAGTGAACGCATTTGCTGCCAATGAAGAACAAAAGGACATCTAACAATTGTTTCGTGGATTCCTTTTAATAATCCAGCAGCTGCTTCCCAATCTGTGTTACGTCTGATTGATGGTTTCTTTGAAATCTTCAAGAAAACTTTGTCTAGTCTCCTCAAAATTGTTACTAGTGCTGCTTTCATCTTCTCATCTCCCCAGTCAGCACGAGGAAGGATATAAGTCATATATCTCTGAAGTCCTCGACATGCCATAGAATCAGGATCATATGGTGATACTTTTAGTAATGAATGTGCAATGTCAGCTAATCGGATATGACATTTAGCATCAAGAAGCTCAACATACTTAGAATCAGCACCAGGCTTTCTAGATAATTCCTGTAATCTTGTCGTTGCTCTGTTTAAAAATTCTCCAACTAGTGACAAAAGAACATCTCTTGCACGACGATACTCAGTCCTAACAAGTTCAGAATCTTCAGCCATTTCTGGTAAGTTCTTTCCACTTCTTCCCATGTCACTAACATATTTTGAATGTGATTCCTCTTCAAAATCAAATCCAGGCGATGGAGGTGGTCCACGAGATTGATTTCTTTGAGAAGAACCTTTGTGCTCGGGACTGTTACGGTACGGACCATTATAGCTTTTCGAGAGTCCTTCACAATTATGTACCATTGTTCTAATTGTAATTGCCAGTTGCATGATGATGTCCCGTTCACATTTTCCTTCAAGTGATATGTAGGTATTGTTGAAGTAGTTTGGTGACTGGATTTGTTGCATGTAGCAGGGTAGAATCGCTTCCAATATTATCTAAATGAAGATATTACCAATAATGGATCAAATTAAATGCTAATTGTATAGTTACTCACCAGCATTTGATATCCCCTTAAGCTCTCAGCAGAATAAGAGACAGTCATGACACATAATGTAATACAATCCAAGACTGTAACCATTTCATCTTCATCATGATAACAAAAGTCAATAGCTTTTAAAGGTTTTGGTTCCTTGACCAATTCAGCAATATTTAAAGGATCAGGTGAAGGAGTTTCCAAGCTCATAAGGAGATTAAAAAGGCAGCTAGACTGAACTTTCGACGCCTCACCAAAAGCACCATCTTCATCAGTGTCCAAAATAGCCGAGACACTTCCAAACATTTGTAAGATGAATGGTTTTCTATTCATCATATAGAACTGCTTTACTGCATACTCTATAGTTGTTGTGATTAATTTATTTGTTTGATGTAAGGAATAGATTTGCAGTAATGTAGGCATTATCATAAAGTAACCATTCGTAGAGAAGATATTTTTAAAATTAAAAGCAGCATTGATGAATGTTGCCATGACATATCGCATGATACAACAGTCCTCAGAATGCAAAATAGCAGCACCACCAAGTACATTTAAAAATAATTGAATGTCTGCAGAATATGCAAAATTTCCAGCCATAGCTTCAAACATCCTAGCAATCAATCGTACCCACATGAATTTGTGCAGTACATCAAGGCCTAAAAGTTCCTTTCCATAATCACCGCCATGATACAAATCCAAGTCACTTTCAAGTGCTTTTCTTGGGAATGAAGGCAGCTTCATTAATTCTTCATGCAAGAACACAACACGCTGCACAACCATGTCTACATTCTTTAAAATTGCCCAAGTCAAGTGGACTTTACCAATTTCAACAAATTTCTTAATAAGTTCTTGACGTTGCAGAGCAATAAAGGCTTCATCTGATTTCATTTCAATCATTCTAAGTTGTGGATATTGAGAACGCTTGAAGAAATACAAGTCACGAACGAACCAATTAGAATTAAGCATCTGATGTGTCTTATAGTCAATCAGGAAGTAATTATTGTAGTGTTTCTCATCGATTCCGAAGAAATCAAGACTTTCACGTAACAACATTAAGAACTGTGTATCCTCCTACGATAAAAAAAAAACATTTGTAAGGTTTTCATATAAATCTTATACTTCACAAAATCAGATTTTACTCACCAAAACTGGAAATTGACTTGGAATAATTCCTTCATCATTATCATCTGGTCCATGAACGATAATTTTCTTAGCTGATGGTACATTTGCTGTTAACAAGACGGAAGCATCACATTGTTCCTTACGTAAAATTTGCTTTAAATCTTTGAACATAATTCCATGGACAGAATGTACAACCATCCATAAAACTGAAAGAGCTGATCCAACAAGTTTCTGACTATTTTCCTGTGTAGTCCGTACATAAAACATTATATATCCAATGATGTAATTATAAAGTGCAAATGCAGCTTGTTGTGGAAGCTTCGGAACAAATCTTATCAAATGACGTAATAGCTTAAACTGCTGGTCAGGCTTTTCACGTGTCAATCGTTCAAGAACGAATCTCAAAAACAATGCAGAGTCTTCAACAAGACATCCCCAAATAACTTGATAAGCGACTTCATAAACAGCAGTTCCATCAGCACCAATTGCACAGTCATCGAGTGATCCAACAATTTGCATAACTGATGAACATAAAATAGATGGAAATAGTGAATGTGCAGCATGTAGATGAACTGCTCGTGCTCCATCCTCTTCCTCTATATCGCCAACATGATCATCACTTGGTGTATGATCAAGTCTTTCATGTGCTGCTTGCTGAACAACGGGAATTGTTGTAATAAGGAAGCTATGACGTTCCTGTCGTGTCTTATTTTCTTGAATCTGCATAGCATGACGAATTGCATCACTTTGTTGCTTCTTTCTAGATTTTCCAGCTGATACATAATGTCTGTGACGTTCCTCAACATCCATATCTTTATTTTGTTGACGTGGTGCCCACGGTGGATCTACAACTGGTAAGCATTCAATACCAATTTTTGGAGATGGAAGTGTGAATTCTATGCCCGGCGGTGGAACTTTAAAAGTGACATGAGCACCTTCCTCCATTCTTGGCCATACTTGAAATCTGGATTTCCATAATATTTGATATCTTAATATAGCATTTATTCTTACAGTTGGATCTTTATGCTTTAATGCTCTTTGCATGATTTCGGATGCTTGTGCTGGAGCTTTTACCGACGAAAGGATAAAGAATGCAGCTGCAGACGCAGCTGTTTCTTGATTTGTTTCTAATAAGAGTTCCCATGCTACAGGAATAACCTCAACAAATTGATCTTCTGTCAATATAACAGCACCTTTAAGCAGTGCTGAGAATGGAACATGAAATAAGTCGCGAACGTGATTTTTAACATATTTTAAAATCAATGAATTTTCTTTAATTTGCTTCTTTTCCTCCATCTTTTGTAAATATTGTGATGATGTCTGTTCCGAGTCATCATGAATTATCCTGTCCCGTCTACTAGTACTGTCTTTACGACGTGATGGTGAAGTATGTGATGAACTTTGATCTGAAATTTTACGACCTGCACGAGTTTTTTCACGACGACCATTCGATGACTTGACTGTTTCAGTTTGCAAGTAACTTGATGGAACAAGACCGAACTCTTCTCCATAAATCTACCAAAAAAGAATTAAAATTTAATTAAATTAAGCAAAAAAAGAATGCATTTATAAAAAAAATTCAACAAAAAAGAATCTTTGCCTTAAGTGAGGATTGAACTCACGACCGCTGGTTTACGAGACCAGCGCTCTACCACTGAGCTATCAAGGCTGTTCTCAACGGTCACGGAATGTGGCAAAAGACACTATTAAACTTAAGGCCCTTGCGCATGTACTGAATTTTCTCGGAAAATTAATTTGTGAATTATAAATTTTCAAAGAAAATGACATTTTTCACTTACTTTTCTCACAGACTTAATTAATCTTGATGCAGCTCTCATATGACGTTTATAACAGTATGGATGACAAAATGACTGATGTGAACAGTAATAATTGAAAGAATTCAATATAGCAATGACTGAACGCATCCATGGAAAGTTTTTAGATGTCTCATCGGAATCATTAGACTCATTTGGAGAATCTGGTGGCTGTTCATGATCGTCACTTAAAATTCCTGGTGATTCTTCTTCTCCGCCACTTGCATGCTCGGAATTGTCACTGCGATCTGATAATGATGACACTTTTCTTCTTGACTGCATTGAATCTGAGAATGGAAATTGGAGATGGATATAAAATCTTACTGTTTTTATGAATGTTACTCACATTCATTTTCAATTTCTTTCCCTTCCTTTGTGTTTCTACGTAGTTTTAATGACCTACGCTTGAATGAACCTCCTGTATTTGTTGCAGTACCTCGTCTTAATAAAAATGGTCTGACTGTAGCCACTGGTCTTCTTTGTGACAATGTTGAAGGCACTAGAAATAATTTGATTACTTTAAAGTCACAAATTGAATTTCAAAATTTCATACTCATCATCTCTTCTCCCTGTAATGTTAGCGTTGTATTGCTACTTCCTTCAGACTCATTGTCAGGTTCATGCAATACAAATGATATTTTTCGTTCGCCTTCGCCAGCAATGCTTTGTAAACTTTGTGCTGATGTCTGTGAATGACCCATAGAACTTAATGCCATAGACCATCTTCGATTTGCTTTTTCATAGACTTGATGGTGATGATCCCATGGATGATGTACAGGCTGTTTTTCTTTGTGTGACATTCGAGTTGATTTTGGGATTGTTTGGTAAGTTTCACGTAGAAATGCCGTAATTTCTAATAACACAACAGCAGCGACAAGTTTCAATGCTGCTGGACAATCATTTCCGTGAATGTTAACACTCACTATGAAAAGAATTAAAGATATTAAAATGACATTAAATTGTCCAAATTCAAAATAATCTTACTGTCATCAAGAAAATCTTCTTCCTCATCCTGTAAAATCAATTGCTTCTGTCTTTCAGGATCTGACATGGAAGCTTGAATATAATCATGGTTTGCCTTGTCACTTTTAATCATTTCTTCTAACCGAATTCCAATGCATTCGGCCCATTGATAGAATGTCTTTCCAGCAGCTCTTTGCATGAGATGTACACGACGAATACTTGTTGATACACTTGCTCGATTCTGTATTGGACCTGATGGTCTGAATGATGGCAAATTTTGTTTCATCCACGATGGCCACTGACCTCGGTTACACAAGTGCACATAATGAGCACATTCTAAGAGAAATGTAGCTCTGGTAATCAATGGAGCTTGTGGTAAGTCCAATATTGCACCAATTAATTGGGGATCAGGAACTGTGCCTGGAGCACAAATTTCAAGAAGGAAAGAGAATCTCATCATTCCTTCACGTACTGGTTCAGTAGGAATTAAACGCCTTTCTTTTAATATTACAACTTCAGATTCTCTCGGACCGTCACCCAAATCAACAGAACTGCGATGACTGAAATCTGGAGAGAAATTAAGGCTTTATTAAATTAAAAAATTTGGAAAAAATGCCAAGACTCACAGCTTCCAGAGATTTCTTCTATTCCACCAACTTTTTTCTTCCCTTTACCGATTCCCATTCGTCCCAATCGTCTTTCAACTCTACGCCTAGCTCGCAAGAATGACCGTCCAATTCCTTCAGAACCTCTTCCTCTATTAGATCCAACAGAGCTTTTTCTCAAATAAGATGACATTTCAGTTCCACCAGCTTCAATGTCAATTGAATTATCCTTGGATCCACGGAACCATCGAGCTAAGCCACTCAAGCGACTGAATGATTGTCGATCGGAACATGGTGAATCAGTTAATAATGTTCGTTCGCTTTGTCTTGGTGTCAACGTTGGACGTTGATTCTTTCGTCTAACTGTTGCTAAGGGACTCTGACGAACTTGATCATCAGCTCCATCTGTTTCTAACAAGCTCTGAAAATTTATAAAGTTCTACAAATGACTTAAGTATGGTATTCATGACTATTAAAAAGCTTACAGCGCATGCAGATGAAGTGCTTCTCTTTTTGAAGTATAATTTTCTTGCTGCTCTGTCATCTGGTGGAATATTTGGATTCGGTGCAATCGTTTGAACTTCTCCAGTTTGTGGAATGTGGCTGCAAAAATTAAATTATTATTGAGTTCAAAGAATTCAAAAACATGCACAGACTAACCGAATAACTCGAGTTGTTGTCAATTGCGGACCCTTTTTATGAGGTCTTGGAGTTACTGCTAATATTCCACTTAATGCGACTCTTCTAAATGGACCGCCATGAGCTCCTTTGATGTAAGTGATTAGCTGTCGAACATCACAATAAAGGCCAATATTCTCAGGACTCTTCAGTTCCTTCTGTGCCTCAACAAACCTCGTAACAAGTGACTTGAAGATAGCAGCGACAATTTGACTCTCAGCATTTCCAGTCAGGCCAGATCCAAAGTTTGTTGCATATCCTTGACCGCCAGCTGATTTTATGCCATGTTCAGGAATGTTCAATGATTTTATTCCAGTCGATCTTTTATGGTCTGGTTATGGGTGCGTTTAATGTAAAAATGAATGACGGCAACATGCACAAATTAAAAGCTACTTAAGCAATCATGAGGCAGAGCAGACGTGTGGTGTTTGTGGGGTGAATTGTGTATTAAAATTTCAAACTTTATCCAATTTTAATTTAAATTTTAAATTTATCGACAAATCAATTTTTTTTCGTCAATTGTGGATTTAATGTTTTTAAATATTTTGTTTAAAAAAGATTTTTCAATTATAGAAAAGCTGCAATTGATTAATTAGATAATTAAAGAAAAATACTTTTTATCAGCTTCATCCAGCTGTGGTTCTTTTGCAATCAGAATAGCCAAAAAGCTTTCTACACATTTTAATAGGTGAATTGATTAAAAAATCAAAAATAAAGAGATTAAAATGCAATGATTACAATACTCTTAATACTGATACAACTATGCGGATAGCGATGATGAGAATAGAATGACTTAAAGGCTTATTTTTAATTTTTTGTTAAACAAACTTTCACTAAATGTAATTATGAGATTATAAGGTTGAACATGATATATTTGGAATGTAGGTTTTTAGTATAAAATAATGAAAAATCTTGGACTTACTCAGTGGTGATAAAAGTGAACTTGGATCCACACAAAATCCCACGAAAGCATGAAAAAATTCAATAAGCTCATGTAAGGAGGAATCACGAACCATATTCCTTAGATATTTCTTCGAGAATGTAGATGACTGCTTTAACAGTCGTGATAAATTGGAGTTACATTGAAGTCTCAAGAATTCAGCTTGTGCTCCTCGAACACCATCATTACATCCATTTTGACATCCAAGATGCAATAATGCGCGTATGATTATTCCAATTGTTAGATTATGCGAATGTTCTCCCAACTTAAGGACACCAAAATCAATCAACAGTTCACAAATATTCAATCCAGTCTCAAGTATCCTCAATGATGTTGTATTCGATTCTCGTTTAAGGACATGATAAACAGCAAGTAGAACCACTTCATAGTTTATTCCACCTTCTTTTGTGATGTAAAATGAAGATCCAGGAATTTCATTTTCATCCAGACCAGCATACACAATATGTGAATCAGTTTGTGATCTCAGCATTTGGGCTTTGTAAATACCAGTTTGGCTGCCATTAACACTCATAGCATCAAGTTGCGATTCGATTGAACCCTTAATGATTTAAAGTTAATAACAAAGTTCAGAAGAAATCCAAAATATAATCAAACTAACCTGTCTTCTCATAAAATCAGGTGATGGAGTAGGTGTATGCTCAGTCACAGTAATGATCGGATTTCTAGGAATAGCTGATGCCATGTATTCTTTATGGCCAGTCGATTGATTACTTCTGTTCAACTTTGGCTGGGGTGGATCTACAAATCTGTAGTATCTGGAATATTTTCATAAACACAGCATTAAAAATCATTCAAGATATAATATTAAGCAATGATAGAATTTTGTAGAGTGCATTAGGCCGATCATGAAGAATTAAATCCTCTAAGTTGTGAAAAATGATTTTGATGACAGTATATACTTGTATTATGATAGTGATATGTGACGAATTTTATTCTAACTCACCCACTATCAAGTAGACAACTGAGCAATAGATATAAAGTTTAAGATTAAGAAGATGCAAAGCAAGTTCAGACATTGAATGTGTTCAGGATTAAAGAATAGAGGAAAAATACTATAAAAAAAAACTTTTTTAAAAAAGCACGCTTTTATTTCCGATTACAGTGCACTAAAAAAGGAGAAAATAATTTTTTTCTGAGAACTCAAATTTGATACAAAATTTTATGACTAAAAATAAAAGCGTGGGGCGTTTAATTTAAACCAGCTCTAGATTTTCTATAATATATTCACAAACCTAATGCTTTTGTAAACATATATGGACGATTTTTAATTGTCACAATTCAAGATTTAGTGATGCATGCAAGAATGCCCCACGCTTTTATTTTTAGTCATAAAATTTTGTATCAAATTTGAGTTCTCAGAAAAAAATTATTTTCTCCTTTTTTAGTGCACTGTAATCGGAAATAAAAGCGTGCTTTTTTAAAAAAGTTTTTTTTTATAGTATTTTATTTTCTACTTTTTAGTTTTATCAAATCTATAAATCGATTCAACTTCCAAAATTTGGAATTTTTGTTTTATTACAACACTGGCTCTATCAAACTTAATAAGGAGGTTACAGTTTTTAGATTACAGGAAGTTTTAGATTTCACTTCGCTTCACTCCGTTTCATTCAACTTTTTATGAATTAACAGTTTTTAATGGGTAATTAGTAAAGACTGTCAAAATTTTTCATTCGTTTTAAATTATTTAATTCATACCTGAAAATACATGAAACTCTTTTAAAAATGTCCTAACTTCAAATAAAGATTTTGAGTTTATCCGTCCCATTCCTACTACATAACATGTAGATTCTTAACATAAAGATGAAAATCACATCTATACGTAACGTATTTATAACGGATCTTTTCAAATTTAAATTTAATGAATGTCATTTATATCAGAGATCGAAGCCGATTTTTTCGGCTTAACTCAACTTTTGATTTTTTTGAAAGAAAAAAGCTATTTAACATACATTTCAAGTATTTATATTGGACTTTACATGCTTTACTATGATTTTGTGTAATATTTTGTCAGCATGTAGCTATAGGAAGCTCAGAATTTCAAGTTAAAGAATGTTAAGCCGAAATTTAAGCCGATCGGCTTAAAATCGGCTAAATTGAAATTCTGAGCTCACTATAGCTACATGCTGACAAAATATTACACAGAATCATAGTAAAGCATGTAAAGTTTAATTTAAATACTTAAAATGGTAGTTAAATGGCTCTTTTCTATCAAAAAAATCAAAAATTGAGTTAAGCCGAAAAAATCGGCTTCGATCTCTGATTTATATGATATGCAAAAATATGTCAAGCCGTTAATAAATAGAATAATTAACATAATTAAATTGGTGAAGTGTAATAAATATTGTAAAAAAATTAAAACAGCATAAATGTATGCTCTAAATATGTGTGCTAAATGCACATCGCATATTGATAGTTATTTTGCATTAATTAGTAACGCAGTTCAAAAATAATTTATTAACGTAGTTCATAAGCTTAAAAAAAAGCTTTTTTTTTTTTTTTCTCGCTCGGCAACTTTTTTTAAACTTTTTATGCCACATTTTCATGATATATGTAAATCTCATTCATCAAAATTAATAATTAATCAAGATATAGTTGAATTAAAGCCATATTCAGGCTGGTGTCAAAATAAGACTCAGAGAAATGTAACTTAAACTACAATAATTCCAAATTTGAAATAAAGAAAGATTTGTTAATTAGTAACGGACTTGTGTTTAACGGTTTTTTGAAAATTCAAATTTTCACTTACGAATGTTCATGAAAAAATTACTTGTCAAATTTTTTGTCTTGCCAAAATATCTTTAGCTGCTCAAATTTATAGTAAAATCAATAATTAGTAATATTACTTAAACTATAATGAATCACATAAATGACTTTTGAGCATTTCAAGTATAATATTTTAAACAAATCAAAATTTCATATCATTGACAATGGATTTTTTCCCATATAAAAAAGTTTTACTTAAATTGTACTATAATTAAGCATTTTTGTGGTTCCAAAGTGTTACAATATAGTATTGTCACCGGGAATACGTGTGTATACAAAATTTGAGCTCAATTGGAGCAATAGAAGTGGTCGAAAAATCGATTGCAAGATTTGACGCTCCATAACAGAGTGAGTTAAATAAAAGCGTGTAAAAAGTTTTTTATAATAAATTAAACGGAAGCAAAGTATTTGAATTTACAGCCGTGAAAAATTATTTGAATTTTAACAGATTTTGAAAATTCAAATGAACTGAAGCAAAATGAAATAAAATGTTATTGAACAACATTTCAAAATAATTTTAAACGTTAAAATTCATATTTTTATTCTTTCCAAAAGTCGGTTAACAATAATTTCTTAAATTACTAACAACTCCAATGCTGTACAAAAGTTGTTCTTCAAGCGTTGACCAGCGCTTGTTCTGAGCTACTTCCACTTCATCCAATGTTTTAATTAAAGTTTTACTTCCAGAAATAATTTCTTCGTGTGCTTTTAAAAATAATGCAAGATATGATTGAGCTAATTCGAAATTCAGATTGCTGTTGAACATTTCAATAATCATTTTAAGGAATTTGTCCATAAGATTAATTGATCCACCACTAAGTGGAGCTAATGAACGAATTTCATAGTCAATCATTGATGGATTAAGAGTCACAAAGTGATTAATTGAATTTATGTAGTCATTTGATTCTGATGACTTCTTGAGGACAATTCCGAATGCTGTAAGATTCTCTACATTAGAGACGGTTTTAAGCTTGGTGCTGTCATCATCCTGCACGATTCCATTCACATTGAAGGCCACTAAAAAGAAGATTTAAGTGTTTTAGATTCAAACTATAACGTTTAAATAAATTTCAAAATTATGAACTGAAATGAACTAGATTTACTGAACGAAATTTCAAAATTATTTTAACAATTGAAGCACAAAAACATTTAGACCGTTAAATTTCAAAAATTACTCTCAACTTACTTTCTAATCCAGCAACAGTTGGAAGGAAAAAAGGAGCTTGTTTAGGCTTCTTTGGTGCCTCTTTTGGTCTATTTCTCTTCTTGATAATATCCAAATCGAGCAAGTTCTTCCATTTTGCTTCTGATAAGCTTGACATTGTAATTAAATCATCATCAATTTGACATGGACTTTTATATTCTAAATTAATGTATTCTCCTTCGTCATCCTCAGCTTCTGGCTCAATTTTAATAAGATTCATGGCATCAACAATGTCATATTTATGCTCAAATTGAAGCATATTTGGTAATTCAACGGATGGAGCTTCATTTTCAGGATTAATTGATTTTAATGAGATGTGTTCATAAAGAGTCTTATTAGCCCAAAGATAGACACCAAGGAAATCAACATGTGCTGTAGCTAGGAAGTCTCCCGTCGGTGACATTGACAGTGAAATGCAAGGCTGTGACATTTTAAATTGATCAATTAAATATGATGATGGAATATCCCAAATTTTTATCGTACAATCCATACTGGATGTAATTAACCATCGACTATCTGGACTAAAGCATGCATCAGTAATTGGAGCTGAATGTCCTATGAATTTTCTCACAATAGTCTTTGTGTCGTAGTCAATAATAAGGACTGTAAATTCTTCAAGAACAACACAAAGCATGGAACTTTCGCGATGTCCTCTGACAAATAAAATGCTGTCTTGAAGCTTAATTTCTCCAAAAGCATCTTTTGCTTCTTTTGTCTTGAAATTCCAGAATTTTAATTTTGTATCAACTCCAGCACTGATTACACATTGATTTAAATTATCCACATAAATACCACGGACGTCATTGTTATGTGCTGGATTCCCATAAGTTGCTCGATGAATTCCTGACTGCATATTATATCGCTCAATATCTCCAGACGAGTATCCAATGAGGACAAAATTTCCACAATGAGTCATAGTCAAGCATGTTGCAAAAGTCTTGAAATCACTTCTTTTCGTCTTCTTAAATCTTTCTGGCATAAGCTTTAAGTCTCCCATTTTTCTCTTATCAAATGACCAAGTTGTTGCCTCAACTAAATTATTATGAATAGCCACAATACTATCCCAATGCTTCTCTCTTGTCATTTCAGACGTGAAGCTTGTTATTGGAGGCATTAATAGGTGATCATCACTCAATTTATCTAAAATTTTGGTAAGATTGAAAATTAACGGTAGGGTAAACCATGTTGAAATTTGTGCGATCAAATGAAATGTAAATCATCTAAACTAAACCATTTATAGAAAAAATTTGTATGCAGTTCTTTGTAAAGCAGTTATTAAAACTTTTCTACTTCATTTTGGATTGTGTTGAAGGTTCTTATAGCTTTAAATTTCAATTATTCAAAATCCTATACAAAATGAAAGTTTTCATCTTTTTAATTATTTGGACTCATTTGATTCTTCTTACCCCATCAGAGTTAAAAAACAAATTTTCTTTATTGCTTTTTCGATTAAAAAAGTTTCTGCGTACGAAAAGTCATTGGAAGTCCTTCAAAAATTGATTTTAAAATGAGTTGTTTTCAAATGTTGAAATTTGTGCGAAATTTTTTGACGAATTTTGAAATTTGTGTGTTTTTGTCTTAAAAAAGCAATGGCACATTTTGTCAACAAAAATAATTATTTACAATCAAAATCGGGTTTTTAGAGGTATGAATCAAGATTAAGACAAAAATAACATGAAGAAGACATGAACTGAGAGTAATGAAAAATGTGTTCGATTCAAATATTCATACAGAATCAAGAAATTTCGAAAATGCAACCAACTTCAAAAAATATTACAAGAACAAAAAAGCATTCAAGAACTACGTTCTGTTTTCAGTTCCAAAAAGATGATACACAATAAACTTCGTTAAAATACTCTTCTTTCTCTTATTTCTCAAAACAATTTTGCAAAATTCTGTAAACTTTATCGTGAATAAATTTTGGAAAAAAAAAACATTTGTTGGATGTGCTTGGTTTTAATAGTGTCTTCTCGTCATACTCAGTCAACATAAATAATATAAATAATGATAAATAAATTTGGAAATCTTGAAAAAAAAAGTTCATTAATGCAGCAGTGTCCTTTAAAATTGAAATAGAGTTTATTTGGAAGTGTTCCTTAAAAGCAATCACCATTTAAATTTCAACATTTTTTTTTGCACAAATTTTAAAATTTTCCGCACAAATTTCAACATTTGGCCAAAAATGTCAAATTTCTCTTCCTATAAGCAGCATAACCATCACTGAGTATAAAAAAAATGAAAATTTCAACAATTTTTGATAATTTAAGACCAACAGTAAATTTTTACAGTAGGGCATTGAAAAGTTATAAGCAAATGAAATCTTCAAGTGCAAAAGCACACAAATTTCAACATGGTTTACCCTATTGTAGAAATCAAATTTTATCGGTTTTGTAAGATTCGAATTTTATCGGTTTTGTAAGATTCAAAAAATAAATGGTTTTTGTAACTTACTCATTTTCTTAGAAGCCTTTCTGTTGTAGCTGGCCCTTCCAAGACTAACATTAAGTGTCTCAGATATTGTACTGAATATTCTTAATGATGAATCCTCGCCAGACGACAATATACTATCGCCTTTAGAGCCATGATAGCGAATACAAAGTGGTGGAGATGAATGTCCTTCTCTGTAACGCAACATTCTTGGGGTTCCATCAAGTTTGTCAAAGATCCATAACTTTAATGAATTATCTATTGATGTTGTTAATAAGAGTGGCTCATTTGGAAGGAATTTGAGTGTACTGACACTATCGTGATGAGCTAATAAAGTGCTGACAATCTTCTTTTCCTCTAAATCCCAAAATGCAATTTGTCCATTGATGCTGGATGTTGCCATCATTGTTGGACCGTCTGTTCTGAATGCAATTCCTGTGACCATTCCCCATTCTTGTGTAAATTCCATGAGAATCTTATCAACTTTTAAATTAATTAAAGCAATTTGACCATTTGACATTCCACAAGCAACAACATCAATAGCTGGAGATTGCTCAATAACTGTTATTTTGCTTGAAAATCCACTGAATGTATAAATCAGCTTTCCATGACGAACATTCCATAGCTGTAATGTTCCTTGTTCACTTCCTAATAGGATTTTATTGACGTAAGTATGTGGATGCATTATTGCTGTAATTTTAAATGATTCATTTTGGAATGGAATCTCAGTATGAAGACATTCACTTTTTTTATCCCATACTTTCAATAAGCTATCCTCATCTACGGATATTATATGATTTCCAAAAGGTAGAATATGAGTTACTTTTGATTTATGTCCAACATATCTGTGTTTAATCTCATTTCCACGTCTCCATCCATAAATAATTGTTCCACTTGCTGAATAAATCAAGAATTTGTCACTAGCTAGACATGTTATTTCCTCTGGATGTAATCCAGACACTGTTAAAAGTCGAAAATGTGTACAATTAAATGTTTGGAATGATTTTCCAACGCATGTTGTCACTAAATTCTCTTTTCGTCCAGTTACATATCGAACTGTTGCTGGAACTTGATTTGACACATATCCAAGTGCACGATTCTGCTGAAATATCCGACTCATAATGCTTTATTATAGCGTAATTTTATTATTTTAAATATTTTTTGCCGAATCACATGTGAATGTATTTACTAGGGTAAAATCAACTTATCAGGGGAATATCAACTTGATTGAAGAGTTGAGTAATTTAAAATTGAAAAGACTGGTAAAAGTTACATTTTTGATTGCTTTATTTAAAACACTTTATTTCATAAATACGGACAAAAAACTTGATTATTATAAACGTTAACTAAACATTCGTTTGGCATCAACATGAATCTAAATGTTTGGCATAAAAGTTTTCATAAATGGCATTTCATTGTAAAATAAAATACTGTTAAATTTTGCATTAAAAAGTAAATCAGTTAATAAAGGAAAATTGCATCCAATTTTCAAAAAACATCTTGATGAACGTGTTTCATAAATCCATCAAAAATATATCTCTAATTTTCGTACTTAATCAAGTGTTCTCTTTTAATAATTCTCATCTACAAATTTTCTTCCTTTCTCAATTTCACCTAAAACAAATCTAATCTGTTACTTTTTAATGTTAACATTAATTATGTTTCTTTTTATCATTTAATGACTCTAAAACTTCTAGTTTAACAACACACAACAATAAACTTGTTTAAAAATTGTTAATTGTCAGCAAAATTTGTAGGCATTTTTATGTTGCTTCTCAAATGTTTTATCCACTTTCTCTTTCCAATCTCATTTAAATTTTAAAATACTTTTTAAAAAGTTTTGGAAACTCTTTGGATTCTATTCATAATGTCCTCAACTTTATGAATCTCTTTTGACTTTTAAAAATACTCAATAATTATGTTATGTTAGTCTGTTACGTATGATAAATAACATCAATCTTTCATATTCTTGTTAATACTATTACAAAATATGTTCCTTCCTCGTAATTTATTTAATAATTCAACTTTTCTAACTCTCAACTTCTTTGTTCATAAGTTGAAAGACTTTTTGGGAAGATTAGAAACTTAATTGTGGCAGATTAAAACCTACTCTAGATCGTAATTTCGTTCAAATTTACTTCAATTGTTCTCATCCACTTCTTATATGCCAACAAAAATCCTAATCCCCTTCGAAAAATCTCCCAAAACACATGACTCATAACCCAAACCTAAATCTCATTCTAATTTTCAAATCAATAATATTATCAACTTTATGTCTAACAATTAACATCAACATTCTACAAAATACAACATCTTATTGTGTAACTCTCATAAGCCTTTATCATCCCTAAAATACTAAATATTATTTCATTTCTCAAGAATAATACACGTCAATATGTAAGACATAGATATATCATCAGAATAAAAGCGTTTCAATAAAATGCATCTCAATAAATAAAATAAGTCTCATTCGCTCAAAAAATTATTTCTTTTGTTGCTTTCTTTGCATCTTTCCAAAAAAAAAGTTCATTGTAAAGTTTAAAAGATTAAATTAAAGTTGAGTAGGTTTGAAGAAATTTTTGAGATTTTTTATCAGGTTAGATCAACTCAGCCACAAAGTTTGAGAACCGATATCTTTGATAAAGGAGTTAATGTGAAGATTAAAGAAACGATTTTCAAAAACCTGGTCCTTTCTGGTGATCGAGAATCAGAAGGTTGTAGCGCTTAGGAATTATATCATCGTCCTGAACTATTAAAATGAATTGCTAGGCTTTGAAATGTCTTAGCTTTTTAAAGCTCATTTTAAAAACTATTCTTTAAAAAAAATCTAGTTTTAAACCTTTTTGAAATTTAGATTAGAAGCTAGGAAACCAGATCTAACACTAGGTTAAATAATCTAATTTGATATTGCTCAACTTTGTTTTGTATTATAATCGTAAGGTATGATTTTCAACTGAGCTTGAACTTGACTCAAACATTTTATCAAATCTAGTCGACTTGAGTTGACTTTTCCATACAAAATCCGAATCAAATTCATAAAAAAACTTGCTCTATCCAAATCATTCTCAAAACTTTCATCAAACCTACACCCAACCCTACTGTATATTATTGATTAAATATTGTTTTTCACGTAAAGATTGTAGATAAATAAATTGTTTTCATAATATTTTAAAACGTGTAGAACTGGAGAGTATGTAAATATGTCACATAAAAATTAAAATACTGTCAACATTTTTCATCTTCATTTGGCATCTAACATCAAATACTGATAAGTTTTATGCGTTTTTTTTTGTTAATTAATTATTATTATTATTTCATTTAATCTTATATCAACGTATCTTCTTCGTCTTGTGCTTCAAACAGCATCAATAATGAATTTTGTGATGATGATCGTGGAATTGAGACACCGCCTCGTTCCAATGCTAATTCATTGAAGTTTAATGATCCATCTGGGGATAATAATCCTGTTTGGAAGCTATAATTATCTCTATACCCAGATGTTGATGATGTCTGTGAGACAGAATCCCATGAATGTGGAACGTCAGTATCATTATTACGTCCATTATTATCCATAGGTTCAAGGGGTGGCAAATGGAAGTGTGAATGTGGTGAATTTGTTGGAGTCGTAGCACTTACTTGAATAGTCGTTTGTGTGTGAGTTGGTGGAGCTGATGATGGTGGAGTTATAAGGTTTGGTGCATCCAGTTGATTTAAACGACCTCGCTTGTATCTAAATGTTTTACGTGACTGACCTTTCGATCTTTGTAATCGATGCTTCTGAGTTTCGCCTGAACTGTCATCAGCTGGACTATCTGGGGACAATGGAGTTGTACTTGTCTCACCTGCTGGATCTCTAAACTCAACTGACGATACAAACCTTAATTTTGGTGGCTGAATTTTTAATGAATGATGATGATGCATAGAATGTGAATGTGATAAATGTGGAACACTTCCTGACATATTTGGGGAATTAAAACGACTTGTGCGTCTAATACTTGATGCTCGTGAAATGATTGTTTGACAAGTTCCATGGGTTCCATCAGCACTAATTGTATCACTCGTAACTCCCGGTTCTCGATTAGTTGTTGTTGACGAACTTGAAAGTGACTCTCGTGGTGGATGTAAAGTTTGTTGTGACAATGTGTCACTTGGTGTATGAAATCCAGTTCCACATCTTGAATCTTGTTGCATTGAGAATTGGGAAGCATGTTGATTACCAGCACCTGTCAAGATTGAAATCAATGATGGTCGTTGCTGAGATTTGGATACTGGCTCGAGTGGTTGAACAGTAACTGTCGATGATTCCTTCTTTGTTGGTTCTGAACTAGCTGTATTTTCCTTATCAATTCGTCTCTCTTCCAATTCATCACGTAAATCTTTTAGTTCTCGTGCTAATTCAAGGAGTAAGCATCCACGAGATTTAATCCCTCCCGGCGGTGCCAAACCTCTCAATCTTTCACGAATTAAGAACTGCATGTGACGCTCATGGTCACCAATTGGTGGCTGTGCTATTTTATGTAATATAAATGGCATCAAAATTATATAAAGTGGTGTTCGATGTGTTACTACAAATTCTAAAAAGCTCCATAGTTCTGGTGCTGCTTCATTTCTTCTTCCCAAATCTCTCATAATTCTAGCTACTTTTGGCCACTCAGGCGACAAGCGAGACTCAAAGCATACACAAAGTACCTTTAATGCTAAAAAGGCTGCTTGATAAAGTGTGCCTGATATTTTTGCTGGTCTCTTAGCATCCCTAGATCCAGTAAATGTCAATGAACCACCTCTTATTTCACTAACAACACGATTTGTTGAAATTCCAGACTGTGCTGTACGTCCCGATGGTGGGCTCATTGAGTTTAAAATTACTGTGACTAAAAATGAGATGTCCTGGTCTCTCAGTTCTCCTACTTCTGAAACTCCTCTACCAGAACATATTTTCAAGCATAAAGGCATCAACAGGTGCATCAAAAATCCTTCTGCTTTTTCTTGTGTTGCAAATTCAGCTGTTCCACCACAAACTTGTTCCAAAGTGAAACAATCAACTGGACTTACAAGTTGTAAGGCAATTAGTCGAACAACTGTTGAACAGAAAAATGCTGGTGGACTTTGACTCATTAAAGCTGCACTAGCACTTGATACATTCTCAGTTGACGCCTCATTAATAATCAAATTTTGAACAGTTAAAAGAAGTGAACGCATTTGCTGCCAATGAAGAACAAAAGGACATCTAACAATTGTTTCGTGGATTCCTTTTAATAATCCAGCAGCTGCTTCCCAATCTGTGTTACGTCTGATTGATGGTTTCTTTGAAATCTTCAAGAAAACTTTGTCTAGTCTCCTCAAAATTGTTACTAGTGCTGCTTTCATCTTCTCATCTCCCCAGTCAGCACGAGGAAGGATATAAGTCATATATCTCTGAAGTCCTCGACATGCCATAGAATCAGGATCATATGGTGATACTTTTAGTAATGAATGTGCAATGTCAGCTAATCGGATATGACATTTAGCATCAAGAAGCTCAACATACTTAGAATCAGCACCAGGCTTTCTAGATAATTCCTGTAATCTTGTCGTTGCTCTGTTTAAAAATTCTCCAACTAGTGACAAAAGAACATCTCTTGCACGACGATACTCAGTCCTAACAAGTTCAGAATCTTCAGCCATTTCTGGTAAGTTCTTTCCACTTCTTCCCATGTCACTAACATATTTTGAATGTGATTCCTCTTCAAAATCAAATCCAGGCGATGGAGGTGGTCCACGAGATTGATTTCTTTGAGAAGAACCTTTGTGCTCGGGACTGTTACGGTACGGACCATTATAGCTTTTCGAGAGTCCTTCACAATTATGTACCATTGTTCTAATTGTAATTGCCAGTTGCATGATGATGTCCCGTTCACATTTTCCTTCAAGTGATATGTAGGTATTGTTGAAGTAGTTTGGTGACTGGATTTGTTGCATGTAGCAGGGTAGAATCGCTTCCAATATTATCTAAATGAAGATATTACCAATAATGGATCAAATTAAATGCTAATTGTATAGTTACTCACCAGCATTTGATATCCCCTTAAGCTCTCAGCAGAATAAGAGACAGTCATGACACATAATGTAATACAATCCAAGACTGTAACCATTTCATCTTCATCATGATAACAAAAGTCAATAGCTTTTAAAGGTTTTGGTTCCTTGACCAATTCAGCAATATTTAAAGGATCAGGTGAAGGAGTTTCCAAGCTCATAAGGAGATTAAAAAGGCAGCTAGACTGAACTTTCGACGCCTCACCAAAAGCACCATCTTCATCAGTGTCCAAAATAGCCGAGACACTTCCAAACATTTGTAAGATGAATGGTTTTCTATTCATCATATAGAACTGCTTTACTGCATACTCTATAGTTGTTGTGATTAATTTATTTGTTTGATGTAAGGAATAGATTTGCAGTAATGTAGGCATTATCATAAAGTAACCATTCGTAGAGAAGATATTTTTAAAATTAAAAGCAGCATTGATGAATGTTGCCATGACATATCGCATGATACAACAGTCCTCAGAATGCAAAATAGCAGCACCACCAAGTACATTTAAAAATAATTGAATGTCTGCAGAATATGCAAAATTTCCAGCCATAGCTTCAAACATCCTAGCAATCAATCGTACCCACATGAATTTGTGCAGTACATCAAGGCCTAAAAGTTCCTTTCCATAATCACCGCCATGATACAAATCCAAGTCACTTTCAAGTGCTTTTCTTGGGAATGAAGGCAGCTTCATTAATTCTTCATGCAAGAACACAACACGCTGCACAACCATGTCTACATTCTTTAAAATTGCCCAAGTCAAGTGGACTTTACCAATTTCAACAAATTTCTTAATAAGTTCTTGACGTTGCAGAGCAATAAAGGCTTCATCTGATTTCATTTCAATCATTCTAAGTTGTGGATATTGAGAACGCTTGAAGAAATACAAGTCACGAACGAACCAATTAGAATTAAGCATCTGATGTGTCTTATAGTCAATCAGGAAGTAATTATTGTAGTGTTTCTCATCGATTCCGAAGAAATCAAGACTTTCACGTAACAACATTAAGAACTGTGTATCCTCCTACGATAAAAAAAAAACATTTGTAAGGTTTTCATATAAATCTTATACTTCACAAAATCAGATTTTACTCACCAAAACTGGAAATTGACTTGGAATAATTCCTTCATCATTATCATCTGGTCCATGAACGATAATTTTCTTAGCTGATGGTACATTTGCTGTTAACAAGACGGAAGCATCACATTGTTCCTTACGTAAAATTTGCTTTAAATCTTTGAACATAATTCCATGGACAGAATGTACAACCATCCATAAAACTGAAAGAGCTGATCCAACAAGTTTCTGACTATTTTCCTGTGTAGTCCGTACATAAAACATTATATATCCAATGATGTAATTATAAAGTGCAAATGCAGCTTGTTGTGGAAGCTTCGGAACAAATCTTATCAAATGACGTAATAGCTTAAACTGCTGGTCAGGCTTTTCACGTGTCAATCGTTCAAGAACGAATCTCAAAAACAATGCAGAGTCTTCAACAAGACATCCCCAAATAACTTGATAAGCGACTTCATAAACAGCAGTTCCATCAGCACCAATTGCACAGTCATCGAGTGATCCAACAATTTGCATAACTGATGAACATAAAATAGATGGAAATAGTGAATGTGCAGCATGTAGATGAACTGCTCGTGCTCCATCCTCTTCCTCTATATCGCCAACATGATCATCACTTGGTGTATGATCAAGTCTTTCATGTGCTGCTTGCTGAACAACGGGAATTGTTGTAATAAGGAAGCTATGACGTTCCTGTCGTGTCTTATTTTCTTGAATCTGCATAGCATGACGAATTGCATCACTTTGTTGCTTCTTTCTAGATTTTCCAGCTGATACATAATGTCTGTGACGTTCCTCAACATCCATATCTTTATTTTGTTGACGTGGTGCCCACGGTGGATCTACAACTGGTAAGCATTCAATACCAATTTTTGGAGATGGAAGTGTGAATTCTATGCCCGGCGGTGGAACTTTAAAAGTGACATGAGCACCTTCCTCCATTCTTGGCCATACTTGAAATCTGGATTTCCATAATATTTGATATCTTAATATAGCATTTATTCTTACAGTTGGATCTTTATGCTTTAATGCTCTTTGCATGATTTCGGATGCTTGTGCTGGAGCTTTTACCGACGAAAGGATAAAGAATGCAGCTGCAGACGCAGCTGTTTCTTGATTTGTTTCTAATAAGAGTTCCCATGCTACAGGAATAACCTCAACAAATTGATCTTCTGTCAATATAACAGCACCTTTAAGCAGTGCTGAGAATGGAACATGAAATAAGTCGCGAACGTGATTTTTAACATATTTTAAAATCAATGAATTTTCTTTAATTTGCTTCTTTTCCTCCATCTTTTGTAAATATTGTGATGATGTCTGTTCCGAGTCATCATGAATTATCCTGTCCCGTCTACTAGTACTGTCTTTACGACGTGATGGTGAAGTATGTGATGAACTTTGATCTGAAATTTTACGACCTGCACGAGTTTTTTCACGACGACCATTCGATGACTTGACTGTTTCAGTTTGCAAGTAACTTGATGGAACAAGACCGAACTCTTCTCCATAAATCTACCAAAAAAGAATTAAAATTTAATTAAATTAAGCAAAAAAAGAATGCATTTATAAAAAAAATTCAACAAAAAAGAATCTTTGCCTTAAGTGAGGATTGAACTCACGACCGCTGGTTTACGAGACCAGCGCTCTACCACTGAGCTATCAAGGCTGTTCTCAACGGTCACGGAATGTGGCAAAAGACACTATTAAACTTAAGGCCCTTGCGCATGTACTGAATTTTCTCGGAAAATTAATTTGTGAATTATAAATTTTCAAAGAAAATGACATTTTTCACTTACTTTTCTCACAGACTTAATTAATCTTGATGCAGCTCTCATATGACGTTTATAACAGTATGGATGACAAAATGACTGATGTGAACAGTAATAATTGAAAGAATTCAATATAGCAATGACTGAACGCATCCATGGAAAGTTTTTAGATGTCTCATCGGAATCATTAGACTCATTTGGAGAATCTGGTGGCTGTTCATGATCGTCACTTAAAATTCCTGGTGATTCTTCTTCTCCGCCACTTGCATGCTCGGAATTGTCACTGCGATCTGATAATGATGACACTTTTCTTCTTGACTGCATTGAATCTGAGAATGGAAATTGGAGATGGATATAAAATCTTACTGTTTTTATGAATGTTACTCACATTCATTTTCAATTTCTTTCCCTTCCTTTGTGTTTCTACGTAGTTTTAATGACCTACGCTTGAATGAACCTCCTGTATTTGTTGCAGTACCTCGTCTTAATAAAAATGGTCTGACTGTAGCCACTGGTCTTCTTTGTGACAATGTTGAAGGCACTAGAAATAATTTGATTACTTTAAAGTCACAAATTGAATTTCAAAATTTCATACTCATCATCTCTTCTCCCTGTAATGTTAGCGTTGTATTGCTACTTCCTTCAGACTCATTGTCAGGTTCATGCAATACAAATGATATTTTTCGTTCGCCTTCGCCAGCAATGCTTTGTAAACTTTGTGCTGATGTCTGTGAATGACCCATAGAACTTAATGCCATAGACCATCTTCGATTTGCTTTTTCATAGACTTGATGGTGATGATCCCATGGATGATGTACAGGCTGTTTTTCTTTGTGTGACATTCGAGTTGATTTTGGGATTGTTTGGTAAGTTTCACGTAGAAATGCCGTAATTTCTAATAACACAACAGCAGCGACAAGTTTCAATGCTGCTGGACAATCATTTCCGTGAATGTTAACACTCACTATGAAAAGAATTAAAGATATTAAAATGACATTAAATTGTCCAAATTCAAAATAATCTTACTGTCATCAAGAAAATCTTCTTCCTCATCCTGTAAAATCAATTGCTTCTGTCTTTCAGGATCTGACATGGAAGCTTGAATATAATCATGGTTTGCCTTGTCACTTTTAATCATTTCTTCTAACCGAATTCCAATGCATTCGGCCCATTGATAGAATGTCTTTCCAGCAGCTCTTTGCATGAGATGTACACGACGAATACTTGTTGATACACTTGCTCGATTCTGTATTGGACCTGATGGTCTGAATGATGGCAAATTTTGTTTCATCCACGATGGCCACTGACCTCGGTTACACAAGTGCACATAATGAGCACATTCTAAGAGAAATGTAGCTCTGGTAATCAATGGAGCTTGTGGTAAGTCCAATATTGCACCAATTAATTGGGGATCAGGAACTGTGCCTGGAGCACAAATTTCAAGAAGGAAAGAGAATCTCATCATTCCTTCACGTACTGGTTCAGTAGGAATTAAACGCCTTTCTTTTAATATTACAACTTCAGATTCTCTCGGACCGTCACCCAAATCAACAGAACTGCGATGACTGAAATCTGGAGAGAAATTAAGGCTTTATTAAATTAAAAAATTTGGAAAAAATGCCAAGACTCACAGCTTCCAGAGATTTCTTCTATTCCACCAACTTTTTTCTTCCCTTTACCGATTCCCATTCGTCCCAATCGTCTTTCAACTCTACGCCTAGCTCGCAAGAATGACCGTCCAATTCCTTCAGAACCTCTTCCTCTATTAGATCCAACAGAGCTTTTTCTCAAATAAGATGACATTTCAGTTCCACCAGCTTCAATGTCAATTGAATTATCCTTGGATCCACGGAACCATCGAGCTAAGCCACTCAAGCGACTGAATGATTGTCGATCGGAACATGGTGAATCAGTTAATAATGTTCGTTCGCTTTGTCTTGGTGTCAACGTTGGACGTTGATTCTTTCGTCTAACTGTTGCTAAGGGACTCTGACGAACTTGATCATCAGCTCCATCTGTTTCTAACAAGCTCTGAAAATTTATAAAGTTCTACAAATGACTTAAGTATGGTATTCATGACTATTAAAAAGCTTACAGCGCATGCAGATGAAGTGCTTCTCTTTTTGAAGTATAATTTTCTTGCTGCTCTGTCATCTGGTGGAATATTTGGATTCGGTGCAATCGTTTGAACTTCTCCAGTTTGTGGAATGTGGCTGCAAAAATTAAATTATTATTGAGTTCAAAGAATTCAAAAACATGCACAGACTAACCGAATAACTCGAGTTGTTGTCAATTGCGGACCCTTTTTATGAGGTCTTGGAGTTACTGCTAATATTCCACTTAATGCGACTCTTCTAAATGGACCGCCATGAGCTCCTTTGATGTAAGTGATTAGCTGTCGAACATCACAATAAAGGCCAATATTCTCAGGACTCTTCAGTTCCTTCTGTGCCTCAACAAACCTCGTAACAAGTGACTTGAAGATAGCAGCGACAATTTGACTCTCAGCATTTCCAGTCAGGCCAGATCCAAAGTTTGTTGCATATCCTTGACCGCCAGCTGATTTTATGCCATGTTCAGGAATGTTCAATGATTTTATTCCAGTCGATCTTTTATGGTCTGGTTATGGGTGCGTTTAATGTAAAAATGAATGACGGCAACATGCACAAATTAAAAGCTACTTAAGCAATCATGAGGCAGAGCAGACGTGTGGTGTTTGTGGGGTGAATTGTGTATTAAAATTTCAAACTTTATCCAATTTTAATTTAAATTTTAAATTTATCGACAAATCAATTTTTTTTCGTCAATTGTGGATTTAATGTTTTTAAATATTTTGTTTAAAAAAGATTTTTCAATTATAGAAAAGCTGCAATTGATTAATTAGATAATTAAAGAAAAATACTTTTTATCAGCTTCATCCAGCTGTGGTTCTTTTGCAATCAGAATAGCCAAAAAGCTTTCTACACATTTTAATAGGTGAATTGATTAAAAAATCAAAAATAAAGAGATTAAAATGCAATGATTACAATACTCTTAATACTGATACAACTATGCGGATAGCGATGATGAGAATAGAATGACTTAAAGGCTTATTTTTAATTTTTTGTTAAACAAACTTTCACTAAATGTAATTATGAGATTATAAGGTTGAACATGATATATTTGGAATGTAGGTTTTTAGTATAAAATAATGAAAAATCTTGGACTTACTCAGTGGTGATAAAAGTGAACTTGGATCCACACAAAATCCCACGAAAGCATGAAAAAATTCAATAAGCTCATGTAAGGAGGAATCACGAACCATATTCCTTAGATATTTCTTCGAGAATGTAGATGACTGCTTTAACAGTCGTGATAAATTGGAGTTACATTGAAGTCTCAAGAATTCAGCTTGTGCTCCTCGAACACCATCATTACATCCATTTTGACATCCAAGATGCAATAATGCGCGTATGATTATTCCAATTGTTAGATTATGCGAATGTTCTCCCAACTTAAGGACACCAAAATCAATCAACAGTTCACAAATATTCAATCCAGTCTCAAGTATCCTCAATGATGTTGTATTCGATTCTCGTTTAAGGACATGATAAACAGCAAGTAGAACCACTTCATAGTTTATTCCACCTTCTTTTGTGATGTAAAATGAAGATCCAGGAATTTCATTTTCATCCAGACCAGCATACACAATATGTGAATCAGTTTGTGATCTCAGCATTTGGGCTTTGTAAATACCAGTTTGGCTGCCATTAACACTCATAGCATCAAGTTGCGATTCGATTGAACCCTTAATGATTTAAAGTTAATAACAAAGTTCAGAAGAAATCCAAAATATAATCAAACTAACCTGTCTTCTCATAAAATCAGGTGATGGAGTAGGTGTATGCTCAGTCACAGTAATGATCGGATTTCTAGGAATAGCTGATGCCATGTATTCTTTATGGCCAGTCGATTGATTACTTCTGTTCAACTTTGGCTGGGGTGGATCTACAAATCTGTAGTATCTGGAATATTTTCATAAACACAGCATTAAAAATCATTCAAGATATAATATTAAGCAATGATAGAATTTTGTAGAGTGCATTAGGCCGATCATGAAGAATTAAATCCTCTAAGTTGTGAAAAATGATTTTGATGACAGTATATACTTGTATTATGATAGTGATATGTGACGAATTTTATTCTAACTCACCCACTATCAAGTAGACAACTGAGCAATAGATATAAAGTTTAAGATTAAGAAGATGCAAAGCAAGTTCAGACATTGAATGTGTTCAGGATTAAAGAATAGAGGAAAAATACTATAAAAAAAAACTTTTTTAAAAAAGCACGCTTTTATTTCCGATTACAGTGCACTAAAAAAGGAGAAAATAATTTTTTTCTGAGAACTCAAATTTGATACAAAATTTTATGACTAAAAATAAAAGCGTGGGGCGTTTAATTTAAACCAGCTCTAGATTTTCTATAATATATTCACAAACCTAATGCTTTTGTAAACATATATGGACGATTTTTAATTGTCACAATTCAAGATTTAGTGATGCATGCAAGAATGCCCCACGCTTTTATTTTTAGTCATAAAATTTTGTATCAAATTTGAGTTCTCAGAAAAAAATTATTTTCTCCTTTTTTAGTGCACTGTAATCGGAAATAAAAGCGTGCTTTTTTAAAAAAGTTTTTTTTTATAGTATTTTATTTTCTACTTTTTAGTTTTATCAAATCTATAAATCGATTCAACTTCCAAAATTTGGAATTTTTGTTTTATTACAACACTGGCTCTATCAAACTTAATAAGGAGGTTACAGTTTTTAGATTACAGGAAGTTTTAGATTTCACTTCGCTTCACTCCGTTTCATTCAACTTTTTATGAATTAACAGTTTTTAATGGGTAATTAGTAAAGACTGTCAAAATTTTTCATTCGTTTTAAATTATTTAATTCATACCTGAAAATACATGAAACTCTTTTAAAAATGTCCTAACTTCAAATAAAGATTTTGAGTTTATCCGTCCCATTCCTACTACATAACATGTAGATTCTTAACATAAAGATGAAAATCACATCTATACGTAACGTATTTATAACGGATCTTTTCAAATTTAAATTTAATGAATGTCATTTATATCAGAGATCGAAGCCGATTTTTTCGGCTTAACTCAACTTTTGATTTTTTTGAAAGAAAAAAGCTATTTAACATACATTTCAAGTATTTATATTGGACTTTACATGCTTTACTATGATTTTGTGTAATATTTTGTCAGCATGTAGCTATAGGAAGCTCAGAATTTCAAGTTAAAGAATGTTAAGCCGAAATTTAAGCCGATCGGCTTAAAATCGGCTAAATTGAAATTCTGAGCTCACTATAGCTACATGCTGACAAAATATTACACAGAATCATAGTAAAGCATGTAAAGTTTAATTTAAATACTTAAAATGGTAGTTAAATGGCTCTTTTCTATCAAAAAAATCAAAAATTGAGTTAAGCCGAAAAAATCGGCTTCGATCTCTGATTTATATGATATGCAAAAATATGTCAAGCCGTTAATAAATAGAATAATTAACATAATTAAATTGGTGAAGTGTAATAAATATTGTAAAAAAATTAAAACAGCATAAATGTATGCTCTAAATATGTGTGCTAAATGCACATCGCATATTGATAGTTATTTTGCATTAATTAGTAACGCAGTTCAAAAATAATTTATTAACGTAGTTCATAAGCTTAAAAAAAAGCTTTTTTTTTTTTTTTCTCGCTCGGCAACTTTTTTTAAACTTTTTATGCCACATTTTCATGATATATGTAAATCTCATTCATCAAAATTAATAATTAATCAAGATATAGTTGAATTAAAGCCATATTCAGGCTGGTGTCAAAATAAGACTCAGAGAAATGTAACTTAAACTACAATAATTCCAAATTTGAAATAAAGAAAGATTTGTTAATTAGTAACGGACTTGTGTTTAACGGTTTTTTGAAAATTCAAATTTTCACTTACGAATGTTCATGAAAAAATTACTTGTCAAATTTTTTGTCTTGCCAAAATATCTTTAGCTGCTCAAATTTATAGTAAAATCAATAATTAGTAATATTACTTAAACTATAATGAATCACATAAATGACTTTTGAGCATTTCAAGTATAATATTTTAAACAAATCAAAATTTCATATCATTGACAATGGATTTTTTCCCATATAAAAAAGTTTTACTTAAATTGTACTATAATTAAGCATTTTTGTGGTTCCAAAGTGTTACAATATAGTATTGTCACCGGGAATACGTGTGTATACAAAATTTGAGCTCAATTGGAGCAATAGAAGTGGTCGAAAAATCGATTGCAAGATTTGACGCTCCATAACAGAGTGAGTTAAATAAAAGCGTGTAAAATGAAGAGAATAATTTAATTTAAATAAATTTACAAACCTAAGTGATGGCATGGATTTCCCTTTAACAAGATTTGATGAAGAATCGCGTGTTAATGTTGCAGTTGAGCGAGATAAATTCTCATCTCCAGTATCCAAGCTTCGATGAATGTCCTATACATGATTAATTTAAAGAATATGTTAAATATAATAAACATCCGTATTTGCTGTGTCACTTACACCATGCTCTAGTCTCTTTACATCTCCAATCTTTTCTAAACCACGATCGGATTTAGATAAAATTTTGGTCTCAATCAATGTCCTCAAGTCTGCCATCTTAACACGCTTCTTTTTCTCACTTGGTCGTCTACTTCCATTCGTTGACACAGAATCTTCTGGTTTATCAAATGATTTTTGCTGTTGAAATGGTGTATCATTGAGAATAGCACTAATTGGAGGCTCTGGAACTTCAATATAATCTTTTGTTGTAAGAGAACTATTGCTCGGACTATCTCTGCTTCCAGTGCCTTGATAGAGAGAAATTTCAATTTGCGGTATAGGAAGAGAATTTGATCGGCGTCTTGGCTGTGCTGGTGGCACTGTACTCTCTTCACTAATCTCTCGAAGTCTGTAGTTAACGTGTATAAATAAGAGCGGAAAAAGAAAGTGTATTAATACATAGTAAGCCTAGATGCGTATGTTGAAAATGTTCATTTGCCATCGTACTAACACAACTTGAAAAGCCTCGTTGGCTCAGTAGGTAGAGCGTAAGTCTCATAATCTTAAGGTCGTGAGTTCGATCCTCACACGAGGCATTTCTTTTTTGCTCCACTTCTTTTTACTCAATTTTAATGATTATCCATAAATTATTAATTACAGCATATTTTGCATAATATTTTTTTTAATGTCACTTAATAATTTTTAAATTATTGCGGCAGGTCAGTTATTCTTTTCTTTAGAAAGTTAATTAAGCAATCTCTTTTTTTAAGCAGTCACAACATTAATTTTTCATTACTTTCGCTTATTTATGTCATTTCATGTTCTCTGGCTCTCACAGATTCCGTATAACAAAGAAAGCACTTCAGGAAAGCGATTTAAGTGACAAAATAAAATTGACAGTCTTGAGAGATTTTCGAATTTGGCTCATTTTAATCGTGACTGATTGGCTGCTTTTTGAGATGAAAAAGAGTCTCAGACCCAAAAAAATATATAAATTGGTCAAAACTTTTGTAGATTCTTTCACTTCTCTCATCGCCATCCAAAGATGCAAAAGTCACTTGGAGTTCTCATTTTACTTGCTTTATTTCATAATGGATCTTGTATTTTGGTATGTAAATTTTATTGATTTCACAAATAAAAATTCCTGTTATTTAATTCCTTTACAGACAAAAATGGCATGCAGAACTTCAGGGAATGGAACATGTGTTGACCCATTTTGCTTTGTCACTCCAGTCAACGAGAAATCAAATGCTGCTAATTTTGGATGTGGCAAGCTGACAAGGCCTTTAAATAAAGTTCAAGTAAGACTATAAAGCCACCGCTAAACCCTTAAATTAAGTGCTAATCATGCTCCTCCACAGGTTAAGCAACAATTTTACTTCAAATTCTTCCAAAGCTACATCCCATTCAATATATTCCCAGAAGTCGAGTGGTGTAGCTTCGTCAAAAATCCAAATCCCTTCTCATACTTTAATGGCATCGTGAATGCACTCAAAGAAAAAGTTCCGGGATTTGTGCATCAATGTCCATATTCAGGCACAGACTTACAAGTCAAAAATTTAATATTAGTCACAAGTGATTTAGCTCTTTGGATTACTGGCGAATATAAATTAATATACACAATATATGACGACATTGACCCTAAAATATTAGAAGTATCCGCAAGAGGCATTATTAAGAGAAATTAATTTAAAATCTATCCAGTATTTATTGTGTATTAGGCTAGTAGTAATTTAATGAAACTCATTTATGCATCAAAAAGTTATAAGATAAATGACCGAGATGGTAGAAAGTTCCAAAAAAAAAATGTATAAAAAATTTCTCGTTCCATTTCTTTTTTCTATGAAGATGGTAAGCTGTAGTGAAATCAAACGATTAAACATTATTTACCATAATTTTGTCATCAGCGTTAGCTTCTGGTCGTGACTATATAAATCCCAATCAATATTAATCGTAGTGCCAGTAATTTTTGATCAAGTGTGAATTCATGAACGTTAAATGCAGTGCTATCGTGTTGCCGCTATTTCTAGTGGCTACAATTTTTCATTTTGGATATGGATTGATTGTAAGAACTTGTAAAATATTAATGTATAAGATCCAGTTGTATAATATTAATTTTTTTGATAGACAAAAGTGCAATGCAGTACATCAGGTAAAGGAACTTGCATGGAACCTTACTGCTCATTCTCAAAAAGTGAAAAAAATAGTTCAGTTGTGGTGGCTAGTTATGGATGCAAAGATATAAGAAAGCCATTGATGAAAATAAATGTGAGTTTAATTTGAATCTTAGTGTTTCTGAAAGTTCTTGTGAAGTATGTAATTTCATATGAGTTTTTAAAAAATCCCTCAATATCTAATCAAATTTCCATCCCCAAGGTTCACCTCAAAGTCTACATGAAGACATCATCACAATACTATCAAATTGGCTACTTTCCGAAATTTGACTACTGCCAATACATCACGACATTTGATAAAGAGAACTTTCTATACACTGGAGTGAAATTATTAAAGAAGAAAATGCCAGAAGTTGTGCACGAGTGTCCATATCAAGATAACGATTTACAAGTAAATAATTTAACGCTTACTGACAGTGATTTTAAGCACATACCGGCTGGAAAATACAAAGTTGTTTGCACATTCTCGGACGATGTGGATAATAAAATATTAAAAATGACGACTCATTACCATATAACATGATAATTAAGTGGATAGAAGAAAAAAAAAATAAAAAAAGAAGTGATTCTCACTGTGTGAGCCCCGTTGAGTTAAATTTCAAGTGTTACCTTAAAATTTCTTTGCATAACTTTATTTCCTAAAATGGCCCATAAATCCGCATTTTCAATATCAACGTCACTATAAATCCGAGAATAAACCCGTCTTATACAAGTGAGGATCTCTGAAAATGCGTAAGCTACTTAGAACTTGGTACTTTCTACCGAAAAAATGCCCGGGGACTTTCCCACAGAAGATTCGAACCTGGGAGTTATCAGAAACTCGTTTGTGTCCTGGTACAAAGGCAAGCGAGAATCACATAAAAATCACACGACCTAAATATGGCTAAACACGATACTTAAATGAAACAAAATGAAAATTGAAATTTCCGTGAAAACCTTACAACTATTTTCATTTCCATTTTCGTTCCTTTTTTGACAAAAATTTTCATGGAAAGTTTTTTGGAACATTAAGAAAAAGAATTTTAAGCAAAAAAGAATGCTCCGTGTGAGGATCGAACTCACGACCTTAAGATTATGAGACTTACGCTCTACCTACTGAGCCAACGAAGCAACTCATGACATTGCAGATCTATTTAGAACCGCAAGTCGACCCTTAGAATGCTGGTCGGGCCGCTCGCTCGCAAAACGCGATCTTAAGGAATTTTTTGTTAAAATGTATGAATTTTACCTGTTGTATAAGTAATGTAAGCCCCAATAGATTCCTTCTTCCTGCCAATGTGATACAAACAGACATCTCAAAACAGCGACATCTAAGAATGTTGCAGCCGCAATGTCATATGAGCTATAAAAAAAAAAAGAAAATCAAATTTTATCTTATCTTCATACTTATTTATAGATTTTAATTCCTACCTATGTCGTACGAAATTTTTCTGATCTGATTTTTGATATTGTGGTGATTTGATGTCTGTATCGACAGATTCACGTTCAGTTGATGAGCTTCCTTTTGGCTTATCATCATGTTTCTTTTCGAAGGCTTCAATTTTATCAAAATCAAATCGTGTCGCATTCTTGTCAAAAATTCTGTCTTTTGACAATACTGAGGTTTTGCTACTTCGTCGACTAAACTGATAATGTGTATGCTGAAGTAAACTCGCATCTGCTGTATAAAATATTGGATCTGGTCCTTGTGGTAATCGAAAAAGTAAAACATGTTCTTCTTCGATGCTTGATGCTTCTTCAGGTATTGTTTCTGGGAAGACTGGTTCTTTTGGCGATGCAATACCTAAAGATATCTCATCGTCATGCTGTGGTGTTTCACAATAGGAAATATTTGTTAGTGAATCATGGTGCTGTTGTCCTTGTGCATTCTTTCCAGGAAAAACTTCTTCTGATTGAGGAGCTGTTGTCGATGCTGATTGTAAACATTGACGAGCTCGTGGCTTTACAGGTGCAATGAAACATTGAATGTTCGGTGCTCGATATTCCCACATTCCCTGCCATAATTTAATTCCATTTTCCAGGCGAAAATTTTGAAAATCTGATTCTTTTAAGTGATGTGCAATTGGTGCGAATAAGTAGACAAAAAGCTACGAAAAGAAAATAAAGTAAGGAATTGAAAGGTTCTGTCACAGAACATTGCAAACTTACCGATATAGTTGGAATCGAGAATAAATATTCATATGTATTCAATATTTTCTTTCCATCCTCATTGTCAGCGCATTCATCAGCTGCAAACAGCAATATCCAATGCAACGTATACAACAATTTAGTCTCAGCTGCTCCGAGATTTTGCAAGTCTTTTACTCGATTTGTTAGCAAAGCTGCAGCGCAATGCATGACATGAGGCAATGCAGCTTGTACAAGTCTCCATCGTGGAATTGATTGAATAGCTGATGTCAATGAAGGTGATAAGCCAAAGTGAATGTTTTGGACGAGGACTTTCTCGAATGATTTGCAAGCTTCTTTCAGTTCCTATAGTGATGTTGAAATTTTATTAATGAATTGGGATGATATGATGGTTTTAAAAAAGGATTAATCTATTCTACATAAAACTTATATACTATTATAAGATCTTGTAGGCAGTTATCTCAAAACTTTAGACAAGAAACATTAATGAAAGTTTTCATCCTTTTGCATGGACTTTTATTGAGATAACTGCTAATACAGACATGGTTTTACTTTAAATGTTGAACGCATTTTTGATTGACAATTTGTAGCTTTGGTTAATCTTTGGTTTTTTTTTTGTGATTCAGGATAAATAACGGCGATGTATTAATTTGTAAGATTAAGAATAAAACTAACGTTAGTTGACAACCTAGTAAATCCATGAACTTTTAAATGCTAATGAACCTTACAATTGCTAATAATAGTTTATCAAAAATGCGATCAATCCATCAATTGCCGATGATTTTTTTTTTTAAATTCGTCATTATTTATGATTAACACACTTACATGATGTCCTTGCGTATGTTGACAAAACTACGTTATTTTTGTGTGTTTTTAACATGATACAAAAAATATATTTACAAAGAGTTATTTACATTTTTTTTTGGTCATATTAAGCAGTGGATTATATTTACAAGGATAAATGAACATGGCAAATAAACGAATAAAAAATTCATGTTGGAACATAAAGAAAACTTTTTGAATCTATAAATTTCTTGTTGAACATTCCTGTTGATTTGCTAAAATTTTTATATCCCACTGGACATGAGATATAACAATTTGGCATCAAAAAACAAGGAAATTGAGAGAAAGGAGCTTGAAAATTGTTGATATAGATTTTAATGTTCAAAAAAGACACAAATTAAAATGTTAAAATTTTATTAGACATCTATTCTTGCTCGTTGGACATCCAATAAATTTTTTTCCAGCTACAAATTAAACTTCATAAACCGGGAAAAAAGCAAATAAAATTTTATTTCGTGATGTACAGCACAACGAAACACAGAAATTGATTATATTATGAGTAATTAAGGTAAACATAAATCGGGGTGTGAAGAACAAGCTTTGAACATTCTCGTAGAGTTGGAATGTTTGGCACTTTGACAATTTGATTGAACGTGATCAATTTGAGTGGCTATTAAGACATTTATAGCTGAATTTTTATGTTTTTTTTTTTCAACGGAAATAGTTTATTTAAAATTTCTGATTTATGAATCAAAGAAATACTAAAGAAATTTTTGATTTCCTTTCGTTTTTGATTAAAAGTGAATTGAAATTTGTTTTTGTTATATTTTAATTTGAAGGTTATTCAACTATGTTTGCATATGACTTTTAAGAACCATTTTATAGCTATATTTCAGGGGTTGAAGTCAATCAAATTTTTTTCGACTTTTATTCAAACTTTGACAAATTTTTTCAAAAATTCTTAATCGAAAAATTTTTCAGCAAAATTTTCAATCAAACTTTAATTGAAAAATTGTTCTAAAAAAATTTTCGCTCATTCTTTGGTTGAAAAAATTTTATGGCAAATTACGATAGAAAGTGAATAATTTTCAACAAAATTTCCAAACTCATTTTTTTCTGAACATTAAAACGGGTTAAAACAGTCGCAAACATCATTGAATGCAACAAATTTTGAAAATCCGTTGAATATCTTAAAATGCACTCAATAACCCGAAGCACAACTCAAACATGTTCAAATGTGATCCATCATTTATTTCCTTACTTTCACAGTTGACTGATGCCATGAGCAAAACCTGTTTAATTTAAAATTCAGCACAAATTGTGAGCACATGAGCATTAAACAAAAAACAATCTGAATCACATCAAATAAGGCACTCGTTTTTATGTCTGAAGCAAATTAGATTTTAAGAATCGAGATAAGGACTATAAAAGAATCCTAAATGAACCTCAATTGTATTTATTTATACATGATTGTGCATGAAGTTTTCATTGTTAAATGCTCGAGACACAAAAGCAGCAACAACAATAACTTAAAAGTAAGTAAGGAAGAGGGGAGATTGTTATGAGGCACGGAAATTTCATTAGATTAGGTATTTGAATAAAAATTTAAAAGGAAAAGGAAGTGAAAATAAGCATCTCATGAGCCTCACTTTAAATTGAGTTTTTGCATAATTGGATTAGAAAGCATTAAGCCACTTCCAATTTTCAAAAGAGAAATGGAAGTAATGATGATGTGCTGATTTTTTTTTCGTAAATCTGGTGTTGTTATATCTTAATAATTAATGAATACATTTAGTTCCTCACCATACAATTTGCCTCGTGTAATTTTCCTAATTTTGGTCTCACAAACGGTGCAATTTGACGCCACAGGAAGGTCTGAACAGGAACAGGTAGACGTCCCAAGTCCTGAAGACCACCATCGTCCATGTTATCATGATTGTCTCTCATGATTTTGATTCTACGGGTGGATTAAACGATGGAAAAATCAATATAACTTGCTGTGCATGTATATTATGAATATTAAATCAATAAAATATAAAAATTTAAATGTAGCACAGCATCCCTGTGTACTCACCTGATTGAAAATGCAAAAGACTCAATGCATTTTATTTTTTATTTGCATTAATTTGCAGCTCTGTGAATATTTAGATAGCTTTATTAATTCCGATTGTCAATAAAAGTTCAGGAGATGAGAATTTTTTTACAATTATCGAGCATCAAAAGTTACGTAATTTAAATGCCTAGGATAAAATCACATTCAGAACTAAAATTTAATTTCCATTTTTTTATGCTACACTGGGGAAAAGAGTTGCTTGCAACAAAATCAATTATTCATTCCAAAAAATAGTAGCTTTCATGCTGACATATCGCTGCATGTGAATTTTTAAAGGGGGTTGTGTGGAAATGATGTCTATAAGCATTGAATTATAAAGTAAATCTAATTGTTTGTGATCAAAGTGGATTGAAAGCAGCTGTCATGGTGCTGATAAGAACCCCTTTGATTTTTCGACATGACTTTGTGACTTTAATGTGCAGCACTGGTTAAAATCACAAAAAGAAAACGTTCAAACTCGATTTGAGTTGATTATTATTCAAATTCTTTGGAAAGCACACTGAGATTAAAAAAATAGAACTTTTAAGATGAAAGAAAAAATCCGTTGGATATTTTAAAAAGTCATAAAACATCAAAATTTGAAGGAAATCTGACTTTTCTTTCATACTGGAAGTCCTTTTTTTCTTCAATCTTGGTGTAAAAAATTTTTTAAATCCACAATACACTTGACAAATATTTTTGAATAAACTTTAGCAACACACTTAGTAATTCTTTGCGACACACTGTTTGAGAAACACTGGTTTAAATAGTATGAATTCTGAAGGATGAGAGTTTGTTCCACTGTTTTTATTTAAATTTTCTGTAAACATCTTGCTACATGAAAGTGAAGAAGACTCAATAATGATAATTTATAGCTTAGGTAGAGCTGAAGAGGGATCTAAGGGAGACTTAAATTTAAAACAAGTATAAAACTAAGAGTTGAGATAAAATAATATTCGAAGCTTCCAAAAACATTTTCCTAGCAATGCCCTTAAGTTATCACATTACTTAATTTTAAACAGACCCCACCTTATGAAAAATAAACTTTCATTTCCCAACCACAAAACTGCAATGCAACAATTATTTTCACACTCTTGTCTTTATACAATTTAATGTATGTCACATAAAATATTTTATTTTTTAATTGGGTATATCCAAAATAAAATTCTTATCCTGTTGTGCAAATATTAATTGAGTTCCTTCCTGCTATTTCCACCCGTGACCTATTTGTTGTGATGAATTTTCACATTTTTTCTCCTTACAACAACAACAAAAAATTGTTTCCTCCTATTTTTTTCTCCTTCAACCTTTTCTCATTACATGGTGCTGTTTTAGGGTTGCCTGATGAACTTCCAAGATTGTTGTGAAAAATTCAAATTTTTAATTTTTTGTAGGTTTTTTTATGATTTAATAATTATTGAAAGATTCAATAATGTTGAAATCTAGTCCATCAGGTAACCCTAAGTGCTCGAGAAAAATCAAACATGTCGTCTAATTTTTCCACATCTACATCTGTGTTACAACTAATTTTCCTATGATTTGTGAAAAAATTTCCATCCCCAATTCACTAAATTGACCCAAATTTATAGCCAACAACACTATAATATTAAGCGATTCCACTTATAATTGGCATCTTGCATTATTAATGACATTTTTGGCAATTGAAAAAAAAATAATAATTTATATCCATGTAACACCCATAAATTTTTTTTCGCTAATTTTAATTCACTTTTATTGGCACTTACGTAAGACTTAATGGCACATTTGCAATAATTTTAAATTTTTGTAGAACTTTGGAAGCATGAAAGTTTTAAAAATGTCCACAATTATTTTGAGAATGGATAGAAAAGCCAGAAAAATTTTGCGTGAAAAGATGTATGCGAGCTTTTGTGCAGTTCAAAATCGTGATGGCGACTGAAAATTGTGAAAATTTTTGATGAAATCAACGATTGAATGAGCGTAAAAATGGAAAATTGAGTAGAAACTGGAGGAAATTGTCTTTACAGTTGCGCATTGTGGAATTTTTCATGTGTTTTGCACGTTGATGACTGTAAACAGACAATTTTGTATGGAAAATGAAGTTGTTATGCGCTGGTGCTGTTTGTTTGTTTTGATTATTTTCCCGCCAATTTTAGAGTTAACACATGGTGAGCACGTGGATGAGAGTTGAATTTCTCCTTTTGTTGCCACTTTTTACTCCTTCTCCCCTCCTTAAAAATCTTTAAATGCTGAATTTTTCATTTTTACGGCATTTTTGGGTTTAGAAATTTTGTCACCTCAAAATTCATGGAAAACTTCATAAATTTGATTCCAATGATTTATTTTAATAATCTACACATTCTCCAGTATATCCAATATTGCTCTTCATTACTCAATCTGGACCGTTTAACACTCAATTTTCCCCTTTAACTCTCCAAAAGTTTCCTCTCACTCTCTCGAAATCATTTTCATTCTCATTTTTTCCAGTGCCAAACTCAATTTCCAGCACCATCGACAATTCATATAGAAAACCCTTAGTCTGTCCAAAAATCACATCACATGACCAAAATTATCGCTCGATTCACTCAAAAAAGATTTAAGTGGGAGATTCTTCCCCACTTTTCCCCTCAATTTCCCCAATTTTTGAGCAGCATGGAGTGAGAAAAACGCACATGTCACTCCCCATTTCCACCCGTTTTCAATCAACACGTGGTTTCACATCCACAATAACCTACCAAACATTCATTGACTCGATTTTTCCGGTACGGTATGTGAAGTTGTAAAATCAGCTGATATCAAGCATGTCCTGTTGTTTGGAAATTGTATGAGATTCTCTCTCGATTTTTTAAGGGATGTTTTGATAAACATTCATTCATGGATGCTTGATAAATGTTCAAACGAATTTTAATCACAGCAAATTTTGAAAATAATCAAGATAAAAATTTTTAAATTTTAAAGTCAGAAAAATCTTTTAACAATGCAGGAAAATCAGGCAAAAGTTGTGTCAATTACCTCAGTTAAATCAAAAGTCGAAGAGGAAAATCGATTAGCTTCGATGCTTCTTGATTGTGAAAGTGCACAAATTTGTTCAAAATGTTTCGATATTAAAGCAATTAGCACAGAAAACCACAAAGAAGATTCAACAATAGTCAATCATCAAGACTTACAATCAGGGTCAACGCTCCTTTCATGTCCAAGTGCGCATTTATGTCCAAATTGTAAAGATAATAAAGCAATTATGAAAGAAGAGGCAGCACTTGATGATTCAGAGCAAGAAGAAATCTTAAGAGGAACAGAATCAACAGACACGATTGTTGCATATCCACAAGATTTACAGACAGACGATCAAAATAAATTTATTTTTGTCAGCGACTTATTGAATAATATGGCAACAGAAATCAAGTCAATTGAGTCTATTCATGAGCTGAAACCGAAAAAGGAAGAGAAATTGTCAGTTGAAGCTAGAAATAGCCGACCAAGTAGCACTCTTGAAAATGGTTTGAGAAGCTCTGAAACAAAAAGGTTGTCATATTTTGATGATGAAGGGTTTAAAAGGTATGATCTTACAATTGTGACATCGTTGACTGATTTAGACACGTTAAAAGAAAAGACTAGTGATGATTCGCCAAGAGTAAGCTTCACATTCAAGGAACCTGTAAGTTTACATTTTTAACGGTTTTTGAAAGTTTAAAATTTGAAAGCTATTGAATGGTTTTCTTTGTCAACAAGTGCTGTTGTATAGCTTTCTATATAAATTTTCAAATTTACTTCCGTTACAGTCGATGAATTTGATTAAGAGTAAAAGGCAGTCATGGAGAAGTGTACGAAGATCATCAGGAAGCTTTTTGAGCCGCGTATCAAACGCATTTCGCAAATCCAATCAGTGATATCTACTCAATTAATAAATGCCTTAATGTCTCTGAATAAATTAATATAAGTGAGCTTTGAAATTGTTTAAAATTCATAAAAGTTTTTTTCTTCATAAATTTTTGTGTGAATTAAAACGTTGTTAATTATGGAAGAAGTCATGAAAGCACTTAGCAATGATGCATTACTGTCTTCAGTCAAAGTGAGTATTTATTAAGTGAAATATCTTGTTATGTTTATTTAATTAACATTAACATGTTTCACAAATTTGATTAAAAAGTTGAATCATCAAGAATTTAATGCTGACAACATAGATAAATTAAATAGTTCCAATAATGAAAGTAAGAATAGTCAGGAAATCAATTCTATAGAAGAGATAAAAAAGACTTTATCTTTTAATGACAAAACTTATCAACCGACATTCCAAATGCAGCCAGAAATCGTCAATCCTAAAGGAATTTCAATGAATGATCGTCAGTTTGTTTTTGGAAATGCCAAAGTTAGCAAAGAGTATGTGATCAAAGATCCAGCACCAAAAGAAAGCTTAGATTTGCTTAAAAAAAGCATTGAGTCACTTAAAAACCGCGAATTTGGCAATTTTGCTGACAATATCCTACAATCAGCTTCAAAATTAAGTACAGAGAAGAGTCAGCATTTTAAGGAAATTAAAAATAAAATCAGTTCCGCTGAATTGAACGAGAAACTGCAAAGTTTTGGGTTTAAAGACATAGAAATCAGTTTGAAGGACATTGAAGAACTGTTGGAAAAGATTTTGTCAAATGAGCATAGTGAACAGGAAGACGAGAATCAGAAACGTTATGTTTTTGCCATCCAAAAGTTGTGTGACATTCTGTCAATTTTATTTGGACAGTTTCGTGATAAAATTGAAGTTGCAGCCACAAATAAAGCTTTAGATTCAATCAAACAGTCAGAATTCGTAGCTGAAATGCCTAAAGAACTTGATGCAGAGGATATTTTGAATCTAAATTCACACACACGTGAGGAACCTGAAAAAGACATCAGCACAGAAGATGATGATATAAAAGGAACTGAAGAAATGACTGTCAATGGAAAGAAAATCTGCAAATGCTTCTCTATGAACAATGAACTCGATAAACAAAGTGACGAGGCTGTCTATGACAAAGATATTAAGACAGCAAAGTCTGTTGAATTTGATGCCCCAGAAGAAGAAAATGCAGTTCCTTTAAAATCGTACAATTCACTTATCAGAATAAAATTCAGTGGCCATAAATTAAGAAAAGTCAAAAATATGAATGACTTGTCAAGAGTTAAATCTTCAACACGTCTAAAAAGTAAAAGCTTTATACATTCTAAAGGCATTAATGACCTACCTGTTGAGCTTCAAACAAAATATCCAATACAAAGTAATGTCGTACAAGTTTCGTCTATTCCAAGCATCATCACAAGATATTATCATCCAGAAAACTTTACAGAAACTTTTCTAACGGATTCGACGCATTCAATTAAATGTGAATCTATATCATCTGCCATTATTGAAGACCTTAATGATGATGATGGATTTTTTAATTTGGTAAGTACGACATTCAGTTCTATGGATTGCATCATAATTAACATAATTTACAGCCAAAAGTTCCATCATCTACTTTGAGTGAGGCATCAAGTTCTGAATGGATCGATGCTAATACTTCGTTTGTTAATACGCATTATGAGACAGTTGAAGAACTTTCTGAGCCAATATTAGTGTCTGAAATACCAAAACTAGATCCCCTGCCTATAATTCCTTTAGAATCTTTATGTAGTGTTCTTAATGAGCCTCTGTTGTCAGCGTTAACTAATCAGGAGCCATTAAGTTTGACACATCCACAACAAACGAATATTCAAGCTGATCCACAGCCGTCGACATCAGCAGATTCAAAACCCATTAAGAAGCAAAAACGATTTTCAGGATGTAAAAATTTCGTAAAACGGCTCATACCCAACAAATTGCTTCGTAAAAAAGATAGAAATTGAGTTTTCGTTGTGAATTCCTTCTTTTCGGCACTTTTCATTCGTTCATTCAAAAAAATATACATATATTTTTTTAAAAGTATATAAAGTAAAGCATTAGTTTGAAGATGTATGATGTTCGCGCATAAAAATGACACAAAAATGTAAACAGGCTTTGCGGGCGATGAATGGAAAAATATTTAACTACCTTGTTTTGAGCTGGGGATGAAATATTAATGAATAATTTAAAAGGCGTTAAATTTATAAATTTCTGGAAATATATTTTATTCATGGCAATTCAATGGATTTTTAAAATTTCAAAATTATTGATAAGTTAACAGTTTTTTGAAATTTAAAAAATCATAAACATTTGTACGGGTTATAATAATTTATACGTAATTTATACGCTTTGAAGGATTTAAATTTTAAAAGTCTGTTAATATTAAAACAAACCTTTTCAGTTATTATTTACAATTTTATAGCCAGCCATATAAAGTAGTTGATGTCCTCTTACTCATATCTGAAAAATAAACGTAAATAAATTATAATTTCCGGAGTCTTGAAAAGGTGCTTGGCAGAAAATAGATGAAATATTTTTCGCGTATCTGATGATGCCAAAACTATTGCATAAATAGACTACGCACGATCGTAAAGAATGTGTCTCCTCGGGATCGAAATAATTATCGTTATTCTTTTATTTTTCTTTTGCTGTTGAGTGATTCTATTTATGTTATTCACATCCAATGCTAAAATTAAGAGAAATTTGCAGTCGATTTAAATTTTCACGGTCATTTATGTGGTTTTTAAATTGAGGATTGTGATGTTTATGCTGTGTTGACATGCTCATTTAATTAATAGTACATAGGTTTTTTGCAGTTTTGTGATTTATCATAGATGTGAATTGCGATGCCAAAATCCCGTTCAGGCTCAACAATTGAAAATTATCATGTTAATGAACAAAAAATAGAATTTATTGTGTCGTGAGAAAAAATAGAAAAATTTTCCTGCCAATTTTCATGTTGTCCACTACACATTCGCCTTCAAAATTGTGTCATCGTTGTCAGTTCACTTCTTTTATTTTTCGGTATTTTCTACGAAAATAGCCATTGAGATTCTTTTTTTACGATGATTGTTGAGTAACAATTTCTTCCCTTTGAGCTTTACGCTTTATTATTCATTGTGGCTGACTCGTGGGTGGATAAACGAGCAAATAGAGTATGTTTTACATATACCTGTAGAATATTTTGGGTAATTTTTCACTTTCTGTATGTTTGAATCATGGAAATTGAAATTTTAACTGTCAAAATCATTATGAATTTTCATTTAGCAAATTTTCCAGTTCTATTCATTTCAGTTTATTTTGTTTCTGTCAGAATTTGAAAATAAAATGAAAATTGCTCTATTTTGAAAATAAATCAAAATGAAAATAATGAAAATTGCCAATTTTGATCAAAGCAATTTTGCCATTTTGTCAATTTCAGAAAATTGTTATTTTGGAAATTGTTTATTTTCGAAAATTGCAATTTTGGAAATTATCAATTTTCAATTTTGTGACGTCACAAAATTTCTTCGGGAATTTTGTATGAAAATTTTCATATGAATTGATGACTTTCCTTGATTTTTAATCAAAACCATTATCAGCAATCATAGCAGCAAATGATGAAAATTAATAACGAATCATAAGTACTATGCTATATGAGATATCCCATATGGAACTGATTATGTCGAACAGACTGGAACTGCCAAAAAAAATTTTATTTGTTTTCTATACTTTTTAGACACTTTCAGGCATGGGGTGGAACCAGGCACTTCCTCTACTTCCAGATCTGATTTTAGGTGCTAACTATACCAGGGAGATTCCAAAAAATCAGGTTAGCAAAAAAGTTCGGAAAATTCAGCAGTTCCTCTCCCCTAATAAAATTTCCAGTTTTCTTGAATAATCGTGACATAAATAGTTTTGAAAATTAAGTCTAGAAGTAACGGAAGTGCTTAGTTCAACTCCATGCCTTAAAAGTGTGTAAACCTTCATTAAAAGTGTTAAACATTTTAAAAAAATTTTTTGCAGTTCCAGTTTTTGAAATATCATAGATATTAATGTAATAATATTTGACATTCAAAAATTATGATTATGAGCATTATGAGTACCTTTAATTTAAAATAAACTTAAAGGAACAACACGCAGGAATTAGCAAGTATTAAGTTAAAAACGAATATCAACATCCAGGAAATAAACTGAATCTTTTGTTTTTCTGAAGAAAAAATTCATTTAAAAAGAAGAAAATTTTCATACAAAATTATTCATCAAATATTTATGACGTCACAAAAATAAAAATTGATAATTTCCAAAATTGCAATTTTCTGAAATTGACAAAATTGCAAAATTGCTTTGATCAAAATTGGCAATTTTCATAATTTTCATTTTGATTTATTTTCAAAATAGAGCAATTTTCATTTTATTTTCAAACTCTGGTTTCTGTTGAAGTAATGACTTTACTTATAGAGGTCGCTACTAAGATAGGTTACACTCGGTAGTTTTAACCTTGGACTAATAACTTATAAGAGACTTAATAAATCATTAATTGGCTTTGATTCCACTGTTCTTATTTATTACAACAGGTTATGGGCCCAGCTAAACGGGCAAAGTGAAGTACAGTAGATAAATAGTGTTTTTAATGATAAAAAGTATAATTTAAATTTAGTGAGGTTAGCCAGACATTATCTGGTGCTTTAGAATGGAGATGGTGCTAGTACAAAATGATTGTTGGGATGTTATTGGAGCTGCGAAACCTAAAGATGCTGAGAAAGCTGCAGAATGGCAAAAGCAGGATAATAAGGCCAGATACTTTATCGCATTGTGCGTAGATAACAACCAATTAACAAATGTGAAGAATAACAAAACCGCTAAGGAAGTTTGGAATGCGTTAAAAATGTTTCATCAGAGATCTACAATGTGCAGCAAAACTAGACTTGTAAAAAAGCTATTTAAAGCTGAATTGAAAAAGGATGATCACGATATGGAGACGCATTTACAAAACTTACAGGAATGGTTTGATGAGTTAAAGGATCTGAATTATGTTTTTGAGGAGAAGTACGTGAAGGCAATTATTCTAGCAAGTCTAAATGAGGACTATGACATGCTTTTTACAGCTTTAGAGGCAAGAGATGAAGATAAACTTACCGTCAGCGTTATAAAGGCAAAATTGCTGGATGAAGCAGATCGACGAATGACAAAAGTTGAAATTGATTCATCGACAGCATTGAAAGTAACAAGAAGTTTCAATAATAATTCAAAAAGCAAAGCAAAAAGTGTGAATTGTTTTAAATGTGGAGAATTAGGACACATCAGCAAATTTTGTGAAAATAAAATCACAAACTGTGGATCCAAGAAGTCTTTTCATAAAGCTGGATTAGTAATGAAGGATCATGTAGCATTAGATTTGAGTGATGATATCATAACTGGCTGGTGTATCGATTCTGGAGCAACGTGTCATATTTGCAACGATAAGGAAGCTTTTACTTCTTTGAACTTTGACGTTCAGGAAGAAATAAAAGTTGCTAATGGAAAATGTTTAAGAGCTCTTGGCAAAGGAAATATTGATTTAATCGTTGTGGCTGATGATGGTGTCAAAATCAATGTGACAATTTACGACATTCTGTACGTTCCTAAAGCAAGAGGAAAACTTTTATCCGTGCATAAACTCATCGAAAGAAATTACAAGGTAGTATTTAATAAAGATCTTGTAATTTTAGTAGACGGTAATTGGCAGTACAGAATTGGACGTTTGAAAAATGGACTTTACATGCTAAATGAGTGTCGAATGGCTGAGTTGAATTTTGCAAAGCAATCAAATAAATATTGTATTCATCAGTGGCATTTGAAGCTGGCTCATCACAATTTGAATAACATCAGGAAAATGAATGACAGATTGAAGATTGTTCAATGTAAATGCAAAAATGACTGTAAAGCATGTATCAAAGGGAAAATGTCTCGTGAAACTTTTCTGAAGAAATCCATTATTCCAGCAGAAAGAGATACTGAATGTTATAGTATCGGATGTTTGTGGACCAACGCAAATAGATTCCATTGGTCATGTAGTGCAATTTATTGAGATGTTGAAGAATAAGTTTGGACGAAAGCCAAAAGTCTTCAGAAGTGATAATGGACTGGAGTACTTAAATTCGAAAGTTCAAAGCTACTTGAATCAAGAAGGAATTCAAATTCAGCAAACAGTACCATATTCAAGTCAACAAAATGATGCTGAGCGCAAAAACAGAACATTGATGGATGCAGCCAGAAGTTTAAGTTTAAGTTTATTAAGCCATTCTAAATATAAAATAAAAATTATACAAAGTAAGGAACGTGTTACTAGATGGCACTGCAATTGCAGTTGGTAGAATTAAATTTCTATTTGCTATTTCTGTATGCTATTTGAAGCAAATTTAGACAAATCGTATTGGGCTGAAGCTGTTTCATGCGCAAATTATATTCAGAACAGATTAATCACAAGAACCACAAGAAAAACACCGATAGAGATGTGGAATGATGAGTTACCACAACTAGAATCATATTTTGAATTTGGTGCAGATTGTTACGCTTGGATTCCAAAAGTAAAACGAAGGAAGCTGGATCAAAAAGCACAAAAATTGAAATTCATGGGATATGATGAGACATCTAAAGGCTATAGATTAATAAATCCTGAAACAAAAGTGATATCAATAGCAAAAGATGTAAAAGTGTTAGAATCAAGGAAGAAAATATCAACAAGTGATTTAACACATAAAGAAGATACAATCGTCATAGATATCGATTACACAAAATTTAATGCAATCAATTGAAATAACACAACGAAAAGCTCTTAGAGTCATTTTTAAAAAAAGCTGGCATTGTAGTAGAAGTGAACTATATAGTGTTAAAATTCTACCAGTATCGGCACTTTGTAATGTGAGCACATGCTTACAAATTTTCAAGATCTCAAAACAATTACTTAAAAACAACATTCAAATCCACACAGCCAGTCAATTCC